ATGATAAATATGCCACACTGGTATCGAGGCAGGCGGAAAGAGATGTGGAGCAGGTCCTCCGTGACCAGCACTCTTTCCAGGAATTTATGGTGCAGGTGCTATACTACCAGAAGCTTATCGATGAGATCCGGTATATGCCTTCCAAGGTAAATGCATTAAAAAAAATCCTTAAACCAAGGTCCCATAACTTACTCTGTAACATTTCATGTTTCCTTCCAGTTATACTGATATATATTTTGCTGAAATAGTGTCAAATCAAAAAAGCTAAACAGTGGGAAAGCTTAAAACTAATAATCTAATAATCTAATTCTTAAATCTGTGTTTCTTTGACTGGGCTTATTTAAAAGCTCTTGCATCATTTATCACTGGTCATTTCTTAAATTGTGTTAACTGTGTCACTTATTTATACCATGGATTTTAGGTGGTACGACTTGGCATGTTTGAGGTCCAGTCCTATAAGCTCATCCAGTCTCTTGTCAAGCGTGCACGGGACATACAGCAGAAACTGGTTACACGGATGCTAGATGACCACCAGAAAGCCAACAAGAAGTTAGTTGGTTCTCTTTTTTTATACTCAGCAAGAGTGTTTTCTCTCTACATCAGCATAGTTCACCAATACATCTGAAGGAAGTTATCATTAAAAAAAAGCTGAGAGGGATTAAGCAGCTTCTGTTTGGCAGATACTACTGAAATATGCATAGGGAAGCTTAAGAGCTGGTCACTCTAAAAGAATACACTGTGAAAGTCATAAGGGATGTCGTTTAGTGCTCTTTGTGATTTTCGGCCCCATGTTAGCTGCTCTGTGGTGTTCTCTATTGCCAAGCGGTGCCATAATAAGATTGTAAATCTGTGAAATCCTCCGTATACAGCACTGAATTAATGCCATTCTTCCTCTCACAGGCTCTGTCATGAATTTGAGCAGATTTCAGAGAAGGCACTGAGCACACCGCCAGATACTCAAAAGCTGATGGAACTTAAGGTGACTGCACCAAAAAATCACACATACCAGGCTTGTTGCATTATGCCATGCACAATTGTCCTTTACAGATTGTTCACAAAACAGTTATGGTGTGCACTTAACACCAGTCAGTAAGCTTTGTATTTTATTTCTTTTCTTGTGGTTTTGAGTGTTTTTGGTAGTAGGCCCTCAGCTGAGGCTACAGAAAGCCTGGAAGGTCTTGCATTCCTTCACACTTATGAACTACCTTAGTATGGTTGCTGTACATTTTTTTTAAGATATAAATGACAATTTTTTTTCTTATCCAGGCTTATATTAAAAAGGTGGAGACCACAGAGATGCCTCTTTTGCAACAAAGACTAGCAGACTCTGCCACGCAGTTGTGTTTCCTGGTGGAGTTTGCCACCCTGTCAACACTGGATATGAAGCTCAATACAAAGACAATCCAGTGGTTTAAACGTATGCCATCCATCTTTGAGGAACACCAGCAGATAGTTAGCAAAATGACGGAACAATATCAGAGTGGGCTTAAGGTCTGTGTTTTTCTGTTTCAGTGTATTTTAATGTAGAGAAAACATACTGGTGGCTAAAATACAAGGACATCTTTCCTTACCCTCATTCCAGTTGTACCGTGAGCACTTGTTGCAAGAACTGGACAGCTACAGTAAACAAGTGGAGGAGTTTAAGGCCTTTCGTGAGACAGCCAATCTCAGCAAGTACCTGACAAAAGCTCAGGCCCTCAATACCAAACTGGAGTTAGCTGCTGAAAAGGTATATCACAACTTGTTACCTGTAAGCCTAGAGATATATATCTGTACATTAGTTCACAGGCATTATCTCAGGCTGTATTATGTGTTGATGTCTTATTTATAAATCAACTATGCATCTACTCATTATTTTATCTTTTCTTTCCATGTCTTTGTTTATTTCTGTATTTTACTTCTACTCTTACCTTTTGATCCTTACCTCTGTGGAAAGATTAATGATTTAAATCTAGACGAGGAGGCTTTCGGCTGGTCTGTTTCCCAATATCCAGAGCGGAAGAAGGCGCAGGAAAAGTTGACACTATTCCTGCGCCTCTATGAGACAGCTACTGATTTCATAAAACAGCGTGAGAAGTGGCTGCATGGACCTCTCACCAGTGTGAACCCAGACAAGGTAAAAGCAGTAGAAAAATTACTTTGTATTCAATGCAGGAGTGACTGGGGAGTTTAGGTGACAGATTGAGCTGAGTTCTAATTTTCTGATTTTCATTCATATAACAACGACATTCTCTGTCTTATTTACAGCCTCAGTGGTCCAACAGTAGTATAATAAGGGCATCCAGACCGTCATAAAGATTCAGATTTCTATTTTTTTGTTGAATGGTGCATTTTATCAAGTCCCTGGGAAAAAAAAACAAAAAAAAAAACTGAACAAATATAAATGCATAAATAACACAGAGCTTATTTTGTAGTATTGTGAACATTCAAAACAGCTAACTTGGGTAGTTCAATAAGAAAGTGGTTGGTCAGAGTAAGAGTAGACCGAGTAAGAAAGCAATAAGATTAAATCATGAATATAATGTAAAAAAAAAAAAATCAAATGAACTTAGTCAACTTTCTTTGTATAACTAAAGCCCTTGAAGGAGCTGATGGATTTTTTTGACTGCATTTTTATCTGTTTGTGCCTTCTTATTTACATAATGACATCACTGCATGTGGTACTTTTTATTATACTCTGATGGTATTAGTATTATTTGCACTGCCATTTCCCTTTTATATTACAGCCATTCTTCCACATACTATATATATATATATATGAAAGCAGCAAAGCACTCAGCATTTTTCACTTCGCTGATGTTGAGCTCCACAGAGCAGAGCTCCACATGAAACAACGTTTTCTGCTTAAACTCCTTTCCTTTTTTCCTTTTAATGCTTATTTAAGTACTTCTTTCATTAACTACATTCTCAGCTATTATTACTATAAGTACCTCTGTAAGCATTGCTAACACTGCTGCTGCCTCTACTACAATCAATAATTGTACTATTAAAAACACATTGTTAAATCTAGCATTTAATACTTGCAAGCAAACACCCTAAATACTCATAGCAACCATCTACCTTTTCATCTTGTGTTGTGGAAGTTTTCCATTAAATAAAGCCTGCAGATGAGCGGTGAGCAGTAGCTAACATTCTTTAATCAAAACACAAAAGAACAGAAAACCCAAGCTTGTGGAGAGCCTGCATGATCGCGGGGCAGACGGTCAGCAGAGTCTCTTCTGAGTCTAACATGGCTCTCAGTTAAATACCTTCTCCAGGAACAAAAAGCAGTACACAGCTGTTTCACACTTTAAGGTTCACACTCCCTTGCTACCTCCCAGAGTCCTCGAAGAGACAAAAGACTCTTCCTGTGGAGTTGTCTGCTTCCCCCAACTTCCTTACTAGACCCCCACCATTTGTCTTACTGTATGAGTGTGAGACATGTTAGAATCCAGTGGCACCAAGGTATCATACAATGAAATGATGTGATTAGTACATAAGTAAAAGAAATTTCTATACATCTTGGCAACAACAACAGTACAAATCTTGGAATAACCTTTAGCTTTCTGCCTTTATGTCCGTTTGTTTAATGTCTGTGTTCTTTGATTTATAAAAAAATTAAAAAATAAATTTTCTTTTTGTGTTATTATAAATCCTGCTGTAGAGTGGAGAGCTAAGTTATGATGTAATGCTAGCAAACATGATTCCTAAGGTCCACACACAGATAGCAAAATCCAAAACTGCAGTTCAGGCCTCCAAGATGGTCAGTCAGCTGACCACAGCTTCAGTCATTCATAATTTTAAACTATAATATGATTTTAAAGAGGGCGTCTATTTTTTAAACACCCTGTAACTGTAGTAATGGAGGAAACTCAAACCTTTTTTTTTTTGGACTAGGTGGTACACATATGCATATTTCTATTATAAATTTGGGCATTTTAACAAGGGAGTCTAAAGAAATTGACCTTTGGAGCGAGGATGAGAAGACAACTTTATTATTCAGTTTAATGAGTCATTATGACGTAACTTAAGTAGAAAAAGTTATTTAAATTTTTGCTAAAAGTTATTTTAACTTTTGCTAGAAGTTATTATAGCTCTGATGAATAAACATTTGGTGGTACAAAAATATGACATAATAAATATTTTTATTGAATTACTTGATGTGAAATTTTTATAAATTCTATTTATGTCCTGTTGTTATGTAAAAAAAAATACCCCCATTCCCAAAATAGGTAGAAGGTGATGTTGGCAACTATTGGCGCGCTCTATACAAGCTGGAGAAATCCTTAAGTGAAGTACCCAATGCCCTTAATATAGCAAACACTATAAAGGCTAAGGTGGAAGACTTCAAGGATCACATTCCTATGGTGCAGGTGAGAAATCAAGAGTAAGATTTGGTATTTGACTTTAATACAATATCATTTGAAATTTTGGAAGTAATTTGGACTGGATGTACTTTTTCATAGGTACTGTGTAATCCCGGCCTGCGTAAACGTCACTGGGATGCCATGTCGGACTTGGCTGGCATCTACCTGGAGCCAGCTGATGATCAGGTGTCTGTGTCTAACTTCCTATCAATGCACCTGGAACAGCACTTGAGCAGCTTCGAAGGCATCAGTGAAGCAGCCAGCAAGGAGTACTCACTGGAGAAGGCCATGGAGAAAATGGCCAGTGAGTGGGATCACATGGAGTTTAATCTCCTTAGCTACCGAGAGACGGGCACCTCAATCCTGTCATCGGTGGAAGAAGTGCAGATGCTGTTAGATGATCACATTGTGAAGACACAAACCATGAAAGGCTCACCCTTCATTAAACCTTTTGAAGTGGAAATACGGTGAGAGTCAAGAGGAATTGCTTTTGAGTAATTTTACTTTGCTTGCTTGGAAAATAAGTTTGGTGTAATGTTATTAAGGGGAAAATTCCATACACTCACTATTTAGCTGCAATCTGTTGGCAGTCTATGTATTGATTGCTGCAGGGCTCGGCTGAGATTGTGTGGCAAACAGACATCTGTGCCCCACCGCCCTTACTGCTAATGTGAACTTGTTGCATAATTTAGCTGCCAAAATTGACTGTTTCTGTGAGCATCTGTGCTGCCCAAAACACCAACAAAGAAGCCCAGAGATGTACGGCTTATTCATAGATGCTGTGGTGATAGTGAGCTAATGAGTTCTCTCCAGAAGGACTTCACATTTAAACAGATGCCACATGTGGATTAAAGTACCCACAACAATCCCTGCTGAGATCAGAAGAGCTTGAATCATTTTTTCAACCTCTACAGAGAGGTAAAAGGTCTGAAATGATGAACTGAAACAGTTTTATAGGGAAACATTGCATGTCATTGTACAAGTATAATAAGCAGCTATAGAAAATGTCTTATGGATGTTGTGTGAGTTTTCATCAAAGACATGCATGTGGTCTTAGTTTAGGCCTGGTTGTGTTTTTTTTTTTCTTTTTTAAATAACTGTGATCAGGATGAAGATGACAAATATTATATGTAATCATTGAAAACAAAAACTTTAAAAATCAGTTGGAATTTTTTTTTTAAATGCACCAACCTTTTTTATTTTTGTGAACAATGAAATATTATATAGCAAAGATTTCAAAACAAAACAAAAAAGAATAATAGCATGTAAAGGAATCAGTTTGTCTTTTCCAAAGCTTGAATCTGACCCTCTGCATCTGATTGCAACATTTTAACTGCAAAATGACTACACATCAGTAAGTAATGTTATTATAATTTTTATCATTAGGGAATGGGAGGGCAAGTTGCTGCTTCTCCAAGAAGTTCTGGACGAGTGGTTAAAGGTGCAGTCTACTTGGCTGTACCTGGAGCCCATATTCAGCTCCCCAGACATCATGGTTCAGATGCCTGAAGAGGGACGCCGATTCACAACTGTTGATAAAACATGGAGAGACATCATGAAACAGGTTTCACTGGTGAGTGTTTTTGATCTAACACTATTTCCTTTGAAAAGCAAAAAAAAAAAAGACCTGTGTATTTGTACTTGTTCTGTGGTTTGAAATGCAAATATAGCTATAGCGCATCCAACTCAGGACATGTATTTATTACTAGACAGCATACACCTTAAAATTTCAAGTGTTCTACTGTAATCAGATTAAATTCAGCGCATTAACCTGAGCAGGTGGGTCAGCGTGCAGACACATAAACATAAACGCACACTGAGAGATTGTGAGAATATGTAGAAAAAGAACAATGTCAGCCAAATACACCGATACAGCCAAAGCAGAAGGGAGCATTCAGACAGAGGGAATGCGATAAGAGTGAATCAGTCCGAAGCGGATGGAGAACGAGGCAAAAACAACTGAGCGGGGATAGAAAGTGAGTGTTGCAAGAGCATCCTCAAAGAGTTTCCAAAGGGTAATTGGCGTCCTCAGTAGACCTGAAATGAGACACATCAATTTCAGGCAGTGTCCTCCGAAAGCCCAGCCTGACTGCACCATCAAATAGAAATTATGGATTTTGTCTGGAAGGGGCAGGGGTGTATGGAACCACAAAGAAAATGAGGTCACCGAGGGATGGGCAGCCTGCACACAAAGACGCTCATGTGTACACTCTAAGCTGCTTTGATATGTTACACTGTGTTATTGAGCATGCCAGCATAAATACTAAAGCAGTACAGTTTAAACTTAATTTTTTTCCTGTATAATGGAGCTCAGTTTCTAAAGGCTATATGTACTTTTTTCTTTTATTAAAGTAACATATGGCCAAAATGTTGTATCAATATAAGGATTAAAAATTTAATAGAAAATTCTGTAAATAGAAAGATTTGTTGGAGTGAGAGAAAAGGATAGATTATGAAGGCGTGATCAAAAAGTTTGGGGATTGGTTCATTAAAAATCAGAAATTTTACCTCAATAGATTTCAGTGTTTTTCTATTCAAGGTCATGTTTTCAAGACCATCCAGATTGCTTTCAGTGTGGTGGATATTTTTAGATATATTTAGAAATCCTGTTCTGACCACTTGGACTGTGCGTCTGGAATTTGGCTGTAGACCTTAAATTCGTCCAGAGAGCAGCCATCAACTTCAGTTTCAAATTTAGCCAGATTTTATTTAAAGGATCATTAGAGCTGGGCCTCCAGCTTCCACCGAGCAGTTTTCAACAGCTTTCAGTTACCGAGCCTGAGTGCGGTGTATCAGATTCAGTTCTGCACCGCGAAATCATACTCCAAAGTAAACCTATGCTCTAAATTGACCTTTCTGCAGTGTCCTGAAGCGTTATGTTGGAAGGAGAGCGTTCATCGTTGCGTTGTATCATGCCACACATACACCACAGTAAAACAATCTGCGCTCAACAACTTGACTTCTTGCCAGATTTGGTTCATTGTAAGTTTGTCAAACAAAAATCAAACTATTTGGAAGCAGTGGAAGAGATGTATCGCCAATATATAGAGTATGAGGTTGGGGAAAAAAATTGGTATGGCATAGTATTATAATATTTTGCATGGGGGATATTGTATATATATTAGTGCATTGAACCAAAGAGAAAGTAGTTCAGCGTGGCACCAGAAAATGATCTTAAACAGATCCCTAAAATTAAATTATTTTTTTAAAAAAAAAATTTTGATAGGGTTTTGATAGGGAATTCCTCTAACTTTTTATAAATGTGAATGTATAGCGCTACCAGTAATGACAAGGGGAAAAAGTGATGAGTGATGAGCTCAAAATCTGTAACTGTCCTCTGCTGCTGTAATACAACCCCAAATCCAGGCAAGCTGCGATGCTGTGTGTAATGTAAATAAAAAAAAAATGCAATGATTCAATGCAAATCTCATAAACACACGTTTTTTTTCACAGTGCAAGACTGAAAACATAACAAATTTTGTCAGTCTAAACATTTGATATGTTTCTATCTCCTCTTGTGTATAAAATATGTATTTATTTCAAGTCATTGCGTTCTCGTTTATAATTTAACAGTGTCCCAACTTCATTGTAACTGGGGTCATAAATCATTTCAAACAAGAGTTCCCCGACAAAATTGTAATTATGGCCATAAAAATTATGTTTTTCTGCTTTTTGTTCTCAAATTTTGTTCATTGCTTAAAGCTCATTTTAATTCACCACCACACGAGGGCCAGTTACAGAAAAATACCTCCTTGGCATGATCTTGTACTGCATCAAAATCTGACAAACAGTACATCCCTTCTCTTTGTCAATAAGACTGATCAGTGATGCATGAAATTAGAATCATCTCAACTACATGCTATGACACGAGTGTGAGCAAAGTCAGATCCTCTGTCCACATCAGGACGTCTTTGCCCAGGTTGTTGTCATCACATCAGCCACTGGGAGTTGCTCAAGATCCACTCATCTTCTAGCACCTTACAGCATCACCATCTTCACTTAATTTTCCTGGTCTTTTTTTATTTTTTTTATTTGCTGCTTGTATTAGTGTGTCACTTACTTTACTATTGCATGCTCAGTTGAAAGTACAAACAGGGTAAATCAATTTAAAAGATTTATTTCTATGAACCTGCTTCCTTTTAACTATGCAGCGCACCACACCCAAGTTCCTTTGAGTGAGTGAAGAAGGAGAGAAACAGCTTACCTATGAGCACAAAGAGAAGACGACTGGCATGGTGTTTATTATATTATCTATATATAACCACATATATAGATATACCTCTAATAAACCTGAGAATGAGCTAGTAAACTAGCCAAAGACTAGTTCATACTCATATTGTGTAATAAAGGACAACACAATTTTTGTCCTGGATGTGTGTTATTTTTTTAAGACCTGCTATATCAGCTGGGAACACTTCCCACCCTTTGTGGGTGCATAGGAATCTACATTACCTCACAGTACCTCCATAAAGCAATATTAGCATTTCAACATAAAATATAAAAATAGACCTGTTATTACAATGTACTCCTAAAGAATGGACCAAAATCACAAATGTGAAGATTCATAGTTCATCAATCAGGAACACTTTGTCAGAATAATTACATGCTGACAGAAATGCAATCAAATGTGCCTTGTCTTTGCAATTGAGCTTGAACGTCTGATTTAGGCTTTCATTTCTCGGTTACTGTATTTTAAAATTGTATCTTTTGGCCTGATTTAAGAAAGGAAAAAACACGATCTAGAACAGTTTAAACCTCTCATTGTTTAAATGTTACTTTCACTATATTTGTAGGAAACAAAACCTTGGGAAAACTGCCTATACTTAGCACATTTTACAAAGTCAAGAGCAACCACGTGTTAAGGATGACTAAATCATTGCAAATCAGCATAAGGTGATACCGTGTCTGCACCATTTTTACCTTCAAGGTATAATCAGTAATCGTTTTGGCTTTTTCTTTCTTCTACATCCAACATTTGTTTGGCTTCCAGACGTCTCTGTGTCAAACCTTTGATCAAGTTATCCAGCCAGTATATATACTAGATAGCCTTGATGCTTCCTTGTTTTACCTGATAGATTTTTCATGTGCATTACTGTATGGAGCCCCTTACCAGATTTGTTTTCTTTTGGTGCCTGTTTCTTCTTGTACATGACCAGCAATCGGGAGAAATGCCTTGTTCTTCTCTTACTCCATGTTTATGAAATTTTGCACAATTTTGAAAAATTCACAATCTAAGGAGACACAAACACGGGTCATCTGACCAGGAATCAGACCGCGGGCATTGTGATTATGTGTTGTAACCATTAGACCAAATGTTCATCCATGTTTTTTCATGTTGACTCCACACTGGCTCTGCTCCTTCCTGTCTGTTATTTCATTCCTAGAAGATGATATCAGACTTCATTTCAGAACTGCCAAAATCTTCATGTGAGCGGGTTAGAGGTTCACTGTCCAACCTTGGAAATTAGACAGACTTTTTATTTAGACGCTTCCTGGGGGTGACAGCTCCAGAGGATATTGAATTAGTGTACAGATGAGATGATACGAGAGCTGAAATATTTCAAAGGTGCTAGACATGCCTCAGGTGAAATCTCTATTGCTCTCTCCCACCATAGATTTTTCTCTAGACTCTGTGTGACAGGTGGACCTCAGTGTGGAGCATAAAGTGGATTTTGTTAAAGGAAGAAATTGCAGTGTTTTAGTGTCACCTTCAGAGCAGCATTGACAACACTTATGCAAAGCAGAAACCTAAAAGGAATGTGAATTTCTCCTGAATGTTAATGTTTTATAAATAAATCAACTCACTCCGATCACTATTATTTAGTCATCGGAGTGGTCACTTTTGCATTTTTCTCACTTTTCCAACATGGTAACTTCATTCATTTGTAATTCTGGTATTTATGTTGTGCTTTAAGCTGTCCAGGGTGCACAGCCTGCCACTCAAAGCCAACTGGGCTAGACTTCAGGCTGTGTTTTACACTAATTTTCTGACATTTTTGGTTAATAGCTGTATACTCAACATTTCTGTTTCCAGGCTGCCACACTGTTGAGCCAGTTGTAAAATAGCACATTGTTCCTCACCAAATGCTGCCGTGCATGTTATTTGTCTCATTATCCCTCAGAATTTTGCTCTTCTGATGGATTTGAATTTGCTCTCTCTGTCAGTGGGTCTCAGTGCTGTGTATTGATATGAGCTGAGTCCTGAATTTGCATCCAGGATGTTTTCAAACTCTTATGTATAATTGTCAGTGCAGCCTCACCAACTTGGATGCAGGAAAGATGTGAAAAAGAAACAAGTGCTGATTCATCCAGGACTAGTATTATCACAGGACTCTGTATGGTATTTCCTTTTAACTAGAGCTTTATCAGACATTTATCTGACTATGACTAAGACTAGTGCTACTTCTCATTGAACTAAGTCATGGTGCTGTACAAGATTGTGACTATCTGGGAAGCTAATGTGATATAACGTTTGTATTCTAGTATTAATAGCTAACCCAGTGGAAAGCTTTATGTTACAAATAAGCCAACATAAAAAAAAACATTTTGGTAACACACCTGTGAAACTGAAGTGTGTAGTTGCCTGTTTACCACCCAAAAGAACATAAACTTAGAACTTAGAATAATCCATTTCAAACGTTTTGTACTAACTAGTTTTTTAAATGTGCTGAAGTGAGTTGACAATGAAGATCAAATTTCCCGCATTGACAGTGGACAAAGCATTAAAGGTGATTCTCTTCAATGCAGAACAAGCACGTGTTGGCTGTGATAGCCATCGACAAGATCCTGGAAAGACTGCAAATGTCCAATGAGTTTCTGGAAATGATCCTCAAAGGTCTTAATAACTACTTGGAGAAGAAACGTCTCTACTTTCCACGGTTCTTCTTCCTCTCAAACGAGGAGCTGCTGGAAATCCTCTCTGAGACCAAAGATCCTACAAGGTAAAGAACTATAAGTGTGCACACAGTTAGATTTATTTTTTATCATAACAACAGTAATAATAATTTTAATCAATTAGCTATGGATGTTATCGACAACCCTTAAAGAGAAAACCCCCCATCAAAACTAGCTTTGTACTAGAGATGGCACGATACCACTTTTTTATGTCCGATACCGATATCATAAATTTGGATATCTGCCGATACCGATATGAATCTGATATATAGTGTTTTTTAATCAATAAAACAGTTTTTTAAATATCTTGCTGCATTTTGTATAAGTTCATACTCAAGTTTAAATAAACAACAACACTAAAGCTATTCTGTTATACCTGTATGTAAAAAAAACACAACTGCACCCAAAATATTTCATAGTTCAGCAACACTGATCAATCTAATAAACTTAAACCTGCACCATCCTCCCTATTCTGGTATTTTAAAGAGTACTTAGGAGAAATATTAAGCAACCTAACTAATAGGGTTGCAAACTCCCAGCAAAAGAAAATAGGGAACCACCCCCCACCCTCCACCTCATGATGCTTAATCGATGTAATCAACTTTAATTTAATGCAGGGTGAAAAAAAAATGCACAGAAATAAATTATTTTTCAAGAATAATTAAATAGATTCAACATCTTTCTTCAACAGAATTGCAGACTGCACAGATGGTACCTTCCCAAAGGAAAAAGTACTATAGCTTACTAGGGTATATTAGACTTAATAGTTACTATATACAGTAATTGACTTCTATTCATTTTACATCAGATTAAAACTTTGGGTGTAAGATTCAGATAATTATTAAATAATTAAAAGCTAGATATTTTAAATGAGAATAAGAAAGAAAAGTATGTCTTTGTGCCCCCTTTTCCCTGTTCATGCCCTATCGGTCCCCCTGGCTAAACTTTGCTAGATCCGCCCCTGCACAGTTACCAGCCATCAGCTGCGTAGAAAAAGATCCTCGAGTAGAAAGTAATATTAAATAAATTCTAACAATAGCTTATCAAGCTTAAACGTGCTGCTGTTGTTCAGCCGCTGGTTTCCTCTTTCTGGTGCAAAGTGGGCCAAAAACAAAGAAGAGAGACGGACTCGCGACAGAAAAGCCGATCAGCGGATCATTAAGCAGTTTCACGATTGAAGTAGCAGCAGGAGAGGGAGGGAGAGAGAAGAGGCAGTCGCTCCATATATCGGTTGTTAAGCTTAACATGGGAATTTTTTACAAACATTCAGAGATGAACTTACACACTTGCTTTACTTCTCTCTGGGATAACTTCCTCGAAGATGAAATGCTGGGAGCCTACAAATACACACAGCCGCTCTATCACGTGGTACATACTGCTCAGTTATAAGCAGAGTTACGCCATGTCGCAAGTTTTGTGAGGTGCTTTTTTGATATTTAATGGATCGATTACATTTTTTATTTCTCACCGATATCCGATCCAGTAATTTAGGTCCGTATCGGACCGATACCTATACGTAATATCGGATCGGTCCATCTCTACTTTGTACTACAATGTATAGTATATAAAAAGGTCTCAGAACATTTTCCAGTAAAAAGATTTGAAACTGAGATTTATGAAGTGAAAGAAGAAATGCAGAAAAGGAAATGGAAGACTATGATTGGGGGCTAGTTATAAATTAATCATAACAGCCCTTTGTTTTCTTGTGCTTACAGCAGCTACTTTACCTCCATAGTGGTTACCCAGAAATCCTCACTGATAACCAACACTTGTCTCATTTCACCCTGGGCGTTTAGTTAATAATAAATGTGATTTGAGGCAAGATGTTCAAGCCTCTTACTCTCCTCCTGTTATTTCTTTTTCTCATTTCATTTTCATTCTGCTCTCCCTCAATTCGCTCTCTGACTGCTGGGACTTAACAGTACATCTGTACAGATACACAGTCATCAGCTCTTCTGTAAAGAAGGGATTTCTGCAGCACTGATGTGGATGGTGGGTTTGTGTAGGCCACAGAGGGGTAATTAATGTTGGGGGAAATTTGCATTACTTGTCACTGAATGTAATGTCCTGAGAAAAATGCATACTTTAAATTCAGGGACTGTTTAGCAAATACCACAGACAAATGTGGCATTTACAACATAGCAAACCACAGGACATGAAGCGTTAAATTAGGATGCTTGACTGAGAGTTATCTCTTTGAGGTTTTATAGGTCCAAGTGTATGAAAATTCTCCAACTAACTAAATTCAGTGATTTAATACTCAAAGAAGTCATAATCATACACTTGTGTACCTTTGGAAAGTAACCTGATACTATTAAGACCTAAAAAAAAATGCTTTTTTGCCTACCTATGGATAGAAAATCATGTAGCAGCTGGTGTCTTGTGGCAAACTGAAGAACACTGAAAGTATTGAGACTTGAGTGCATTTATCTTTTTTCATGTGTGCTCTCTTTTTCTTTTTAAGAATTTCCGTTTTTAAACTCTTCTGTAATTGACAAATCCAAGTTTTATTATTCAGTACAACAAATGAGAGCTCAGCCAGTATAAATGCAGACCAATAAATCACCCTCATTGCTGGGGACATAAGCATCAAATAAAACCCCCTTTGTACAATTTTGTTTCAATATTCTTTGAAATGATTATGTTTGCAAAAGTTTCTATTAGTAGAAAATTACACTGTTCAAATAATAATCCATTTTTTTGTTGCTTTGAATCAGTTTGCTCAATTTCCTCCGATGAAAGCGGGAGAGAAGATTTATTACGTATGTCTTTTTGAATACAGCAAAATCAGAAGTTTTCAAACTCTCCACATGGGGAATTTCGCACATAACGATATTGAAATTGTCTGGGTGATATTGATCCAGACACACAGACAATTTACTGCTTGTCTCACTGACAGTGCAGTAAAAGAGGGGCATCAGCAGCTCGCAGACAAAGCTGTAGTTTTGTCTAAAGTGGATTCATTTCAATCCAAATTAAGCTTCACAAAGCTAACAGACAATTGTATATATGGCTGTGTGCAAGCTTGATACTGTGTGTTAAAGTGAGGGACAGTGTAAGTTTGCATATATTTTGGCCATTTGATCAGATTTACAGGCCTGTGGAACTTGAACTGTAACTTTGAGTGATTCGCTTTTCTTGCATTCCTTTCCACAAGGGTGCAGCCCCATCTGAAGAAGTGCTTTGAAGGCATTGCTAGTGTGTTGTTCACTGATGTGCTGGATATCACCCACATGAAGAGCAGTGAGGGTGAAATGGTGCAGCTCCTGGATGTTATTTCCACCTCCAAAGCCAGGGGACAGGTGGAGAAATGGCTTTTAGAACTGGAGAGTGGCATGGCTGCCTCCCTGCATAAGGTGTTGTGTGGATTTTTATTGAACTATTTTTAAAGATTAATTCATTTATAGCATAGAGAAACGTTTGAAAACAACATATTTCATACCTCAGATGCTGTTTTTAGATTGCTTTATAAAAGTAGTAGGATTGAGAATTTGCTCTTATGTGTTATTTCTGTTTCCAGCCACAGTTGACCGCGTATGTTCCAGGTTGCACCAAAGCCTAAGGGTGCAGCCAAACCATCATGATACACAGTTGTTTGAGTGATTTGCTGCTATTGTGGTCAATTGCAGGTAATAGGGGAGGCTATCGAGGCATACCCCAATGAGCTGAGGATAAACTGGGTGCGTGCTTGGCCAGGCCAGACTGTATTGTGTGTTTCACAAGTCTACTGGACGAAGCATATCCACAAAGCTATCAAAACAGGACAGAAGGTAATCAGCTCAATATATATCTATTTTTATATATATATGTCATATACAGTATATCCTGAATATGGGCTAAAAAGTTGATTGTTAACAATATCACCAGATTGCTGTTGTAACCAGCTGCTGGATGGAAACATCTCACAGAATAAATATTTTTTTTAATATCCGTCAGAAATTCTTTACAATTTATTTCACAGGATTAAGGACATAGCCAGCCAATTAGAGCACTAAGAAAAATGCAATCTCTTGATTGTGGACTTTTTTTTTTTTATTAGTAATTTCAAAGATTGAACTTGATGCTGTTATCTTTCTGTCGTGATGAACTCTGTCTTCCTCTTCTTTCTGTTTAATGACGTTTCTCCCTTAGGCTCTTGATGCTTACCTGGAGCAAAACAACAAACAGATTGATGACATTGTGGGTCTTGTGCGTGGAAAACTGTCCAAGCAGAACCGGGTCACCCTCGGAGCCCTTGTCGTGCTGGATGTCCACGCCAGGGATGTGTTAGCCACACTGGTGCAAAAGGGGATAAGTGATGAGAACGACTTTGAGTGGCTTAGCCAACTGCGCTATTACTGGGTGGTATGTGAAAGGAGTGATTGGGGATACTGGGCATTCATGGCAACTCATAATACCATTGCAGTCATTTACTTCAGACTCTGCATCACACGCTTTGCAGGAAAACCATCTCCAAACCAAGATGATCAATGCTGGTTTGCCATATGGCTACGAATACCTGGGCAACACTCCACGTCTGGTCATTACACCACTCACAGACCGCTGCTACCGGTAAAGCTACTGCAGTAACATACTCAACAGTTAACTACACTGTTAGTTAGTCTCCTGTCTTATTACTTTTAACACAAAGATAAATTTTTTAGACTTTTCCTATCATCTTAAGGTGATATAATGTTACAGGTATAACAAGAACCAAACAAGGCTTTCACTTTCACTTTCAGTTTTTGTTACCCTTCAGCTATGCAGAGAAGGGTGAGGGAAATTCAGTGTAGAGGCTACATAGTGTAAACATTTGCATCTGGAAAGCCAAGAGCGAGTTGTCTGTCTAGGATACGCTACACATAGCTCAATGCTTACTAGTAAACGAAAAAGTACTTTAAACAGGAAAGGGTCCAAGAGGACCAAGAAGTTGCTGCAGTTTAATTTTTTTGTAGTGAAGTTTCTTGCAAATTATTACAGCCTTATTCTCCCTGACAGGAAGAACGTTAAAGAGTATTTGACATTAATGTTAAAGGTTCTGTGCTGTAAGTCCACAGGTGAAGCAAAGTTTTTCAGAAAGCTTGTTGCTGTCGTCTGTGGCAGTGTCCAAAACAGTTGGAAAAAGAGTTCATATTGTTGCAGTAATGTTAAAATACCATAAAAGCTGTGCACACTCCTTCAAAACATAAATGGTGATCAATCAATGATTTTGGAAAATAAATATACATACACATATAGAAAGTGTGATGTACCTCACTGAAACTTTAATCTCTAGATTTCAGATTAAAAAGCTTGTAAGCCATCAAACATTCAAAGTTATATTTTCATTTACCTGAGAACAATAAATTCATTTTACTTACTGGTCATTTTTCCTTTTTCAGCACGCTGTTTGGAGCACTCCACCTTCATCTGGGAGGTGCTCCTGAAGGCCCAGCTGGCACAGGAAAAACAGAGACAACCAAAGACTTGGCCAAAGCTGTGGCCAAGCAATGTGTGGTCTTCAACTGCTCTGATGGTCTGGACTACATTGCTTTGGGCAAATTCTTCAAAGTGAGTAAATTGTGTTAATGTGAGTCAGTCCCAGCAGACATAGGCTACAGAGTTTTAGACGTAAGTGAAACGTGGCACTCGAAAAGATGTTTTACTTCACATAGCTCATCAAAGGAACATATTCATACATGCTGTTTCCGTCTTCTTTGGATGGAAGTGCGGCAGAACACACACATCTACCTTGGAATGTCCCACTGGTGTAACTATTAGCACTTCAAAGATGTAGATAATAGAAGAAGACACAGGGGTAAGGTTTCATTCTTACAGTGTTTCCCCTTCCCCACATGGCACACAGCCCTTTAAATGTCAGCCTCTTTACAGCCTGTTCTGAAAAATAAAATGTGGCACAGTGGTGCATTTGTTTGTGGTATACAAATATATGAAGACTGCGCCCGCCATAATTTTCTGATGTAAATATTGTGAATATTTATCCTTATAACAATAGCACCACACTAATAGGCCAGCAAGGCCGCCTCAGTGACCCACAGCGCCTCTGCGGCGGATCAGTGTCATGTAATTAGAAATGATCAGAATAATATAACTCCTTACACACATTTTTTTCCACGCTGATCCAAAAAATAGTTTGGATAAGAAGTAATGCTTATTTATTTAAGTGTGTGTGTGTGTGTGTGTGTGTGTGTGTGTGTGTGTGTGTGTGTGTGTGTGTGTGTGTGTGTGTGTGTGTGTGTGTGTGTGCGCGCGCGCGCGCGATCAGGGCCTCTTGTCCTGTGGAGCTTGGGCCTGCTTTGATGAGTTTAACCGCATTGACTTGGAGGTGCTTTCTGTGGTGGCGCAACAGATTCTCACAATACAGAGAGGTTTGTGTTTGTGCCTTTCTCTCCCTTTGATCTTTAAGAAAGTTGATAGCACACCTGAAACAAATTTGACATAATCTCAGCAGTGAAAAAGCAGGCTTTTCTACAAAGCACACTAACACTGGCGATGCCCAGAATTTCTCCCAGAAAAAAATTAAATGTTAGTAGGTTTTGGTTAATTAACAGATGTTAAGATGCTTGTTTTAACAGTCGTACATAAACATAGAGCTTTTCGTTGTTTCCTATTATGTCAGATTTTGGACCAAATAAAATTCCCTTGAACTTGTCTGGCCTACGCAGGATTTGTTTTAAACCATGGGAGTATTTTTTATTTTTTTATTTTTTTTACACAGATGCTATAACTTTAAGTTGGATAATCTGTAATGTTATTAGCCTGCTGTTGCCATTAACCATTTCACACACATAAAACCAGCTAAACAAACCTAAAATTCTAAAGAACCAAATTATAACTTTTACCTGTTTTACCTTTTACCATTTATTTATTACACATTAGAGTATACAGCATAGTCTATCTAAATAAACTGGTTTCTCTCTCTTTTTTGTCAACTACTGTACGTGCAGAGATGCAACTAAGGCCAACAGAGCTGTGCTGTTCTGTTCGTGCCTAAAAGCTACTGTTATAGCATACTGCTATCCCTATCTGTTTCCAAGTTGTCCTCCCCCGTCGCCCCCACTGGCACCTTAGTGCCAGTCGAAGTCAGTATTGTTAACTTTTATTACTGGAATCGTGCTAAGTTGACAGATTATTGAGTTTCTTAGCCTGCTGCCGCAAATGTTAGTACCGGTATATCAATTCATGTTTATATGTGCCACTTATGGAAATGTCCTGTTAGGAAATTCCCTAAATCAGCAGTTGGATTGAATCAAAAATCCATTTGTAGCTGACTATATTGTTTCTAACTGCACTCGTGCCCCCAGGAATTGCTGCCCACACCGAGATGTTGATGTTTGAAGGGACTGAGCTTAAACTGGATCCCTCTTGCGCTGTGTTCATCACTATGAATCCTGGCTATGCTGGACGGTCTGAGCTACCAGACAACCTTAAGGTACAGTATCAGTTCTTGTCACTGTTCCTGTTTTAATTGTTCAAAATCTGATTCTTTTTTTTCTGGTAATTTAGGAAATGGTGCTGTCTTCTAAAATTAGCTCAAATTAGATTCGATTGTTTTATGTTTCTCTCTTCTACTACTTCAGCTCAGAATCTTTTGAGCCTTAAATCATGTTTTCATTTAGTACATCTTTAACTAATTTTTTTGGTTTCATACCAGGCTCTGTTCAGGACTGTCGCCATGATGGTACCAGACTACGCAATGATTGCAGAGATTGTCCTCTACTCATGTGGTTTTGTTAGTGCGCGACCCTTGTCAGTGAAAATAGTGGCTACTTATCGACTCTGCTCTGAGCAGCTCTCCTCACAGCACCACTATGACTATGGTATGAGAGCTGTCAAGTCTGTGCTAACTGCTGCTGGAAACCTTAAGGTACGTGAAAACAGATTCACGCTCATATGAAGGGAGACTGTGTTCTTAATTAGAGGGGCAGGGGAGGGATCACCGATCCGGGACGAGCTTCGAGCAGCAGAGAGCAAAATGGTTTGAATGTAAGCAGGCAACGTTAGCTCTGTTCCTCAAGCTCACTTCTGTGTGCTTTTTATTAGGAGCAGCACACATGTTCAGTGTGTGTATCCTCAAAACTGCCCTATTCTCAAGGCAACAGTGTTTAGGGGACATCTGTTAATTGAGCTCCAAAAAATAACCAGATTTCACTGTCAGCTGTTAAACTGCTAGACTGCAGTGGTTGAACTAAAGGACCCAAAAGTAAGGAAAGCATAATTGGGGTGTGCAACATTTCTCAGCTCTTGCTCAGTCTTTCCTGATAAAAGTGGTGCTGAGCAACTTAAAAGGCAACCACTCACATAGCTGAGTGTAAGGAATTGCTTCACCCTAAAAGAGATTTACTTACATTTTTAATGCACCAGAAGTAAGTTTTAAGTCAGGTTGGGTTATAAGTTGGTGTTTCTGGGGTATTATTTTTTAATCTATTTTTCCCCAGGAGCAATCTTTTAAACACAAGAGTCTGAGGACTGGCTCATATCGGTGCATTTCAGAAAAACAACATGACAAACTGTTTTGCAGAGTACTGTAATTTGTGAAAGAGAGGGATGTGAGTCATAGTGACCTTATGCATACTGAGAATTTTATCATCGGGTTCTGTACAAGCATAGCAGAAAAATTAAGCCTGTCTTTTAAAATTTTGGTTTTTTTGTTTTGTTTTTTCATATGGAAATGTGTTTTGTGAGTTCCCTAGCAACAGCTGCTGATTTCTATTTTTGGCAAATATGGCAAATATTGTTTTTCTATGCATTACATATCTTCATCCTTTTCCACTGTTGTGGTGTTTAGCTCTTTACATTTATGCTCAGAATGGTGCCTTGTCTGATTCTCTTCTCTTCACCTCAGAGTTGTTTGTTTTACCACAGCTCACCTTTCCAGAGGAGAACGAAGACACCCTGTTGCTGAGATCCATTATTGATGTCAATCTGCCCAAATTCCTGGACCACGATCTGCAGCTATTTGAGGTGTGTGGAGCTCTGCTCGACTTGATAAATGGAGTCGTTCACATCAACTGATGTCAGCTCAAGTTAATTCCAGTCAGTTCATTTGAACCCATGATGCACAAGGACAATTTAAGCACCAGTCAGAATATCTGACTGGGTTATACGTGTGTTTGCATGAGTGAACGAATATTTATGTGTCTATCATTTGTCCTCAGTCCAAACATCAAAGTCAATGTGTGTTGCCGTTGTATGTTGTGGTTAGTATGTAAGGATCTGTACAGGGAGTGCAGAATTATTAGGCAAATTGTATTTTTGAGGAATAATTTTATTATTGAACAACAACCATGTTCTCAATGAACCCAAAAAACTCATTAATATCAAAGCTGAATGTTTTTGGAAGTAGTTTTTAGTTTGTTTTTAGTTTTAGCTATTTTAGGGGGATATCTGTGTGTGCAGGTGACTATTACTGTGCATAATTATTAGGCAACTTAACAAAAAACAAATATATACCCATTTCAATTATTTATTTTTACCAGTCACATCTCCACATTCACAAATAGACATTTCTGACATTCAAAAACAAAACAAAAACAAATCAGCGACCAATATAGCCACCTTTCTTTGCAAGGACACTCAAAAGCCTGCCATCCATGGATTCTGTCAGTGTTTTGATCTGTTCACCATCAACATTGCGTGCAGCAGCAACCACAGCCTCCCAGACACTGTTCAGAGAGGTGTACTGTTTTCCCTCCTTGTAAATCTCACATTTGATGATGGACCACAGGTTCTCAATGGGGTTCAGATCAGGTGAACAAGGAGGCCATGTCATTAGTTTTTCCTCTTTTATACCCTTTCTTGCCACCCACGCTGTGGAGTACTTGGACGCGTGTGATGGAGCATTGTCCTGCATGACAATCATGTTTTTCTTGAAGGATGCAGACTTCTTCCTGTACCACTGCTTGAAGAAGGTGTCTTCCAGAAACTGGCAGTAGGACTGGGAGTTGAGCTTGACTCCATCCTCAACCCGAAAAGGCCCCACAAGCTCATCTTTGATGATACCAGCCCAAACCAGTACTCCACCTCCACCTTGCTTGCGTCTGAGTCGGACTGGAGCTCTCTGCCCTTTACCAATCCAGCCACGGGCCCATCCATCTGGCCCATCAAGACTCACTCTCATTTCATCAGTCCATAAAACCTTAGAAAAACCAGTCTTGAGATATTTCTTGGCCCAGTCTTGACGTTTCAGCTTGTGTGTCTTGTTCAGTGGTGGTCGTCTTTCAGCCTTTCTTACCTTGGCCATGTCTCTGAGTATTGCACACCTTGTGCTTTTGGGCACTCCAGTGATGTTGCAGCTCTGAAATATGGCCAAACTGGTGGCAAGTGGCATCTTGGCAGCTGCACGCTTGACTTTTCTCAGTTCATGGGCAGTTATTTGGCGCCTTGGTTTTTCCACACGCTTCTTGCGACCCTGTTGACTATTTTGAATGAAACGCTTGATTGGTCGATGATCACGCTTCAGAAGCTTTGCAATTTTGAGACTGCTGCATCCCTCTGCAAGATATCTCACTATTTTTGACTTTTCTAAGCCTGTCAAGTCCTTCTTTTGACCCATTTTGCCAAAGGAAAGGAAGTTGCCTAATAATTATGCACACCTGATATAGGGTGTTGATGTCATTAGACCACACCCCTTCTCATTACAGAGATGCACATCACCTAATATGCTTAATTGGTAGTAGGCTTTCAAGCCTATACAGCTTGGAGTAAGACAACATGCATGAAGAGGATGATGTGGACAAAATACTCATTTGCCTAATAATTCTGCACTCCCTGTATATACAGTATGTTCCATCATTCCACTCCAGTATTCTCTACCAATTCTCATTTTTCATATCAGGGTATCACCTCTGACCTCTTTCCGGGAGTCAAACTCCCAAAACGTGACTACAATGTTCTACTGGAGGCCATTGAGGATAACTGCCGGCAAATGAACCTTCAAGTCACAGAATTCTTTGCTGAGAAAATCCTGCAAATCTTTGAGATGATGATAGTGAGACATGGCTTCATGTTAGTGGGTGAACCGTTTGGTGGAAAGACCAGTGCTTACCGTGTGCTGGCAGCTGCCCTTCATGACGTTTTTAAGAAGGTGAGATGTTGTTTTAAATTTAAAAATCTAACCAGTGGATTGTAAAATAGAAAGTCCCAGCTCTATTTGCACTCTATTGACACTTGGACTTAACGGGGTGGTTTGAGTGGTTGAATAAGAGTCATGATAATGGCAACAACAGCATAAGTGGTTAAAAGTGGCACTTGGCCTTAGGTTGAATGGCATTTAATATGTTCACATATCATGTTCTGAAAGAAACGGAAAACAAAGCTTATTTTTAAGTAGCTGACAAAGCAGAGTTAGTAGTTTTTAATAGTGCTACCTGAGTCCTTAATACATAAATTTAATCTGTGAAAGAAAAAAACAAAACCTAGCCCTTTGTGTCAAGTAAAAATATGTCTTACATGCAATATTCAAGGCTTATCTGAGCTACATGATTGTCCCAAGTAAACACATCCATCCACTTTGTCAGAGCTGTAGTCTTTGTTTAGTAGTTATCGATCTCCCAGAAAGGACCAGAACTGGCTTGTTGTATTTACATGGCTGAGAGGGCTGAGAGGCATCCCACCAAGGAGACAGATGAAGGCTTGCTGATGGAGCGCCTGGGAATGCCACATTTATCATCGTCATCCTTGTCGCTGCACATCCACTGATCATGTCCAGCCTCCCTCCCCTCACGCTCCATTTTTGTTTTTTGTTTTTTTCCTCCAGCAGTTTTTAACTCAAACTGACATCCTATCTGAAGTGCCATTTGAAGCAGGTTTTGCTTCTCTTCTTCAGTTAGCACGAATCCTGTCATACTGGCAGTAATTTTGTAAGCAATTTATGTGTCAAGGCAAAGACAGGTTGGTCAAATGAGTGTCATAGAAACACATTTAGTCTGTTTTTGCCTCAACTACGGAGTGCAGTCATCTTATGTATAATCATGTGGCTCACGTTTGTCTGATTTGTATTTGTCTGGACACCTTTTGTTTTTCCCAGTAAGAATATCTCTTTGCACACATGGCTTTTTTGTGTTGTTATATCAGGGTCTGATGGATGAGAACCAGGTACAGATCACAGTAATCAATCCCAAATCCATTACCATGGGCCAGCTGTACGGCCAGTTTGACCCTGTCTCTCACGAGTGGTCTGATGGCATCCTTGCTGTCAGCTACAGATCCTTCGCTGCCTCCCAGGTAAGACTGCTGCCTATGAATGGTTTGCAAAAGCCTGCAGAGTACTAGCAGGAGATCATCAGAAATTTCAGGTCAGAAACAGTCAATGAGTCAAAAAGTTAAAGCAACTCTACTAGTACTTACTACTACTGCTATTACTACAGGTATCTGAGCACCAAAACATCAAAATCAGCTGACCCTTTGCTATGCTAACTGTGCTCTAAACAGGGTTATAGTGAATCCTTTTTTCTATTTTGCATCATATTTTTCCTCTCCCAGTGGTGGATGCTTGTTTCAGATATGAGATAAATAAGAATTATTTTTAACAGTTAGTCATGCACAGCTATTATATCAGGGTCCAACTATAAAAGTATGAAAATGGAACTGGGCAGAACAGGTGTACACTAAATCCTTTTTTTCTGTTGCTTTTCTTTTTGGACAAAATGCTTTTCTGTTGAGAATATAATTAGCAGTTTTATGCATGTGATTTTAGTGCTTGTAGTTTAAATATATTCTGCAGATAGTGCAGAACTGTGATTAAACTGTTAAAGGTCGAGTAAGCTTTTTGAAATTCATGAACTACTGGACTAGCTGTCTCTTTCTCGTCCCTGGATCCAAGCAACATCATCCTGCAAGGATGTTTTCTTTGTGGAGTAGAAATTGACTATACTTTATTGCCGCATAATTTTAGCATTTCTGTAACATTATTGCACTTATCTGTCAGCTCATAAAAATGTTTTTGGAACAACTTTGTATCAGTTAAAAGTAAAAAAAAAAATAAATAAATTATTTATTATTTGTTTGTCTTCGTGCAGATAAATAAAAATTTTGAATGGGAATGTTTGCCAGTGTAGATTATTCTGACTTTATTGCGAGGCAGGCGGCAATACAGCATATGCTTTGTTCGTAATGAGTAATTCAGAACTGAATCAGGAAAGCAGGAAACTGCTGTTGCACTCCCCCTGCAAGGTAAAACTTTAAAGCACATGGTAATTGTGGTACAGTTGGACCAAATGTCCTATGTGCATCCACCTACTGTTGGTAGCTGTGCAGGAATAAGATGAGATCGAGATACATTATTGTCTGCTCACCCTCAGTTAATGAGTTTTGACGGATCTTTATACAATAGGCATGACATTCCAATTAATTGCAAGCTAGTAGAAAGAAAGGCTTCAGTGGCAGGTAAACAAGAGAAACATTCGGCTGTCTTGTTAAAATTAGGTCTTTAATAACTCTCTTTCATTGTGATACACACACACACACACACACTAGACACACACAGGCAGACAATTTACAGGCTGCACTAGAGGCATGTCCTAATGGAAAATCATTTCTTCCCTTTATTCTCAGTGTTTCCAAATTAAGTTGTCATTTAAAAAAAGTGTTAGTATATAAAGCTGTCATATTACAAATTGTAAGGAGTAACATTATATACTGATGCAAACAAAACAGAAAACAAATCTAGCTTTTTTAAAGTCATTTTCTTCTGCAGACAGTGGTCTTCCGTTGTTTTTGCTCTCTTTTCCTGCAACACATTTTACTAAACTCATTTCATGTGCACTAATCTGGAGTAAACTGCGTTGTAGTGTATTAAATTTCTGCATACAAAATGCTTTTTTTTTTTTTTCCCCCAGATCATTAAATTACTGCATGTTCACTTCCCTCACAAGCACCAGATGGCCCAGGCCCAGGCATCTCCATTTGTTTATATTATAACAAATCAATTTAAAGTACAGCTCTTGCCAGCCCATTTAACTGGAGAATTGACACTTGTTGTCAGCCCCCATTATGACAATGTGGGTGTTAATTTCATTTATTTAGCAGACATTCTTCACTTACATTGTAATTCACAGGAGTTCAGTTGTGACCTTGGAAGTATGCACAATGATTTCAGTGTGCAGTATGTGGGCAATACTGGCACATAAAGTTGTAAGACATGCACTCTTTTCACAAACCTTTAAACACATTTTTTCTAACCCTGAACATCATAATTATCAACACTCGTGTTTTTCCTGGTTTCTCTGATATTTTCAGACCACGCCCACCTTCTTTGCATTTTCTTCTGGGAAAATTCCTTAATGTGCATGATCCTCAAACTTTATTTTGAATATTTGTTTTGTTGTTAAATTTGTTGATTACCAAAGTTTCCAGATCGCCATGCTTCATGCACGGCATACACGACATACAGGTAAAGCCCACACAACCTGTTGGTGCAACTGGGCAACATGCATTTGGACTGAAGGTGTATATGTGCTTGCTAATCTGTGCACAGGCAGGACAGACCGAATTACCTCGCTATCTTAGCTGTTATTTTGATACTTCAACTCTTCTCACAGACTAAAATAAATAACTGCAGGTTGAGTACATCTGCGACTCTTTGGATGCTGAGAGCTGTTGACTTTTTTTTTTCCAGCAACAGAGTGAGTAACAGCTATTTTCAAAATGAGCTGGACATTTCATACTGATCTCTGACTGTAGCTGGCTGTGAGATGAGTGTGCAGGGATCATCTATAAACTGCAAAAATGAAGATACTACAAAAATATAAAACTTACAGAGTCACCAGAATGATTTTACACATCACTAAACTTCTGTTGGTTGTACTAAACAGTCATTTTTAAAGGCTTTATATTTCACTGTACAACACTGCATAACTTCAGTGTTATACAGAGTCACTGCACTCATAAATGGTCTTCTGATGAATATATCAACATACTGCTGGCAAGCAAGCAGCTCATGATTGTGGTTAATAATCGTAACCTTACTTTATGTTTTGACCTCACAGCTTAACAATTTAGCTTCAGTTGTGTTGAAATGATTTCTTATGGTATGAATTTCATATTCCTTGTGTGTCTCAGAGCCCTGACAGAAAATGGCTCATCTTTGATGGTCCAGTGGATGCTGTGTGGATCGAGAACATGAACACAGTACTTGATGACAACAAGAAGTTGTGTCTGATGAGCGGTGAGATCATTCAAATGTCACCACAAATGAGCCTCATCTTTGAACCCATGGACCTGGAGGTGGCATCTCCAGCCACGGTGAGAGATTCCTTTAATTTAATCTGGCTATCAGGCAGGTTCTACTTGTGGCTCTGTATGATGTCAATGAGTGCAGATACCTCTATCATGGCACACAGCTGTGCCTTCAATCTGAAGAAAGCCTTGACAGTAAGGTGGTCTTAAGCTAAAACAGCTTATTTCAGGCAGAAGATGAACCGAGGTCCTGAACCAAAGCCAAGCACAAGATAAATAACGACAGAACTATAAATAGTGAGGCCACCTTGAAGTTCAGTCATTCATGAATACTCTGGTCAAAAGCCTGTTTTAGAGGACTCGACCTCTGCGGTCTCTGGGTTTGTTTATTGGGATTTTTTTTTTGTTCTATTGAAATTCTCTTTTTTTTAATGTTTCAATAATTAGAATGACAGATGTTTCTGTTTTGTTGTGGGACTGTGAAGAATTTTATTCTTGGGAATTCAGCCCCCTTTTCTGCCTTTTTCTGCCATTTTGAAATGTCATATTAACAACATCAGTGGGGGTTATTTGACTGGTTGATCTTCTCTGTTTGCAGAATTACTGAAAATCTGAACAGATATATGTATTCACCCATTCCATGTCCTGGTGAATACATTTATACAAATAAAAACGGTTCTCAGACGTAATTTTCAAGATAGACAAACACACTCTAAACGAGGTTCAGGCTCTCGGTTCATGCATGCTGTGGTATTTTGAGCCTTTGCAGAGGTATTCAGTCTTCGAATGCTACTTTTCTGTTTGCACTGTTGTTATTTATACGGCCACCTCTGCTATTGGCTTTGGGAGACTCTAGACAGCCATGCGCTAACATAAGCCACATTTCTTTACGAAGCCACAGTGACATTTATCAGGAGGGCATAACACTTGAGATAGCATCCTCCCCAACCTCCTCCTCACCGTTTCCACCCTCCACTGTGTAATTTCAAAGGTGCTAAAGGAAATGTGTGCTATAGGGTGCGTAATCTGTCAATCGTCAAAACAAGAGATCACAGGGGTGACACACCTCTGTCTTCCATTTGAAATAACCTGCAGTCCTTGTGTACCTGTAGTTTTCTTGCAGTATATATTCTTTGGTTATTTGTTGTGAGGCATAAACAAAGGATGTGCTTCAAATGCATAGATGTCTTGAGAGAATAGCTTCTGCCTCTGCTTTTTTTATTAAACAGACTTCTATTTTTGATACTCTATAGCCTGGCATCTGTTCCTTTCATTACGCTGAATGAAGAGGCATCAAACATTTTGTGATCACAGTGAACTCTTCCCAATTTGTGCATTTCCAACACTTTTGTGCACTATTGATCCCTCAGTTTTTATTTCTCTGTTTAAGAGTATGTTTATTAAAACCTTAACTTATTTACTGTTTTTGATAATATCTTCTAGCTTTATTAGTACTTCTTTGCCAAGCTATTAATGGGATGTTACAGAGAACTTCTGTCTTAAGGCAGCAACTCTTTCATTAGATAATAATTACAAATGATGTGATCAATGCACTGTGCATTAATTTGCACTATCAGTATATGTTTTTTGCTCCACTGCCATTTTTATATCACATCTACTTTCAGCATTGTATAGCTTTGTCTTCTGATAAGGAGTCTATCATAATTCTGCCTGACGGTTTATAGTTAATGTTATTTACGAACAATATTCTTGTGAGTGATGAAGGATAACTGTTTACATGTTTATTTTCTAATGTGATATAAATGATTGTGGCAGGTGTCTCGCTGTGGTATGATCTACATGGAGCCACATATGCTTGGCTGGCGGCCTCTCATGCTGTCCTGGCTCAGTACCCTGCCTCCTACAGTCAGTGCTACGCACAAAGACCTCATCACTGCCCTCTTTGACCGCCTACTGCCAGCCTGCCTACAGCTCATTCGAAAGGCCACCAAGGTGCTTAGAAACTTTTTTTAAAACACTTTCAAGTTGCCAGTACTTCGATTTTAGAGCAGCAAGTGGTCCAGTCAGCCAGGAATTGAACAGAAACTGCCTGGGGCATTTGCATGATTTCTTTTGCAAATGAATTTTGTGTAATTTTAGTTTTATGCTTCTGTTACTTTCAGATGTTTATAGTTGCCTTCTATACTAACAAATTAATTTTTTCTGAGGCTGGTTGACTTTTTTTTTAAACATCATTCTTATTCCAAATTTGATTTTAGGAGCTGTCTTCAACGTCTGACACCAACCTAGTGAAGTCCCTCATGAATCTGATGGACTGTATGATGGATGAATTTCAGGATGAAGCAAAGATTAAGAATGTGGATGAAAAAAATATTTGCTCCTGGCTGGAGGTTTGTTTCCACACTACTGCTGCTAATGCTGCTACTTTCTATTGAAGTAATATAAAACATAGTAACATATGAAATAAGTAAAGGTCTTTATACCTTTTTAGCATTTTAGCCCAACCCTAAAAGATGGCTTTACAGAGCAGTCCACAATATACAGTTTTCACTTCCTACAGTCATTGCAGCTCTGTACCTCTTTGATATGCATAATTCGGCATACAGCATTTTGGCTAATTAGTTGATATGACACAGTACAAACAGAAAAAGTCAAACTCGCAAGAGCTTAGAATTACTGAACCAACATCCAAGACTCCCCATTGTGTCCGTTCTCATTTGATCACATTAAAAAATATGCGGTGTACTGCAAATCTGAGTCCTGTTATATGCACAGAATACAAATTGAGAATATGTCTCATAAAAAATTGGCACTGTCAGGTTCTGTTTTGTGTTGACGCTGTAAGTCTGGGATGTTGCTCTTGGAAGTGTAAGGAAATGCTTACATGAACGTAAATGAGAAAAAAAATACTGCTGTTACTTTGATACAAAAAACCCCCAGTTTGTTTCTAAAATCATACTTGAGTAATACAAATTAATACTGTAGTTTAAAGTATTAAAGTGTGGAAGCATTTATTTTCTGTAATCTGTAGCTCAGTGTTAACAATACAGATATAACACAGAAAAGAAAATATTCCTTTTGTCTTTCTAAATTTACTGCATTAATAGGGTCTGCCCCGACAAAAAACGGAAAAATTTTAGCAGATGAGCCCTTTCATCCCCCCCCATTCCAATTGATTTTTTGCCTCTGAATCATGTCTTTTGAAAGCACTGCTATTATCCCCCTGTGGCATACTGCACTGATGAATGCCTTTCAACCCTCGCTCCTATGTTTCTCAGCTAGTCATTATCAAAGTGTTGAATTAATCAGCTTTTTAACAGCAGGAGCTATCATGAGGCTGCTAAGCTTCATTTCCAATTCCTACAGTATCCCCTGCTGGGTTTTTGTTCTAACAAAGGTCCTCTCTTTTTGGATTTTGTTTTTTGTCTCATTTAATAACCTGGACAGTACTTGGAGCTGGGCTGGTGTGCCTGAATGCTTTAAATTAGTATAATAAACACAACCTATGACTCTTTAGTAAAATGTTTTAGAACAGATCCTATATGTCCATGGGATTTTTATTTTTATGCTAGACTGGTGGTATCTGTTTACCTTCTCACGCCCACCAGAATATGTAGTCTATTTAGTCGTCTAAGACTGCTCATTGGGTAAATATACTACGGTGTAGAAGTCTTTCACCAGGACATTCCAGGAGACAGGCGGGCCCTAAAACATGTCCTCCAGCAGGCGATTGGTGTGAATTTCACCTAACCAACCATCAAAAACATACTTCATGAAGGTGGCCTCAGAGCCTGACATCCTCTAGTGGGCCCTGTGCTCACTGCATGGAGCTCAATTGGCATTTGCCATAGAAGTGGCAGGTCCACCACTGGAATCCTGTGCTTTTCACAGATTAGAGCAGATTCATCATGAGCACATGTGACAGGCAGGATCTGGAGAAGGCATGTTCAGTTTGACCAGTTTGGTAGTGGGTCAGTGACAGTCTGCGGAGGCATATCCATGGTATTTGAATGAAATCCTTGGACCCATCGTCAGATGCTGTTGCAGAGGGGTCCTGGGCTTCTCCTGGCCTCAGGTAGTGAGATGATTCCTCGAGGATTAAGGAATTAATACTACTCAGTGGCTCCGCACAGTTTTTCTCATCAGACATTTTTAAATGTCTTGGAAAGTTGTCTTTTCAATGTATTTTAATGTTGTTTGTGGTGAGTGGGATGTGATTAGCTCATAAACAACCCCAGTTTCCTGAGTAGAGGAGTAATTATTTTTTTTTTAACTTTGAGCTTTCGCCATTGATTTCATCAATCATATCCACAACATATATCCATACTGTAGGCGCCAGATGTCTGCTTTAGAATTTTATTTACATTTGAGTTCGTATTTGTTTTATAATTCATAGATTCATTACATAAGTCATCTTTTCAGGATTAATAAATATGAAAATATATGTTGTGTTTACATAAAGTAATGTTTGGGATTGGAATCTAAAAAGGGGTACCTCTTACTTTAAGTATGTAAGTGCAATAGTAGCATGAAACCCTGTGTGAGGGGGAAGGGGAGGAGCATGGACAGAGCGGTTAGGAGTCTCACAGTTTTCTGACCGTGTGCACAGGTAGTTCTGGATAACCTTTTTTTTTTTTTTTAAACTTTCATGCTTATTTAGGAAGGAGTTCATTGTTACATCTTCAGTTTGTGATAAATAAACAGTCTTCAAATGATAATGCAACTGGAAGCATTTCTTTTGGAAACCAGGACTTGGTTTATTGGCAATTACCCTACACATACTGATATGCTTGAGCAGTCAAAACCAGTAATGATGTTCCTTTTCTTTTACAAAGGGCATGTTTACGTTCTGCCTGATCTGGTCAGTGGGTGCTAGCTGTGACGATTTGGGCCGAGTAAAGTTTGATGCTCTGGTAAGAGAGGTGATGAATGGCCCCTTAAGTAAGGAGACAGCAGCCCGCCATGGCATTCTGGTCACTGTGGAGGCTCCACCGAATCAGCTGACACTCCCCTTACCCACTAAGGGAACCCTCTACGAGTACTGCTTCGTTAAAGAGGTAAGAGTGCAAGAGGTAAGATACTTTTGTGCATGATATTTATAAGATGCTGGTATATAAATTTCAAGTGTTTTAGGATTAGAATAAATCCTAACCCTGAATAAAATAGAATAAAAACAAGAAAACTGAAGATAGCAGTGGTTTTGTTTTTGCCATAATCACAATATGTACAAAAAAGAACTTAACTCTGAGTTTTGTTATCTAGATGGAGTGACATACCAATAAATCTTTCCTCCCCTGAGATTGTTGGGGAAAAGGGACAGTAATTTATTGTCTGTCTGTGACCTTTATGGTTGCATACTGCAGTCTCTTTCACATCCCGCCATCTGGCTTTAATGTGCTGTAAATTTTAGTAATTTTTTATTTTTCATTCAAGGATTGTTTTCTTAGAAAAAGGTTAGTTCCCTTTTCAACACGGACATTTGAGATATTCTTAATATCTGCTTTGAAAAGGACATATGTACATGAGAGATAACATACCAGATGATGAAACAAACACACACACACACACACACACACACACACACACACACACACACACACACACACACACAGGTTGTGATCCTTGTACCCTCTTATTCCTCGTGCTTGTGATCTGAGGAGAGCAATTCCTTCCTGCTTTAAGCAGCAGTTTAACTGTTGACAAGCCCGGTGGCCATTTCATCAAATAGTATTATCTGTGATTAGTAGTCTGGTACTGTATGTGTCCAGCACTCACTGAGCTTTATATCGTAAATGAAAGTTTCGTCTTTTCATTATTTCCATGTCAGGGCCCGGGCAGGTGGGAGCTTTGGACAGATAAGTTAAAGGCTGCTCCCCCCATAGGCAAAGACATGCAGTTCAATGAGATCATTGTTCCCACTGAGAACACAGTACGCTACATGGCACTGATGGAGCTACTCGTCACTCACCAGAAACCCACTATTTTCATCGGTCCCACTGGCACTGGCAAGAGTGTCTACATTACAGTGAGTCATGCAATACATCTACTTTACAGATCGAACCTTTCGAAAGCACTACAGTATTTTGTGTTAACGCAAACTGATTTGAGGTAATATACACAGTATAGCAAACTCTATGAAGCTCAAAGCTGTTAGTTCAAATGATGTCAGACAAGAACAGTCTTTTTACATTGCTGTAATAGAAGGATGTAATCATTACTTAGTGCCTAATTTGTAGTTACATTTAGAATAAAACCACTTTTGAATGTGAAATTGATCTAAGATGTTAATAGTCCACATTATTATAATAGCTGTCATTTAATACAACCTTTGTTAAGTCGTGCCTACCTACCCTGTCTCCCATCATGGTTGACGTGATCAGCAACTCTGTAGAACTCATATGGTAACAGCTGCTTTTTGCCTCTTTCTCTAAAAAACAAACAACAACAAAAACAACTGTGTCACCATATGGCGACCTTCCACTGATGCTCTATTGTATCTCAACTACAAGTTGTCCAATTAGCTCCCTCCTCTGGTTTTGTCGGTTGGTTGAATGACATCAGAATTTCAACCAGCTTTTTCAAAATAAAGTACAATAAAAATGAACTATTGGTTGTGGCTTTCAAAACTTTGCCCGCAAAAGTGGCTCATCTTCATCTTAATGTGGGTGGATGTTCCATTTCACACACATTTCTAGAAGTCTGCGAACTGGGTGTCAACCTGGACTCTGCTCTCTTGTTCCCATCACATGTCAAATCCATCTTTAAATCTGCCCTTTACCACCCAAAGAACTTCTCCAGACAATGGCCTTCATTCTCAGACTGAAACCCACACTCATATCTTCATCACCTCCCTCCTAGACTACTGCAACAGTGTACTGTTTGCCTAACAAAGCCCTTGGACAGTATATTCAGAACTTACTGTAGCTGCCAGTCTCTTACCCACACTAAGACCTGGCTCTGTTCAAGTTCTTCTCCTCACCTGCAAATACATACATGTCCTTGCTCTTACATGTCATCCTGAACTCTAATTTTTAAAATGAATGCCTTGATTATACTTTATTGTAAACACTGATACAGACAGCTGGCAACCTGATGGTCCAGTAGTCTTTCCTGATATACTTTAGGGCAGCTGATTTAAAATTGTCTAGTTTTCTTTTGTGAATGATCAGAAAACCAATCAAAGATCCAGGATTGCAATAATAGTGTTTCCTACTTTACTACAGTTCTGTGAAAAGCTATTTAATTTGCAATTGAAGGTGGTTAGTTGTGACATTTGGAGTGTAAATAAAATTAATTTGGTTGCATTTTTTTACATAGCTTAAATATTTCTTTCAGAACTCTAATGTTGCATTTTTCTATTTCCTGTACTTAAGAAGCTATGAATGCTCAGAAGACATTAACTTAGTGATGCAGTAGGTCACATGTCCACAAACAATGATGATAATATCCAGTCAGAACCACATCTTACATAGTACAAACAGTTAAATAAGTCATCTACGAGTAATACATATTGCTTTGGCAAAATGGCAATATGTATGTATTTTGATGGCCTGTAACTTTTAAAAATTGCATTGTAAAAAGGTAAAGATTATTCAAATTTTGATTAAATTCACTGAAAATCAGCTCACTCTGATGTGGTCTGTTAGGACATTTTTCACTTTGAGACAAAACTGGGACATTGCCCTGTTCTGCTATTATTATCTTGTCCACTTTAAAGCTGTACATAAATTGTTATCAGATACAGACAAACATTGCCTGTGCCACTGATAGCATCACTGACTCAGATGATTAAACTTATGTGTAGGACTTGCAGTCCCAGGCTAGAGTAAGTGCTGCGAGCACACCAATCATTTGGAGGCAGCTACAGAAGCCAGGTGTGAAATGACCACCTTGGAAGAATACAGAGTATCTCTCAGCAGTGCTTTGACTATTTATATCAAGGACTAATCCGTCCTCCGTTCCTTTGCTTCATTAGTTCATCCATTAGCAAGTTCAAACTTCAGACTCTGGGGTGAGTGGAGATCATCTCACTGCCTTGTACTCCACTGTCTGTCTGTCTGCCTGCCTGCTGAAGTGGCTCTGTCCCATGTCATAACCAGCAGACCGTGGCAGAATCCCAAATCTGGCACAAGTGATAAACGCTCAGACTATGTGAATATGTATGGCACCGTGCCCGCACTTGTATCCTCGACCGACTACTTAAAGCAAATTCACCTGCACCACACTAATCTGGGGTGAGACTCAGACGAGTGGTGCTGCTGGTTTATAATTTAGGGAAGAGGGTGATGCACTTTGTCTGCATCTTGTGATCATTCACATCACACGCTCCCTTTGATTAAGCAGCTCATTATTCAAATAGTTTGACAACCTCCATATGACCGCTTAATATATGCTTATGCAGAAAGCAAGCTAAGGATGTGCTCTGAACCTAAAGATAAAATCCTAATAAAATGCATCAGCTCTCTATGTATGCTATGTTCCCTGTTCATATAAACACAGAAGGAGATTTGTTCAGTGGGTGCCCGTTATTTTGAGCTTTTAGTAAAATGTCCTTTCTGTAAACTCATGCAGTTTGAAAAAGTCACTGATTTTACCGTTTTAGCCTGTGCACCATTACTTTAGAGCTTCTCCTCAGGGAGACACCTCTTTTCACAATTTATTTTGGAGTCATTTTCAGGGATTAACTGAGAATTTTTTCTAATGAAATACATACTGACAGCCACTTTTAATTTTAATTAGATTAAAAAGCTTATCATAATCATTTGTCCAGATAAAATTGAAAATGATCCTTTTAAGGTGTATTTGTAACAGGTACTTTTGGTGTGTTAATTTAAAATGGGGTGAAAATGAGCACAGTGTTTTTTGTTTGTTTGTTTGTTTGTTTTTTCTGTGTGCGGCAATCAACAAGGTTATTAATTTTCTAGAAGTATTACTACTACTGACATACCTAGTTCTTTATAAATCACTTGTAGGATTTGAATAAACCAGAAAGAAAGCCTTTATGAGTATAAACCCTCCACTGAGTGCAAGAGCAAGATTTCTGTTTGTCTCATGTCTTGGAGTGTGATACCTTGTTGTCGAGGTCAAAAATATTAAGCCAATTTGATGTAAATATCCAGAGGAACTTTTACTTAGTGCCTCTGATATCGACTTTTTAGGTTAACAGAAGGTTTCAGTTAAGGCTGTGATATATACCTGGTTATAACATAGAGAAGATCAGCAGGAAAGGAGAGGAAGGTGAAGTAAATAAACTGAATAGCTGGAATACGTTGGTGTGACCATCACCCTTTCTACTAACGGAACACCAGATCTCTGATCAGTAACACATTTCTGTGTGATGTGTTATTAGTGTTTGTTCTTGCTTTATATCTGTGTATCTTTTTTATTACAAAGTATTATGTGACCTGCCCTGAAACTACAGATGTAAACTAGCAGGTTTGCTGTAATCTGCCATGTTTACAGTTTATATTTTTGATACACTGATGTCCATTAAGATGCATTACTCCTGGTAAATAAACAAATAATAAATAATGAACAAAGAAAGAAATGTAATATACTGTTTACCGTATGCTCCCATACCTTGAGATCTGATGATAACTTGTGTTCATATTTCAAATCTCTTGCCTAGGACTTCCTGTTGAATAAGATACAGAAGGATGTGTACACCCCATTGTTTATCAACTTCTCAGCCCAGACTACAGCTGCCCAGACACAAAACATTATTATTTCCAAGCTAGATAAGCGGCGCAAAGGAGTGTTTGGCCCTCCAGTGGGGAAAAAAATGGTAGCGCCTCTTTATCACCTACATTTTATTATTTTTGAACATCTTGTTTCTTTGCTGGTGTGCACTCGATCTATTGAGCATTAAACAGTGTGGCAGCGTACAGTTTTAAATACACCAGATAATTTGTTTTTCTCTAGTATATGCAGTTTAAGTTTAAGAATACTAATGTTACATTCTATTAGGTGGTATTTGTGGATGATGTAAACATGCCAGCGAGAGAGGTTTATGGTGCACAACCTCCTGTGGAGCTGCTTCGCCAGTGGCTTGATCACTGGAACTGGTATGACTTGAAGGACTGCGCCATGATTAATCTGACGGATATCCTCATCATATGTGCGATGGGACCACCTGGTAAGTAGCCGCACTGATACTTAAAGGTTAATTAGAAATGCTGTCAGCCAATGACAGAAATGTCAGTGCTTGATTAAAATGTTTGTAGAGTGAGTATTCTTGTTTTTCTGTTGCTCGAGCGACTGTTGAGTCAGTGTCACAAACCATTTCCTGCCGTTTTGTGAGCTTCTCATTGCCTTAAGGTTTTTACAAATGGAAAAAATGCTTACCACATCTGTCTCCAATACAACAACCAGTGTAAACATGAAGGCAGCCTCCTCCACTGAAGCAGCTGGCAGTGACAGCTGCAAAAGGAAGGGGATGGGAGCCACTCTCAGGTGGCCACAGTTTTGGTGATGCGTGAGCTGACAGTTTTTTAGTTTTTCTGAGGTCTGCGTATCTGGCAGCCACAGAAACTAAATGCTGTCCCAAGTGTTTACCAGCTGCCACGGTGATAGCTGGTCAAGATGACTCATCTCAAGAATTCAAATTAAAAACAAAAAAATTTCACATGTTTAATTAAACCAATAGATTTTATTAATGTATAATTTTTATGTTAAGTTTAGATTTTTTCTTGCCATTGTTTGTCCCAATCGAAGAAGGTTGGAGGGATTGTCAATCTCAGGTAAAGGAGAGAGGAGAGGTACTGTGGCCTCAGTTGAGTTTTTCATTGATTTGACTGCTAGGTGCCCACCTTCTACACTTTGTTTCCCTGCATTAAACTATGACAGCAGGCCTCTTGTTCCTCTGGAAGCTGCTTGGTAGTCTGCCAAAACCACACTGGTTTTGCTGAGCTTCAGGTGATCGCAGTAACACCATGTGATCGTGGCTTCTATTGATCTTCTGTACTCAACCGTAAAAACTGTCTCAAAGGGAAGCCAGTATGTTTCTCACTGGAATCATGCCCTTCATTATATTGATAAAATGTCAATATATTAATAACTTGCATTTTGCAACAAAATGCGCTCAAAACCTTTGAACAAATTCCTTAAATTTTTACTACATATACTATACTGTGTAAGTATTTTACAGACAAGGATGTAAAATACTTGCTTTATCAGGCTTCAAACTGTGAGTTAGTAATTCCAGTTTGTATTTTGTTGTCTGCTTTTTTTTAGGTGGGGGGCGTAACCCTGTCACTCCTCGGTTCCTGCGTCACTTCAACATGATCACCATTAATGACTTTGATGAGAAGACCATGTATACAATCTTCTCCAGGATCACAAATTGGCATTTTACCATATGGTAACACTAACAATTAGGATGTTGAGACAGTAATTTTATTCAAATTTACCAAATGTACCTGTGTAAATAACCATGCCTTGCATATACAGGATAATCAGTTACTCAATACTGCAGAAGATCTTTTTGAGCAAAATATAGTAAATACCAGCTAGGATCCAATTATTCTGTACATCAGTGTCTGTGTCAGTCATTTGAGGATTAAAGGTGGTACTTTTGCTCCCCCCTTTTTGCTCTGCCACATTGTTTACTTCAGAGACTATAAGACCAAAAGCAATCAGATCTTTTGGACAGATTTCAGATCTCCACTAGCACTCATCCAGGCACATATGGCAGCTGCATTTTAAAAATATATATGTTTTAAAGATGTTTTTGCATTTTGAAAACAGTTATATTTGTTTGAAGATAGATTCTTGATAATACCATATATTTATGAGTTCAGTGTTTAGTTAAAACAACAATTACAGATTAATTTTTCTGACTAAACTCCAGGAACAGGATCTCACCAATGAATTCATTTGATTTGCAGCTTTTTATTCCCCAAGGCATTTGCTACTCTGACCTCTCAGATCGTCCATAGCACTTTGTCAGTTTACCAAGAGGCCACCAAGAACCTGCTACCAACCCCCACAAAGTCCCATTACTTGTTCAATTTACGTGATGTCTCCCGGGTTATCCAGGGCATCTGCCTGTCACGGCCAGAGACTGCAGAGGAACAGTCTGTCATCAAACGGCTCTGGGTCCATGAGGTAATGTCGTACATTACAAACAGTATGAGGTACATGAAAGCAGCATTACTAAAGTAACCTAACGTATTGCTGTGGAAAGTGGAAATCCATTATATAATAGCTTCAGTCAAGCCAACAAGATTTGGTGTTGAGATCTGTCCATATCTGTCTCTGCACATGTCTGTTTCTTTCCTTTTCTTGTTAATCCACAGGTCCTGAGGGTGTACTACGATCGACTGGTCCACGACACCGATCGATCCTGGCTTGTAAGTCATCTACAGGTTGTGTGTCAGTCTCACATGAAGGAGAACTTCCATCAGCTTTTCCAGCATCTGGACCAGGACCAAGATGGAAAGGTGACTGAAGATGACCTGCGCAGCCTCATGTTTTGTGACTTCCATGACCCCAAAGGTGAGGACCGCAGCTACCGCGAAGTTCATGACTTAGATCGGCTACGACAGGTTGTGGAATCACACTTGGAGGAGTTCAACAACACCAGCAAAGCACCAATGAATCTGGTGCTCTTCCGTTTTGCCATCGAGCATGTGTGCCGGATTTCCCGCATCCTCAAGCAACCCAGTGGCCATGCCCTGCTGGTAGGGGTTGGTGGGAGTGGGCGTCAGTCTCTCACCCGTCTGGCTGCCTACATGGCAGAGGCAGAGCTTTTCCAGGTGGAAATATCCAAGACCTATGGAACCACTGAATGGCACGATGACCTGAAACAAATCCTGAGGAAGGCTACGGAAGGAGAGGCTCATGGAGTTTTCCTGTTTACAGACGCTCAGATCAAAATGGAGTCATTCTTGGAGGACATTGGCAACTTGCTCAACACTGGTGAGGTAAAGTGGATGGAAGAGAGAGACTGACTACTTCATTCAGGTGAACAGATGGTGACACATGGAGAAAAGGTGCGAAATTGTAAATATTTTCTTATTTCCAGGTGCCTAACCTGTTTGCGGTAGATGAGAAGCAGGAAATTTGTGAGCGAATGCGTGTGCTGGACAGGCAGCGTGATAGAGAAAAACAAACAGATGGCAGCCCCTTGTCGCTTTTCAACATGTTCTTAGAGCGCTGTCGCACACAGCTGCATGTGGTGCTGGCCATGAGTCCCATTGGAGATGCTTTCAGGGACCGTTTGAGACGTTTCCCTGCACTCATTAACTGCTGTACTATTGACTGGTTTCAGGTGAGTGTATGTATGTTACATACATGTTTTGCTGTGCTTTTTGTCCCATCAGAGGTTTGCACTAATAGTTGACCAGTAAACACAGAGCATGTAGTGTATTTCATGCTCCATGCTTCATTAGTAACTGATAACATTACCAGTACCACATAGCAGAGGGTAAATAGAAATGTCTGGAAGCACACCTGTTAAAAACAGGAAAACAACCTATTTCCTTCCTTGTTAGACTTGGCCTGAAGATGCCCTGCAGGCAGTGGCCTGCCGCTTCCTGGAGGATGTTGAGATGACGGAAGAGGCCCGAGAAGGCTGCATCACTATGTGCAAGAGCTTCCACACCTCAACCGTTAATTTGTCTCACCGCTTTTTGACTGAGTTGCAGCGTCACAATTATGTCACTCCAACCTCATATCTGGAGCTCATTTCCACCTTCAAAGCTTTGCTGAAGACAAGAAGAGCGTAAGATCAAGATATATTTTATGTATCTCTATTCCTTTGTAACGTTTTTCATTTAAGTGCTGCTTTTAGGTTTTAGTTTAAATTGACTTCATCAGTTGATGTGAATCAAGCGGCACAAAAATCTAGTTTGCAGGTGTAAGCGTTTCCCTTTAATCCCTCTGTCCTTTGCTCAGTGAGGTGATGAAGATGAAAAGTCGCTATGAGGTCGGTCTGGAAAAGCTGGAATCAGCTGCAGAACAAGTGGCTACCATGCAAGTTGAGCTAGAGGCTCTACAGCCACAGCTGCTTGTAGCTAGCAAAGAGGTTGATGAGATGATGGTGGTGATTGAACATGAATCTGTGGAGGTGGCTGAGACAGAGAAGGTGGTGAAAATAGATGAAGCAGTGGCCAACGAACAAGCCATGGCTGCCAAAGCTATCAAGGATGAATGTGATGCTGACCTGGCTGAAGCTATGCCCATCCTGGAGTCGGCCCTGACTGCGTTGAATACTCTGACCCCTCAGGTAAAAGCTGAATATTTTAATATGGCTCAAAGGCTAAATGTAGTGTACAGCAAATAGTGATTAATGATTCTGGCAACAGGATATCACAGTGGTGAAGTCCATGAAAAGCCCACCCACAGCAGTCAAGCTGGTTATGGAGGCAATTTGCATTCTTAAAGGCATCAAACCAGATCGTGTGCCGGACCCCTCAGGCTCTGGTAAAAAAGTGGAAGACTTTTGGGGCCCAGCCAAAAAGCTTCTGGGAGACCTAAGGTTTCTCCAGAGCCTCCATGAGTATGACAAAGATAACATTCCTCCAAATCTTATGGCCATCATCCGCACCAAGTACATTACCAACCCAGACTTTGTGCCAGAAAAGATTAGAACTGCATCCACTGCAGCTGAGGGTATGTGTAAGTGGGTTTGTGCCATGGACAAGTATGACAAGTAAGTAATATTCTCATCTTCTGTTCTTAGTTCTGAAAACTAATGTATATGCACCAAGCCTGGGAAAGCTTTTCATCCGTCTTAGTGATTAACATGAGGCTTAGTTAGCTTCAAAGTTTCTGGCTGTATACCATGAATATGCCAGGTCCCAAGTGATTCATCTGCAAGGCCAATTCCAAGATATGACTCATTGAAAAGGAAATGTTAGCATCATTATTGTTGTGACATTTTTAAATGCTACTTTTATTTATTGATGCAAAGTTTGTCATAAAATTAAATTTTCCTGTCTGCAGTGAAGTTCTTAATATTTCTCAACAACAGTATCCAGTTTCATTATAAGGATGGCATCGGGTGACACTTTCCATACACAGTAAAAGCCTTAATTTAAAAACAATAAGATGAGATATTATTTCATTCATATTTTCATGCTGCCACGTAGTATGAAGTATTTCATCTTTTATGTTCTGAAAGCAGTCAAGAAGTTGCAGAACTTTGATATCTGTTAATTTATATTTATGCAGTGTAGATGAGTAATTTTGTAAAAAATAAACTAACTCATAATGGTTTGTTTCACCTGTACTTCACACATATCTAGTAAATTACTCTTATGTATTGCACATTTAGATTTATGAAGATAAGATTATATGTTTTTCAGAGTTGCTAAGGTGGTGGCTCCAAAGAAAGAGAAGCTGGCACAGGCTGAAGGGAAGCTAAAGGTGGCCATGGAGGGCTTGAGGAAAAAGCAGGCTGCTCTAAAAGAAGTCCAAGATAAACTTGCAAAGCTTCAGAAGACTTTGGATGCCAATAAAAACAAGAAAGCTGACCTAGAGAGTCAGGTTTGCTATCTCTGATGGAGAATCCAATTGATTTTAATAATTGCCATATTTGAAATTTTAAACAGATCTGATCACTGGAAATGATCATATCTATTACGTGTTCTGTAAATGTTAATGTTAATGTTATAACAGTCAGCAGTTTCTCCACTGAATGTAAACAAATGTATGCAGTTATTCATCAACACCAAAAAAACAACAAAGAAAAGAATATGACACAGACAGGAATCAAGTACACTGTTTTTGAACTGTTGTTCAGTTTCCTTTTGTAATGATATCTTCCAGGTCGATCTTTGCAGTAAGAAGCTGGAGCGAGCAGAGCAGCTCATTGGAGGTTTGGGTGGGGAGAAGACTCGCTGGAGTGAAATGGCCTTACAACTTGGAAACCTCTACAATAACCTGATTGGGGACATCCTCATCTCAGCAGGCATAGTAGCTTACCTGGGAGCATTCACGTCAAGCTACAGACAGGTACAGACCATAGATTGTATTGAAAATAGCTTAATGACTTTTTTTTATGGCTCTGCCATAAAAAGCTGATGTTGTTGTCACTGTAGCTGGAAGGTGGCGAGAACACCTACATTTGTGAACGAAAATGTTTCAAGTTTTCTGAAAATCTTATGAATGTGATAACTTGAAAACGCGGTGAACACTCTGTATTATTGTAGGGTCTATACCGCAGAATGTAAAGTGCCTTGAGGCCACTTTTGTTGTGATTTGGTGCTATATAAATAAAACAGAAACTTTGTACCATAGGTGCATCTACTAAAAATCTCAGATGAGTTCAAATCTCAGTGATTTCCACTTCTCTGGGTAGAGTAAGTTTTCTGAAAAGCCTGTGAATGTGATAACTTAAGAACAAGACGATGTAGGATTTTGAAATTGATACTATAGGTGTATCTGCCTGGAGACTGAAGGGTAGCACTGGCAGTCACCAGTATTTTTATTGTTTGCTATTGAAAGTGAAATGCAAATTAGCATTTTAACCCAAAAGATGAATTTCAGCAGTGCTAACACACTAGCTAAACTAAGCTATCAGAAATTTAAAAAGAACACTGGGTACACCAGTGTCTTCAGGTAAAATGGGCAGGTGATGTATTTGGTAGCAGGTTAGTGTGTTTGTCTGCATCTAGGAAAATGAAGAAAGTCGTTACTAGTAATCTGCTGCTTTCCAGGATCAGACACAGGAGTGGATGAATCTTTGTAAGAGCAGAGAGATCCCATGCTCCCACAACATGTCTCTAATGAAATCGCTGGGTGATGCAGTAAAAATTCGCACGTGGACCATCGCTGGCTTGCCATCGGACAGCTTCTCCATAGATAACGCAATCATAATCTCGTAAGTACTGAAGTCCAACTTTCAAAGGCCCAAATATTACCGTAATGTTTAACATTGTATTCACTGTGACTTAAATGGACTTGACTTAAATGATCTTGTATGTGAATTCTTTACAGAAAACTGAATTAAATTGAAAGGAGAAAGACAGGATTTTGAGAATCTCTCAAAGGCAAAAATAGAAGGAGAAAAGAGAACTTGAAATAGACTTTTCACCAAAGCACTTTAGAGGTGCACTGCACCTTTGGATTGTTGCTGTAATAGAGACAAGGGTATTTTATTACTCTGCAGGAATGTGTTTAGATGCTGTGTTTGAGGTCACTGTACATGTGGATTAACAAAGAACCAGGATAAAATAGGTCAGTTTGTCTAAAATGAATGGTAAAAAAATAACACTGTTTGTGTAAACCAGGGGTAGGCAACCTTTCTGATGATGTGTGCTAGTCAATGTGCCATATAATTGCATTAGCAATAAATGTAATAATGCTCTATATTAACAGTTACACACTATATAGAACAACTTTATAGAATTATATTTATTCCCAGATGTTGGCAGCTATCAGCGAATAGTTATCAGCTATTTTGAAACAAAAAAAGACACTTTTGATCCATAACAGCAAATGAACTGTACAACAGAAAATGCAAATGCTATTTATGGCCTCCTCACAACAATGATAAGAAAAATAAACTGAGCGATATGGCATGTTTGTTAATACAGGGATACACATGTTAATCTGATCTCTGGTCTCCCACTCAGAGACACAGGTCTCCGAGTGTCCAGCGTTCAGACGGCTACCTGAGAGAAAATCTGCTCACACAGATATGTAGAGCCAAATATTGTCAATGATGCCTCTGCAATATTCTGAAGACAGTTAAACTTGACAGGTAGTGATGTCCAGCAGCTGAAAATGCAAGCTCCATGAACACACACAGCTATGGATTCCAGCTGCCTTCGTAGTTCTGCAAACTTTGACCCCCACATAGTCAAGCTTTTCAGTTCAATCAGCTGCATTTCGATGTCCTCTGTGTCCAGCCAGTTAATGCGAGACAAACCCAGCTGCTCATTAAACCTTTCTGGTTTGATCAGAAAAGAAAACATTGGTCCATACACCTGAAAGTCCTGAAAACACATAGTGAATTTTATCTCGAGTCTACGGATATATCCGTGTATTTCCGTGGGGCTGATGCTGCACTGAGTGGACAGCTCCTGAAGCATTTGAAGTGTCGGAATTTAGCCAATTACAAGTTGAATCTGGTAGTTGGGGGTGTTAGCTAAGATACCGTCATTAAGAAGCGGCACAACTAATGTGTCTATGCGAGCTAATTTGCGATGTGCACCGCGGGCCCGGCCATTTATTTTTTTTAGTGCACCTTCTCAGATTAAGTCACTGTCGTGCCCAGGGCTGGACTGGGACAAAAAACCGGCCCGGGCATTTTGACTAGAGACCGGCCCACCAGGTATTAAAGCCATAAAGCCTTTGAATAAAAATGAACATTGTTGTGACAGTGATATACACTGTCTTGTTGGTTTATGTATGATTTCTATACATTTTACATCAGATAAAAACTTTAGTTGTAAGATTCAGATAATTGTTTATTAAAAGCGAGACATTTTAAATGAGAATAAGAAAGAAAAGTATTTCTTTGTGCCCCCCTTTCCCTGTTAATGCCCTGCCTGGCCCCCTGACAAAACTTTGCTAGACCCGCCCCTGCACAGTTACCAGCTGTCAGCTACATAGAAAAGGATCCTGGTGTTAGTTGTCTCTCAGAAACAGTTCATGACTTCCCATCAACTCATTCATGTCACCTAAAAGGTAAACCTGTTTCTCCATCACCAGTTCAGCTCTGATGATTCAGTAAGGACATCTCCTGGTTTCATCTTCATGTTTCCCTCTCACCAGATAACCAAACTGACATCACGACCAGCAGCTTTACAGCTGTGGCTCCAGCAAACATCAGCTGATACTAGAAATTAATATTAAATAAATTCTAACAACAGCTGATCAAGCTTAAACGTGCTGCTGTTGTTTAACGCGACATCCGCTGGTTTCCTCTTTCTGGTGCAAAGTGGGCGATAAACAAACAAGAGAGAAAAGCCGATCAGCTGATCATTGAAATAGCAAAAAGAGAGGGAGTGGGAGAGAATGAGAGAAGAAGAGGCAGCTGACAGCATAACGACAGAATAACTCCAGCTTTGTGTCTTTTCCATTCTAGCTGAAGTCCGGGACAAACTGTGTTCCTTTTCAGCTCAATGCGAAACGCGTAATATTTTCTCTGAATGCGAGACGATTCAGTTTTTTACGGGATGGTTGGCAACTCTACTAAGTAATCTTATGAATAAAATAAAGTTTACTATCAGCAACATCAAAGCACCCACCCAGCTGTATAGAAACTCCGTCATGCTAGCTAGTACGCAGTACGAGTTATTGTAACTGACTGTAAAAAGTCAGCACAACGAAAATAAACTACTATTTGGTTTATATCTGACCCAGATAGACTGCAGGTCATAACTTCTTACCTGAAGTTCAGTTCATTGACAGTCAGACCGGTGGCCGCCTCGGGTCTCTCCTCCTCCTGCCTCCCCTTTCCCTCATCCACCTGCTGGCCTCATTGGAAGCTCCTCCATTGCCACCACCAAACAACTGAGTTATTTTTACACATCTGCCAGCATCTGGCCAATCCACCATCTTTCATTGTTTATACCGTAAAAAAACAACAACATAAAAACGAAAAATCACTATTGGGCATACCGCGCATGGCCAGTCCAGCTATGGTGGTGCCATCAGTTAACCCCTTGTGTGCCAGCTGTGGCATGCATGCCCAGGGTTGCCGACCCCTGGTGTAAACGAAGAACAAAATTGTGCTGTAGTCACAGTACTATTGCCACTGGGGTTCTATCCAGCTGTGAGCTGTCTAACTGCGTTTTCACCTCTCAGCTGCTCTCTGCATCGCAGTTGTTGTTCTTCAGCATTCCCCCCAACCCCGTATGTCTCACAGTTAAAAAGATCTTTCTCACTGACAAGGTGGCCTCATTTGATCACACACTGCTGTGTGTGTGTGTGTGTGTGTGTGTGTGTGTGTGTGTGTGTGTGTGTGTGTGTGTGTGTGTGTGTGTAGTAATGCCAGGCGGTGGCCATTGATGATCGATCCTCAAGGCCAGGCCAACAAGTGGGTGAAAAATATGGAGAAGGCCAATAACCTGCATGTTATTAAACTGAGCGATGCTGACTTTGTACGCACTCTGGAGAATTGTATCCAGTTTGGCACACCAGGTAAGTATAATAATTCTTCTAGTTCAATGCGACTGCCATGGCTGCCTCAACCACACTGTTGCACTCCCTGTTACTGCCTGCTGAGGTCTCTCTTTACCACAGAAACTAATTACTGCTGCCCCAAGACTGCAGCTCTCTTTTGTTCTCTGTTGTTCTGTAGTGGCAAAATTGAAATTAGCGATGTTTCTGAGTGAGACATTTCTGAGTGAGCCTTTATTCGGCCTAATGTACTGTTTATATGTCAGACTACTATAGATCACATAAAAGCTCAGGAGAAATCAATTATATGTTCTGCATTTATTTTTTTCTCCTGCCCGGTGTTAGGCTCAAGCTGCGATGTGTAGGCAGATGTGACGATGTTTTTGGACCGATTTTATGTGTCCAAGTGTGGTTGAGGCAGCCATGTGTCTGATTTTATTAATCTCTGTAGCCCCGAAGTGGAAAAGCATTCAATCCCCAGTGCTGCTGTGTAGATGTGACCTTTTGGTCCTCAAACTGGTTTCAGAAAAGAGCCCACCATGTCTCATAGAAAAGTATACAACGTTTTTTTAAAAGTTGTGGTATAATATTGTAGATAATTGCTTCTCATATTATTTTGAAGGGGCCACGGGGGGCAACTTCAAGAAGGAATTAAGACTCAGAAACACAGAAAGCTGCACCACCATTACAGATACATCTAAATAATGAGCTGACCCAGCCAGCCGCTAGGTCTTTGCTTACTGCAAGGCTAACAGCTCAGAGAGTAACTTGTCCTTTTACGGCGCAAAAGAGTCCCCTAAGGGTACAGTTTCATCCTTCACAGCCTGTTTTCTTATTTCACAGTTTTACAGTTTCTTGCTGTTTGTATTACCACTTATAATCCTGATGATGCACTACTATTCTTTCTTTTAGCACGGTTGGGCTGGTGCTTTCATGGCAAATCTCCTAGGATATGCATGTGTTTATTAAATTTAAAAACATGCTTTTTAATCTGGTAACATATATTAAATATTTATGCCTATAAAGGGTTGACCTGCTTTGGTAACTAACTTGTAAGAGAAAGTTCATCAGCTATCACTCCATCTGAAAACTGAAGAAAAAGTTAGTTACCACCTAAAGGCAAAATGTCAATTATAGATGGGCTGATGTTGGTAACATGAGAAGAGCATTATCATACTTAATGTGAAATCGTATTAATAATGATGTCATGGGAGTAAGGCGATTGCATTTTCATGTGCTTCACTGATTTCTTGATATTACTCATGTATGCAACTGCAGTGGAAGTTCACGGTTGAGTACTAATCACAGAAAGCTGAAAGACAGTTTGAGTTTAACTTTAATTCATCACACAACTTATAAAATATAGTTTATGCGAGCCAGGAATGCATCAGCACAACTATTACAAGTCTCTGTATGGAGTATAAACTTTCGTTGTTGGGAAGGGTCTCCCACTGCTCCTTAATATGATTTTAAAGATTTTTAAATTGAAAGAACATTTTCAAGCAAGATGCAGAGTACTTTCCAGAGGCAGGAACATGGCCACAATGACATGAAGTGAGAGTCCTGCATGAAATAAATGCACCATGAAATAAGTAAAATGACAAGCCGTGACACAATGCAGTACAGCGCATTTAAATCAAAACAACTGAATAAAACTAATATTAGAGAGAGATGTAAAATGAAACATGACAACAGTGAAATGATAATGGTGAAAAAAAGTTGTATTAGATAGTTAAATTGGGTGAAGAATTAAATATCAAAAGGAAAAGACCAGATTAAAGACCATTTATAGTGTATTTTTAACCAGAAAGTGAAACATTTGGCATGAAGAGTCTCTTTTTCACAGGTAGAGCAGGCGACCGTATGCAGGGTTTGAATGCGCGTTTCTCCCAGTTCTGCCAAAATGGCTAACTGGTGATCTATAAAATACTGGTAAAGGTGTTGTAGGTAAAATGCTTTGTCTTGGCTGAAGAGTTTGGAAATATTTGAAGCTTTGAAGCAGCTCAGCTGTTGAGGCAGTAGTACAACGCATCCACTTAACACACTGTTTGCTGCTACAGCTACACATGTTTCTTTTCCAACTATTTATTTATAAGTGACTTATGTATGTATGTATGTATATATATATGTATATATTGTACTATTCTTAGTTAGCGTATTGTCTGTCTTGTCTTAATGTTGGTTTAAAATGGAGCACTGTAACAAAAAATAATTTCCCCCAGGGATCAATAAAGTATTCTGATTCTGATTCAACAGTTTGACAGCTTTTTATATTTATAAAGACGTCTCTCTCCTGATTAGAAAAAACATTGATTTGAACATTTTCTGTCAGTGCTGCTGGAGAATGTCGGTGAGGAGCTGGATCCCATACTGGAGCCTCTGCTGCTTCGACAGACCTTTAAACAGGGCGGTGCAATGTGCATCCGTCTGGGAGACTCTACCATTGAATATGTTCCTGACTTTCGCTTCTACATCACTACCAAGCTACGCAACCCTCACTACCTGCCTGAGACTTCTGTCAAGGTACTGTAGGGATACTGCTGTCACCACTGTTCTGTTTTTCTTCTCCCTACTATAGGATAATGTGCAGTAATTATAACTATGAAACCTTTTTTCATGTACTGAAGTCCATTTGGAAGGTGCAGTAGGATGCAGGACTGGTAGTGCAGGTTTGCAGCAGTTTCATTATAATGGCTTGCTGGGAGTTTCACTGGCCAGCTTGTTGGATCAAGTATCTGAGCATCCAGAAAGAACTTGAATGGATAAAATTCCCGGTGATTAGTTTTAATGTTTTAATTCTACGTTGTGGAGACACGCAGAGAAACCTTCTATTCAACATATTCCATCACTGAGACGTAAATCTGATACCACCTTTAGTTAAAGCAGAGGATAGCATTCATAGTCACCACACATAACAGTGCTGTTTACAGCAAGTTTCAGTGTTGCTGTAACGAGCCGTATGCAGTCCTCCATGCATTCTGTACTAACCTCTTCCACACAGATGGAGCTACAACCCTTTAATTGTGTCACAGCTAAGGATAGATGTATCTACCACAACAGAGCCAACAAAGAAGGGAATAATAAAACACAAGCACACACATAAACCAACAGAGTCATCTGCAGGCTTCTGCCCTAAAATATCAATAATAATAGTGATAAATAGCATCATTTAGAACTGAGGTTTGATTTTCGTTTTGTTTTTTTATTTAAAGTTTTCATTTGATATCAGATGAGATCTACTTTTCTTCTTTGGCTCTTAGTTATTGATACCACCCAAATGACATTTTTACCTCAATAACACAGTGAATCATTGTTCAGTGATATCACCTATATCACCTTCCCAATGGAACACAGCCCCCATCCACTCTGAAAAAAGGATTCCAAGAAAAGGAGCATTAAAGGAAAATTGCATTACTGAGAGGCAAGGGGTTGGAAAGCATTACAGAAGATCACATTTCAAGCATCTATTTGCAGGGGCTCTCCTCTTTATGGGCAGCCATTAGATTGATTCAACTCATTTTTCACAGCTGGCTCAATTCTTCCCTTTTTTCCCCCTCATTTTGCTTAAATCTTTTTTTTTTGTCTTCTCTACAGTACACTATGAGTTTCCATTATTCCCATTAAACCCTATTTGAAACGCAATAGCTCCAAATACAAGAGGGTAAGCATCTAGAAAAAAAGCCCTTAGGAGCGCAAGGGATGAGGCGAGGCAAAGAAGGAGGGTGTATGTGTGAAAAGGACAAACTGGAGATTTATACAGGCTCTGAGTCTTTACCACCAGCTGAGTGGGTCTCACGGCATCAATAGAAATGGAATTAAGCCCCGAAGAAGTGCACTCGTTTATTAGGGCAGGGAGTAGATAGCATATATAGGCTTTTAACCTCCGGGTAAGTGCAGCGCAGGATGACTACGCCTGTGGTAAAAGACACTCCTTCAACTCCTGCAACACCTTTCCACAGAAAAGGAGAAAAAAGTAAATGCATCCTACCTGTACTTTGCCAAGGCTGAAGCAGTTACTGGAATTTATTGGGTAGGAGGTTTGGCCAGGAGAACAGCTCTAAAGCCGAGACGATCAACACTTCACTTTAATGGCTGAGAAAAAGGGCGGACACCTTCCTCTGAAACATACACACGTACATCACTTATTCTTCAACAATTATGTCTCCATAGTTGTACGTGAAGTGGATATTCTGTGTGATGTAGGTGACACTGCTAAACTTCATGATCACTCCAGAGGGCATTCAAGACCAGCTACTGGGCATTGTGGTAGCCCGGGAGAGGCCTGACCTGGAAGAAGAGAAACAGGCTCTCATTCTGCAGGGAGCAGAGAACAAAAGGTACAGAGGCATATGTTAGACCAAGGTCAAATCCATTCAACTAATTCAATAAAATCTCTACTTCCCTGAGTGAAAAATACTGTAGACTATTAATTCAGAGTTTCTTCCCTTTTTTTTTTTTTTTTTCTTTCAGACAACTGAAGGAGATCGAGGACAAAATCTTAGAGGTCCTGTCCTCCTCTCAGGGCAACATCCTGGAGGATGAGACTGCCGTCGAGATCCTCTCTGCTTCCAAGGTGCTTGCCAACGAAATCTCAGAGAAGCAGGCCGTGGCCGAGGTGACAGAGAAGAAGATTGATGAGACCCGCATGGGTTACACACCTATTGCCGTGCATTCGGCAATCTTGTTCTTCTCTATTGCTGACCTGGCTAACATTGAACCCATGTACCAATACTCCCTCACCTGGTTTATTAACCTCTTCATCAGCTCCATTGAGAGCTCAGACAAGAGTGATGACTTGGAGCAGAGGTAGGCAGGCCTGACTAATGTACTAGCAAAATACTAGTTCCTGCTGGTCACCAAAACAGTGTTTTAAAGGTCTCTGTTAAAAAATTAAATGCAATGCTGGTGATGGTGCATTAATGTGATTAAAGATTATTAAATGATGGCATGCGTCTCTTTTTCAGACTGCAGATCCTGAGAGACCACTTTACCTATACACTGTATGTGAATGTGTGTCGCTCTCTGTTTGAGAAGGATAAGCTACTTTTTTCCCTCTGCCTCACTGTCAGCCTGCTTATGCATAGCAAGCTGGTAGGAATTTACACACGCACAGACACACATTTGATAATGGAGAACACACACATATTGTTTGGGTTTTGTTTTTTTTAAATAAGTGATTAGATAATCAAACAAGCTCCTTAGTGTCAGTTTTCAGCTCTGGTCTTCTCGAGGATTGTTTTAGATTATCTGTTTCTTCTATTTCCAATTTGCATAAACTACTTATCCAAAGATAATCCCCCAAATTGTCAAGCATTAATCCACTTAATTACAAATTCTGGTCATTCTGCTGCTGTGTTAACAGGACATGTCACTAATTAATGTTTTAGGTGGAAGAGGGGGAGTGGCGCTTCCTTCTAACGGGCGGTGTGGGCCTGGACAACCCCTACTCCAATCCCTGCACCTGGCTGCCTAAAAAGTCTTGGGATGAGATATGCCGCTTGGATGCGATGGAACATTTCAAAGGCCTGCGTCAGGACCTGACAGGCTGCAGAAATGAGTGGAAACAGGTCTATGACAGCCCAGTAAGTCGCCTCTCGCTGGGTTTGTTGAATATAGTAAAAAAGTATGATGACATTTTTCATTTATTTTTCTAGTTTAAACTCAGAAAAATAAACTTTGATGTAGTCTGTATTAAGTCACTTGAAATGAAATATTCAAGTCGGTTTATGTTTTAAATTTGATGATTATGGTTTATAGCATATGAAAATCAGAATTTCAGTGTGCTATTGGTACCATTGCATTGGCAATATTAACAATTATAGGGAAGACTGCTGATTCAAGAAGTAGAATCTGCCTCCATGCACAGGAATGGAGCTACACTGTCTGAGCCAGAGACCACATCAGAATATTTTACCTGGACTTTTGCTCAGTGGTTCAAAGTCTTCTTTTCAGATGAAAGTACATTTTGCTTTTTATTCGGAAATCAAAGCATCCTACCGTCTGGAGGAAGAGTGGAGAGAATCAAAAGGTGTTTCAAATCCAGTGAAGTTGGCCAGTGTTGGGTGCTATGTTATCCGCTTATGTTGGTGGTGGTTGGCCCACTGTGTTTTATCGAGTCAGCCATCTACCAGAGCACTTCATGTTTCCATCTACAGAACGCTTTATGTGGATGCCGATTTTCTTTTCTCCACCAGAAGTTTGCTTCTGCCCACAATCCCAAAACTGCTACCAAATGGTGTTTTGACCATGTTGTTAGTGTCCTTTATTGGCCAGCTAGCTGAAAGAGACTATATGGGGTATTGTCAAGAGGAAGATGAGAAAGATCCAACCCAAAAATACAGATCAGCTGCTATCATAGGGGCAGTAAATCATCCTAAAATGTAAAGTTAATCAATATTAAACATTAATTTAGCTTCTGTGACTTGTGTCATATTTTAGGAAGTGTGTTAACTTCTAGGTGGAAGTGAGTTTGGTTACAGTTTACATCAAACTGGTCCTCTTTTGGTGTCAACAGAGTATTGAAATTAAAACATCTGTCTGCAGTCTGTTGGTTTGATAGATCAGAGTGGATCCACTGACCCAAAGTTTACTTTGGAAAATTAATATGTACATCAAAAGATTTAACAATTATTATTTTTTGTTTGTTTCTATGTTTTTCATCTCGCCCTCTTACCCAAACCTTATAGATTAATTACTTGACGTACAGCGGACAAAATATTATAATTATTTTTCGGTGTGGGTGTTATCTGTGTCCTGCGGGTGGCATGGTGGTGGTTTCCTGGTTTAAACGACCACCAGCTGTTTGAGGCCTTTCTGTGTGGAGGTTGCATGTTCTCAGCGGGGTCTCTATGAGTATTCTGGCTTCCTCCCACAGTCCAAAGACATGCATGTTAACCGGTGATTCTAAATTGTCTGTAGGTATGAATGGTTGTGTCTCTGTGTCACCTTGTTACAAGCTTGTGAGCCTGTCCAGTGTGCACCCTGACTCTTTCCCTGTGGCAGCTGGGATAGACTCCAGCCCCAGAATTGGATGTGTAAGTGGAAGAAGATTGATGGATGCAATGAGTGTTTTGGAAGTGCTTGTCTTGTAGACACAGACTAGAGTAAAAGTTGCTGCTTTGCTGGTGAAAGCACAACAAGAAACAGAGTCTTAATTTCTTCTTAATATGAGTAAAAGTGTTTGATTGGCTGTGCAGATGCAAAACAATCAAACCTTGGGAAAACAGTGAATGAGATAAAATAGCAGCATTAAACACAAGGCCAGCTTCGCCCAACTTTAAGCTTAGCAGGGTGGCTCTGTGGAATCTCACAACTGGGGTGCAGCGGCGCTCCCCCCTTCCCTGCCTGGGAACAATGTGGATGCAGAGCACTAGAGTATATAAATCAGTGTAGCATGTATGCTTTGACTATTTTACCACCTTTTGTCTCGGCTAGATTTCTTTATTAATCATAACATGTGTTCTCACTTTGATTCCACACACATGCCATAATTTGATTCGTTACATTGTTATCTTTTTTCTTTTTAGTTTTGTCAATACAACATCACTTCAAATATTGTATTTTTTTAAATTAATGATAGATATGCCAAACAAATCATAGGATTAGTTGTTTTCTCATACTGTACCCTCCTATAGTACAAGAAAATGTCTGATTCAAAAATATTGGCCCTGTTCAAATTAGCTTTTTTATTAATTTTTAAAGCCACTGGTTGATCTGATTTATCTGACACATTGAAGCTTTAACTTTGTACTTTGTTTTAAGAGTCTTTTTTTCAGTTATTATACATGTAGTGAATATAAAGGGCATACAGAACAAAGGAGGTTGAAGAGGGAAACATTTTCCTGTCAGATTATGATGCACACAGAGACACTGTCCATCTTTGAAACACAGAGAATCACAAACTGAGGTTTCATCTAATCTAATCAAATCTATTCAGCTCCTGTTGTGCTCCTCATATCTATGCAATCTAAATGCAAGAACAGCTGCTTAATCAATGTGTGGCGCATTCAAACATGCGTGCGGCGTACAGGCTTGTGTCTTTGCCGTCGCACATACGTACACACAAACCATCTTTGATTTATAATCAACAAAATCAGCCACAACACTTCTGTCTAATTAAATCGAGTTTGTTCCAGTTGTAGAATTCACATTTATTCAATTTTGATGTAAGAACAGCTGTTCAATCAAGCACACGGGCACTCACACACGCTAACACACCCTGTTCACACAGTGAATCCCCAGGAGATCCTAAATAGGTGTATCCATCTCAAAGCACCTGCCAACACACATAGCCAGAAGTCTCTCGACAAACAGCCTAGGGGAAATAATTCCAAAAGTTCCCTCTACCATTGCTCACTTCCTCCGGTGCACTTGTTCCACTAATTAATCAAACATATTGCTGTGACCTAAAACCCATTTCCCTTTTTTTTTTTCTTCTCTTCCCCATTTCTGTCGACTTCCATTTGTTGCCTTTCGTCATGCTTTTCATTTGCATGTCTAGTTATGTACAATATTTCTCTATTTTTTTGCACGATTGCACTGATTAACCTTGCCTGTCACCGAAAACTTGACATAATTATTCCTCAGCTGGTATTTGATTAGGATCATTTTGATCAACAGATTTAAAATATCTAGTGCTTTTCTACAGCTTAAAATATATATTTATGACATATGACAGGATTAATATTTGGAAAGTTATGCAGTGTGAAACTAAAAGTACTTCCCATGCATACTTAGTCTGAATCAAAACTGACTCTGCTTTGTCTATTTGCAGGAGCCCCATCAGACTCAGTTTCCTAATGAGTGGCAGGAGAAGCTGAGCCAGTTTCAGAAGATGCTGGTGATTCGCTGTCTCAGGCCAGACAAAGTCAGTCCACATGGGGAATGATCTCTTTTTATAACCTTTTTTTCACATAAAACCTCTAAAACATTCCTTTAACTTGTCCTCAGATTGTTCCCGTGGTTCAGGAGTTTGTTTCAGACAAGTTGGGCCATCACTTCATTGAAGCACCACCCTTTAACTTAAGTAACACCTTTACAGATAGCCACTGTTGTGCCCCCCTTATCTTCATCCTTTCCCCTGGCTCCGACCCCATGGCGGCTTTGCTCAAGTTTGGAGATGAAAAGGTACAGAGACATTACAACTATAGCTGTCATCCTGCTGTGTGCATCAAACTGTAAATGAAATCAAAATTGCCTCTAACAATGAAAGAAATTCAATCTCAATATTTACTGGGTCTAAAAAAAAAAGAGAGAGAGAGAGAGAGAGAGACCTCAGTCAAAAAGCAGCTAAAAAATGAAGTGCACCACTCTTCTTATCTCTCAGGGCTTTACTGGTAACAAGCTGACGTCCCTCTCTTTGGGCCAAGGCCAAGGTCCTATTGCTATGCGCATGATTCAGACAGGCATTAACGAAGGCACCTGGGTGGTTCTGCAAAACTGCCACTTGGCCACTTCATGGATGTCAACACTGGAGAGAGTTTGTGAGGTGAGGACATGCGTTTTTTCAGTACACAGCAAGTTATATTGTTCCAATATATGCATGTATTTACTTGCTTTTTGCCTCTGTGAGCAGGGGCTGAACCCAGATACCACCCACCCAGACTTCAGGCTGTGGCTTACTAGCTACCCATCTCCCACATTCCCTGTGGCGGTGCTCCAGAATGGTGTTAAGATGACCAACGAGGCTCCAAAAGGTCTCCGCTCCAACATTGCACGTTCCTTCTTAATGGATCCCATCTCTGACCCAGAGTTTTTTGGCAGCTGCAGCAAGCCGGTCAGTATGCAAACATGTCTTGGTGGCTTGCTGTGCATGTCTACCATGGCTCCATCAGCGGGTGGATTTCAGGGTGTGTGTGTTTTAGCAGTGGGATACGAGCACCACTATTTATCTTAGATCACATCTTTCATCTGTTCCACCTCCCAGGCTGTGTTCAAGAAGCTATTGTATGGCTTGTGTTTCTTCCACGCCCTGACCCAAGAGAGGAGAAAGTTTGGACCTTTAGGCTGGAACATTCCATACGAGTTCAATGAGACTGACCTCCGGATCTCTGTACAGCAACTACACATGTTCCTGGAACAGTACCAGGTAGATGTTCTTGAATTGTTTCCATTCACGGGCAATTTTTTTGCTTACTGTGTTTTTCTCTCCAAAAAACATTGTATTTCATCGAGTGAACGCAAGCGTTTAACCAGTTACAAATTCCATGCGGTCTGGGATGTAGTGCTTTCATATAAACTTTACATAGAGCTGTATGAAGTGAGTTTATCTCACATGCAGACCCACATCCACGATGTACTCCTATATAGCTGTCAGCATCTAAGCTCATATTAAAAATTCTGGCTTTTACAACTACCGTCTGCTTTGCTCAAGTATTCCTTTTCATAAGCCATATTCAAAACCCCTCTTGACATTTTTCCACATACAGATAGCACTCCAATCCTCCACCATCCCCTCTTCCTGTGGAAAAAGCAGTAGGCATAAACTACTGAGGATCTTTTTGGAACGCAGTGACATTTTCAGCTTGTGGCTGAGTGTTGCTCAGTGCATTTTTAAGTGAAGTCCTCCTCAAGAAAATGCCAAACTGGCCACAACTTCACCCTTCTGCATCCTCACACGCTTTTTTGTGTGCGAATGCTGATTCTAAAGTGACAGGTGTGTCAGGTCACAGCATTATAACCCCCTGACAAATACTGTGTATGTCCCCTCAGTGCTTCGAAATACTTCTAACCTGTTGTGGTTTTGAATGGGATAGTTTGGATGTTTTATGGTTTCTGGCAGTGGGCTGTAGTTGGATCCTCGGGTTCTGTGGATTGTGGGGTGGGGTCTTTGTTCATCCGGCTTGTTTTACAGCTGTTAAGGAATTTTTGCATTGTGACAGAGCACATTGCTCTGCTGAAGAAGCTTCTACCATGAGGTAGAAGTCAAAGTAATGTCTGCATGAATGCCATAAGTTTCCCATCGTTTTGTTTCATTTTGCAACGAAAAAAAACGATCACTTCACCTGTCAGAGCTGGCAGATCTGTGTACATTGAAAATCAACTACCTCTCACTTACCTGCTGTTATGTTCTCTTATGAAATGAATGATTTATTGTGTTGTACAGGAAGTGCCGTTTGATGCCCTCTGTTACATGACCGGTGAGTGTAACTACGGCGGGCGAGTGACTGATGACTGGGACAGACGAACCCTGCGCACGATCCTCTCGATCTTTTACACCCCAAAGATCATCCAGGACCCTGGCTACACATTTGACCCCAGTGGGCTGTACTATGCACCAGCTGAGGGAGATGTAAGATATACAGAGTCTCAGATAAGATTTTTTTTTTAAACGAATCACCTCTTTGGTTAAAGTCTGGCTGTAGGCAACAAAATAAGCACAGGATTTATGGTAATATGTCAATACCAGGGAAATGTTTTTGCAGTATTCATGATGCAGTCTCACTGATCTGAGTTGTAACTCTCTCCTTTAGTCACATTTAGTAACTTCTCGTTACTTTTATTATCTTCAAAATGTGTGTTTGGTGCCACAACAAAAACTCCATCTAACTCCTGTTTATGGACCAAATATAATATGTTTTTTATCAGGCACACTCCATTTCCAGGGACAATAACTGACTGCAAACCTCATGATCATATGCTCAGTTCAGACTTATGGTAGATGCACTACCGGTCAAAAGTTTGGACACACCTTCTCATTTAATGTTTTATTCTTTCTTTTTTTTTTACTTTTTATATTGTAGATTCATACTGAAGATAGCTTCATGATGTGGTCTCCTAAAATGGTTTCACAGGTGTGCTGTGTCAGGGTTCATTTGTGGAATTTCTTGCTGCTTTGCTGGCGACACTGTTGGGGATTTAGTCAAATTTGAAGGCACACTGAACCAACATGGCTACCACAGCATCCTGCAGTGACGTGCCATCCTATCTGGTTTGTGTTTGGTTGGACTGTCATTTATTTTTCAACAGGTCACTGACCCCAAACTCAGCTCCAGGCTGTGTAAGGGCTATGTGACCAAGAAGGAGAGTGATGGAGTGCTGTGCCAGATGGCCTGGCCTCCACACTCACCTGACCTATCCCACCTAGGGTGAGATGGACCACAGAGTGAAGGCAAAAATGGCCAACAAGTGCTCAGCATCTGGGAGCTCCTTCAAGATTGTTGGAAAACCATTTCAGATGACTGCCTCATAAAGCTCAATGAGAAAATGCCAAGAGTGTGTGCAAAGCAGTAATTATAGAAAAATATAAAATGTGTTTTGAGCTATTTCACACTTTTTGTGTTCACTACATAATTCCATATGTGTTCATTCATAGTTTTGCAGATTCTCACTGAAGCAACAATGTAAATAGTCATGAAAATAAAGAAAAACCATGCAATGAAAAGGTTTGTCCAAACCTTTGACGAAATAATACAGTTCTTCTGTATTGTAAGAAGAACTGTAAGTGTATCTGTACCTGTAAGTGTTCCTTCAGCTTTAACCTCTTCACATGTTCTACTCCTCAGTATTTGCCTTGATGTCACAATATGTCAACCAGGTTTAAGTGCAGTCTGCTAAACTAGCAGATGCTGAGTTTGTTCATGCTGTTGAATTTTTGATATATAGTACAGCATAGGTATGTTATTCACTCGTGTTTTCATTCATATTCAAATATCAGTTACACAAAGCTGCTGGCAGTATCATTGCCTTAAAATTCAATAAAAGTAAACCTGGCAGTTTTTCAAGGAAGCATATTGCAGGACTCCTTTGCATTGTTGTTGAGCTACCTTTAAAAAGTCATTAACAGATAAAATGTGTGTAACAAGGCACAGCAGGAAGCCACCATCAGTGAGGGCTGATATATTTGTTAACACTAGTACAATCTATGGTGCACACCATTTTATTTGGCATTTAGTTCTCCAGCACTGCACCCCCCTCCAACCACATCTTTTATTCATGAAGACACATTTACATAGTCATTAAAATAAATGTCAGCAATCTAAGGAGCCGACTTGTTTTTCAGCGAGTGTTATTACTCGAGATGTTTCCTGATGTTGCGTTAAAAAAATCGTCCTCTTACTTCACTCGTCCCCTCTCCCTCTGTTTTCTGCATCTCTGTCGCAGTACGACAACTACATCGAATATACCAAGTCGCTGCCACTCAATCCGTCACCAGAAATTTTTGGCATGAACGCTAACGCAGATATCACCAAGGACCAGGCTGAGACTCAACTTCTGTTTGACAGCATCTTGCTTACACAGGTAACGCTACCTTGACCCTTGATAAGTCTGTATTGTATTGATCAGCTGTCACAGGAAGTTCAGACACACATGAGTAATCTTTTAGGAAAAATAAACGGGCATATCCAGGAGTACTTTGTAGAGACCTTTTTTTACTACCACAGAAATGGAAAAAAACACAGCACTGAGGCCAGACCTCGGCACAAATTTAAAAAAAGAAAGAGCCAGCAGTCTTTGGTTGCTTCCCAGGCCAAAGCGCCCCCTCTTGGCCAACATCCCAGATGCTCAGCTGGAATGACCCCACCCACTCTGACCCCGCAAATACATAACACACAAACAAACACAAAATAAACAGACCGGAATACATGCATGGGAACACATTTACCTAGGCACCAAAGTTATTTCTCCCATAAACACACACAGCATCGGTATGCCTCCTGTGGATCTGTTCTAAATATTTTATCGGCCTGCATTAAAATGCACCGTGCAGCATTAATTAAAAACAAAAAAAAATCGAAATAAATATTGCAGTTGCTTTTAGAGAGACTTCTCAAAGAGCAACATTGTGCTTTGAGGCTGCAGAGACACAGTCACAGTGGCTTTGGTGGAGCTGTGTGATCCAGCATCATTATAGCTCAGCTTTGTTAGACGAGGTTAGCTTGTTCAGGATTATATATCTTACCGCTTCCCCGCTCCAGTCGATGTTTGATGGAAATCAAATGTGAGGGATTTTGCATCAAGGCCTACTCGAACATAAAAGAAGTGTGGCTTCTACTGCAAAGTGGAAAGGGGTTTTTATTTATCTGTGTATCCATTTATTTAAAGAACCACCACAGTGTCTTTGACTTCTGAAAAAATATTTCTCTATGCTAGAAGTTTTAAAGTGGATCGACACACAACACTAGAGAAGAATTCCACATTCAGCTCAGCATATATAGTGAAAGTGTATTTTTATAGCATCAGACCTGCGTTGCTACAAAGACAGAATTATCTCCACATGCATCGTGACTTCTAGATCTCAAGTTAAAATTAGAGCTCCGTGCAGTCTGGCATTTATTCGTATAAATTCCATTCAACAAGATTAATAATGGCTCCAGTCATGTGTGGACTTCATTAGCATCTAATACGATCTCATCAGTCTCAATGACCGATAAACAGGGAGACACTTCAAATGGAATGAAGCAGCTATTTATCATTCTCCTACTGTAACCCTGTTGCCATCAGCCAATGATTATCCATTACCGCTGGCTAGTGACTAAGCATCATATAGGTAAATGGTGCAAGTTGCACTAAGAAGAAAAGCGTAAGAATCACAGATTAGAGTGAATAATTATCACCATGAATGATCATTATAATTGTTGATAAGAGTGTGTCAAATTACTGCGTGGGAGAAATCGGGGGTAAAATGCAGTGAAGCCTTTCATCTCGCGCTGTATGATGAAATCCTGAGATTATACTTGCAGTGATTCCTCTGTGGACAGTGTTGCAGCTATAACCTGAGAAATGTGTACAAATTAAGAAAGAGAAGGTAAAATAAAATATAAAAACGTTGATATTCTGTGTCATTCCGTGTTCTTTTAGATGCATAAAATGTGAATCACTCAGGCACAAAGATGATGAAATATAAGCAAAGTCGAGTCAGAAGTCAGGCCCTCTTAGCATCAGGGTCTTTTCAGGATCAGAATAGCACTAGTGCAAATGAGTCTTTAAAAGAGAATACATAATTTGACAAGTCAAAGACAGCAAATGGTAATTTTCCCTAAAAAATATGAACTGTCAATTGATTGAGAACCCCACATCCTGCCTTCCCTTCTCATCAGCCCTCTGTCGCTCTGTTGTGCTCTATGTCTCTGATCAGTCCCGCTCTTCAGGCGCAGATGCCAAATCCTCAGATGACATGGTCTTTGAAGTGGCAGCTGACATCCTCAGTAAGCTGCCTGAAGACTTTGACTTGGAGGCAGCAATGAGCCGCTTTCCTACCAGCTACAACCAGAGCATGAACACAGTCCTGGTGCAGGAGATGGGTCGCTTCAACAACCTGCTCGGCACGATCCGAGACTCTTGCATCAACATTCAGAAGGCCATAAAGGTACGTGGAGAAAGGGCTGGAATGTATCTGCAGTAAATTTGAAGAGTGTCTTTTTTTTTAAATCACTTTTCACAAGAGAAATATGAAAATATCAAGAATTAAGTGTCGTCACTTAGCAGCCATCTGAGCAAAAGCCTCTAACTAAATAACTGAAAGGAGAACCATAAGTCTTATTTCAGTGGTCATGGGATATAAAAACACTATTATGAATTACTTATAACTCACTTCAAAAAAGCAACACGATCAAAGTGTGTGGCTCACCCCACCAGAGCGCACAGAAAATGTGCTGGTTTACATTAAGGAGACTGTAAGATGAGAAAAAGTACTCCTGGCTAGAACTTTAGCATGATAACAGATATATCAGCAGCCGCACACTTGAAACTGTCATGAACTTCAACTGTGTACTTGCAAATGTACAAGATGACTGGATCATATGTTTCCCAGTTGGGCTCTGTGGTGGCTCTCTGGGAGACAGGTGAGACACTTGGCATTCAGGAGTTTTCCCATCACTTTCTATTGATCGTTTTGAGAGTGCCACGCCTCTCCTTTATACCGCCTCTGGGTAATACCTGACCTACCAGAGAGGGGAGTAAGCATTAAGTGTTTAAGTCTGGTCCAGGTCTCAGGAATCATTGTTGTCTGGATATTGTCCAAATGCCAAACGCTGTGTAATTGCAGTAAATTTGTTTAAGAAAAACAGTTACGCCAAATGATGAATCATCATTGATTTTACATTTCTGTTCAGTGAAAGTAATAATTCATGTGTGGACACACATCTCTGCTGAATGATTATAGAGGAAACACTGGTAATGCATCCTCAGAAATCAGATACTATAAACATTCAGCAGAATACAGTTGGGTGCAACAACCTAATATACATCCTCTCTTTGTTAAACCAGGGAAAGTGTTGACATTATCCTGCATATAATTTTTGTCTACGTAAAAGTCTGTGTGTTACTGTTATTCATACAAGCAGTGTTGCTACAGTGGGGCAAAAAAGTATTTAGTCAGCCACCGATTGTGCAAGTTCCCCCACTTAAAATGATGACAGAGATCAGTAATTTGCACCAGAGGTACACTTCAACTGTGAGAGACAGAATGTGAAAAAAAAATCCATGAATCCACATGGTAGGATTTGTAAAGAATTTATTCGTAAATTAGGGTGGAAAATAAGTATTTGGTCACCTCAAACAAGGAAAATCTCTGGCTCTCACAGACCTGTAACGTCTTCTGTAAGAAGCTTTTCTGTCCCCCACTCGTTACCTGTATGAATGGCACCTGTTTGAACTCATCATCTGTATAAAAGACACCTGTCCACAGCCTCAAACAGTCAGACTCCAAACTCCGCCATGGCCAAGACCAAAGAGCTTTCGAAGGACACCAGGAAAAGTATTGTAGACCTGCACCAGACTGGGAAGAGTGAATCTACAATAGGCAAGCAGCTTGGTGTGAAAAAATCAACTGTGGGAGCAATCATCAGAAAATGGAAGACATACAAGACCACTGATGATCTCCCTCGATCTGGGGCTCCACGCAAGATCTCATCCCGTGGGGTCAAAATGATCATGAGAACGGTGAGCAAAGATCCCAGAACCACACGGGGGGACCTGGTGAATGACCTGCAGAGAGCTGGGACCAAAGTAACAAAGGTCACCATCAGTAACACACTACAACGGCAGGGAATCAAATCCCGCAGTGCCAGACGTGTTCCGCTGCTGAAGCCAGTGCATGTCCAGGCCCGTCTGAAGTTTGCCAGAGAGCACATGGATGATACAGCAGAGGATTGGGAGAATGTCATGTGGTCAGATGAAACCAAAGTAGAACTTTTTGGTATAAACTCAACTCGTCGTGTTTGGAGGAAGAAGAATACTGAGTTGCATCCCAAGAACACCATACCTACTGTGAAGCATGGGGGTGGAAACATCATGCTATGGGGCTGTTTTTCTGCCAAGGGGACAGGACGACTGATCCGTGTTAAGGACAGAATGAATGGGGCCATGTATCGTGAGATTTTGAGCCAAAACCTCCTTCCATCAGTGAGAACTTTGAAGATGAAACGAGGCTGGGTCTTCCAACATGACAATGATCCAAAACACACCGCCCGGGCAACAAAGGAGTGGCTCCGTAAGAAGCATTTGAAAGTCCTGGAGTGGCCTAGCCAGTCTCCAGACCTCAACCCCATAGAAAATCTGTGGCGGGAGTTGAAAGTCCGTGTTGCTCGGCGACAGCCCCAAAACATCACTGCTCTCGAGAAGATCTGCATGGAGGAATGGGCCAAAATACCAGCTACTGTGTGTGCAAACCTGGTAAAGACCTATAGTAAACGTTTGACCTCTGTTATTGCCAACAAAGGTTATGTTACAAAGTATTGAGTTGTATTTTTGTTATTGACCAAATACTTATTTTCCACCCTGATTTAAGAATAAATTCTTTACAAATCCTACCATGTGGATTCATGGATTTTTTTTTCACATTCTGTCTCTCACAGTTGAAGTGTACCTCTGGTGCAAATTACTGACCTCTGTCATCATTTTAAGTGGGGGAACTTGCACAATCGGTGGCTGACTAAATACTTTTTTGCCCCACTGTAAATTATACAAGTATTACAGGAGTCTGAGCAGTTGCACTCCCAAATAGATTCTAACACCTTCATATAATTTTGATTAGTTATTTTATTCTTTTCTTAAATTGCGACAAACACACTTGGAAACTTGGAAACAGCATTCGATGATTGACTGTAATTAGACTAAATGAAATTAATAAAGCAAAGTTCCTCTGCATATAACTGCAGTCCTGTTGTTCAAAGGTTAGAAAAATAAGCCTAGACACTTGCGTGCTTGTCTTTGTAAGTTTAATGAACACATCTCTTTCTGAGATGTTCCATCGTCACCAGACTGAAGAGAAAGCCCAAGACTCACAAGGGGAACAAAGCACATCATAGTTCATTGTGGTATCAAAGGCCCCCCACAGAACAGTAAGAGTTCCCCATTACGCACCTGTCTGTCTCCTGCTAGCTTCAAAGAAAGTTAATCACATGTGTGTGATGTGTGGGTGTGTTTGTGTGCAGGGTCTCGTGGTGATGTCTGCAGAGCTGGAGGAGGTGGTCAGCAGCATCCTGAAGGGTCGCATCCCAGCCATGTGGATGAAGAAGTCCTACCCCAGCCTCAAATCATTAGGAAGCTACGTCAACGACTTCCTAGAGCGACTGACGTTCTTGCAGGTGACTAAAACAAGAGAACTGCATCAAATAAATTGGATTCTGGTCTGTTGACTGGAGTTTAGTTATAAGGATCTGACCATTTTGCTTTTTTTTTTGAGCCAAAAGTGAGCATACTTGGATGAGATGGTGGCTAGTGAGTTTGTTTAGGAAGCTGCATTTGAAAAGTGCACAGGTGTAACAGAGAAAGTAACATTTTACTTCCAGCCCATCTAAGTCCTTTACTGTGAATTAAGCTCATGAACTTACCAGATCAATGCATTAAAATTTTCCTACATGCAGCACAAGGCGATAAACATCACCAACAGGTTCAGATCAGCTCTTCAAGTTACAGGAGCGAGGCCTCGCAGACCGTGTTGTTCAGCCCTAATGTCGATCACTCACCAGGTTAAACTGGAAAAAATCTATGCCTACAGTTTTAATGGATGAAGGTCTAAAACTTTCGGAGAGCATCTTGGGGTTAGTATCTTGCCCAAGGATATTTGGCATGACTGGAGCAGACAGGGATTGAACCACCAGCCTTCCAATTAGTGGAGAACATGAGCTAAAGTCGTGCCTAAGTCAGGTATTATCACAGCACAAAATAAAAATAGTAAAGCTGATTAAAAATTAAATAACAACATAAAAATGTTTTAATAAGGTATTAACCGCATTTTTTACACATAAGTGTTATGGATGAAAAACTTAAGTCATTGCATACTTTTGCTGTATAACGATCTGCCTTAAGCTGTGCCACACTTGGCACACTTACACAAGAGTGCTTTATTCCACAGTGGCTTATCAACACGGAGGAGGCAGGGAGATCTGCTGTATTATGCATTTTAATCATGAGCAGAGTTGGCACTGGAAACACTTGCAGCCACATGACCTACCATGTGAGTCTGCAAAGTGAAGCGCTTCATCGAACAGTGCTGTCAGTTCCCACGGCAGAAATATCCTCCTCCTGTTAGTACCCACTCAAATGAAAAGAATACTGTGTGTGTGTGCATCCACTCGCAACTCCCTAAAAGTGAGCTGGAAAGTGCTGTGTTTCTTAACTGTGACTGCATGTTTGTTTAGGAGATGTTGGTAAAAATAATAATCCCTGTTAACATTTATGAATACAGAAATCAGTAAAAAAAAGGAGGAAAAATTTAACTTTTGACCCTACAGTGCAGGGATTTGGTGCTTTGTTGTTCTGTGAGAGGATTTTGCTGGTGTGGGTTGGGTCCACCTGCAAACCAGTACAAAGTTGCTCTAAAGATCATATTTATCATCTTTTCCAGGAGGACAATGCCCCCATCCCGACGGACGTGAGGGGTCTGTGATTGGATGAAATTGTGATCACTTTTGTTTCGGGGCTGGGGGTCGAAGGCTACAAGTGTTTTCTTATTCCTGTAGTGATTTCCTGAATTGGCAGGTTACATTTATTGTAATGCCACAGCACTAGCATGTGGCATGCTAGTGCATGCTAGTGCTGTGCCTCAGTGTGTGTCGCTTGATTTGTGGTCCAGACTGAAACATCTCAGGGATCAAGTGAAGAATTCAGTTTTAACATTACAATCTGTCATTTAAATAACATATGTGCTGTAATTCCTTTTGTTTGTATAAATCAGGAATTATCACAGGTTAAATTAGCAGCTCAACATAATATTAAACATATTGTACTTTAGTTACCTGCAGTGTGTAATGTTGACATGGACTTTCTTGTTCTTCTGTGCATTTATTTTTTGACTTGCTTTTCCTCACTGACTGTTTTGACTCTAAATGTCTTCTTTTCCTCTGTGTGTGTTCAGGAATGGTACGACAAGGGCGTGCCTGCTGTATTTTGGATATCAGGATTCTTCTTCACCCAAGCCTTTCTCACAGGCAGCCAGCAGAACTACGCCAGGAAGCACACCATCCCTATCGATTTGCTGGGCTTTGACTTCGAGGTCCTGGATGACAGACAGTACAATCAGCCTCCAGCGGATGGTAGGATGCTGCTAGGAGAAAGAAAACAGCAGATAGGATGAGGGAGCGTGGCCTTGGGTTAATAGTGTAAGCAGGGTATTAGGACAGGTTTTCTAAAGGCCCCTCTCATTAAATGAGGGTAAATAAAAGATACGGGGAAGATGGAGAGCACTTTTAGTAGGAAGGAATCTGAGAGATGAAAGAGGGGAATTCAAAATGAGGTTTCAAAGCAGAGAGCGAAATGAGAGGAACACAAGTGGTGGGTGTAGGAGAAGAAACAAACAGATGAAAGTGACACAAGGCTGACTGAATACGAGAGAAGCAAAGTATAAAGTGAAAAAGTAAGTTAAAGTAAAGCATCCCTGCCTCTCTCTTACATGCGGGCCTGCATCAGCCCCTCGCTGTGCCTCCAGCTCCGCTGTGAGATTCTCAGTCAGTCTCACATAAAGTCTCATCCTCAATCAGCTCCCTGCTGGGCCCCCACCAAGCTAACACAAGCTATACTGCCAAGCTACAAATCTGACAGTGTGTTTGTGCATTTGGGTGTGTCATACTGTAGGGGTGCCAACATCTAGTTATCTCTAAGTCATGCCCTCTTTTCCAGCCTATTAGAGGAAGAGCCTGCTGCACTCTGCAAACAAGCAGAGGTCAGTTCAGCTTAATTCATGTAGAAATGTGTTTGTCCAAATCTGCAGTTTGTAGAAGGTAAGGTTTTAATATCACAGTAAGAATGAATTGTGTGTGTGTTTGTGTCAGGTGTGTATATCAGAGGTCTGTTCCTTGATGGGGCGCGCTGGGACAGAAAGACCAAACGTCTTGCTGAGTCCTATCCCAAAGAGCTGCACGACTCCATGCCTGTGGTGAGCAATCGGCATTTCATTCATGTTGGTCCTCACCTTTTATTTCTAATAATTTTGTGCTTTTTATTGAATTTTTTGCAGCTGTTGTGAGCCCTCACAAGTACAGCGCATCCTTATGGAGTTTTTCAGGGCTAATAAACAGATTGAGCTCTGTTTAAAAACTGTTTCCTGATGTCACAGCCCAAAGGCATCATTTAGTTTTCACTCAGCACTATTTTCTATTCCAGATTTAAGCATCAGTGTCAAGGCAAAAAATCATGATGTGTATGGCAGAATAAGAGGAAAAAAAGCATTATTTGTAACCAGCTGACAATTCAGTGGAAAAAAACACAAAACTTTCAAATGACTGGATTTGAAAGGCCTCGGTTGGAAGGTAAACGCTGCAGCGCGTGTGTGAAACTGGCTTATGAATGCCTTCCTGGTGAGGCCCCATGCAGAAACACGTAGAGAGAAGCGTGTTGGTTTACACTTTATATTACAGCTTGTGGATTTGAAAGCTCATTGTGCGCACTGTTAAATGAATTTGTGGAGCTGATAGCAAAACACTGCAGGCACCTGGTCCAAAAAGGCCCCAAAAAGCCATGTTGCATAACAAATTCTTACATAAAGTTTGCAGGGAGGAGGTTTATTGATTGTGCTTGTGTGAATCCCTCTGGCCATCAGAAAGAAAAAGTTTTTAATTGTTGCGTTGCTTGTAAACCCCAGTGCGACAGCTTTTACTTAAGAAGGGACAAATACTGCAAAGGAAGCGAGCAGCAGCCGCTGTGGGTGTAGCTGCTGCTTCACCCAGGAGGATGTTCTCTGCAGCCTCAGCACTATTTTACATTCTGCCTGCAGGACACTTGTCTCCTTCCCATCCTTTTATTAATTAGCAGGGCATGCTGTGGCCATATGAAAGCAGAGTGATGGAAGTAAGAGCCGGTGGCTCAGAGCAGCCACTGATCAAGTTTTCCTTACGGTTTGAATCTTTTCCATTCTCTCTTCTTCACAATGCAGTCAGCGCCTATGAATTATGCACAAGACTGACTGTTTTTTTTAATATTCAGACAGTTCAGGGCAAGTTATTAACAGAATCAGTTCTTGACAAGAGCGGAACTTAATTAAAAATGTGTTTATTATTTGTGGGGAGAGAAAAAAGCAGCACAACAGAGGCTGCCGCGCCTGGCTTTGAAATGCAAATCTTCGCTGAGGCGCCCGTTATGGAACCAGATGAGCAGTTTTTCAGGCTGCAAGTCTACAAACAGTTTTTGTTTTTTGGGTTTTTAAAGATGTTTTTTAGAGTGGCCCAGTTTATGCCTTTTGCATAACCAAGACTTCTTAATAGCCCAAGGGAGCTCTTGCTCGTTAATGCTATTGTTTTATAAGTTTATGTCCCCAAAGTTCCAATTTGTAAGTTAATGTTTGGATAACAAATCGAGAGCCAGGTTAGTTTCCACTGCAGCGATTGCTTATCGCTCCATCCTGACCTCTGAACCCCTTTGAAGACACCCACGCCCATCACAGTGCATTTATCCTGCAATCAGGGCTGTTTCCTTTTGTGTGTCATCAGCGGAGGCGAAGCAAACCCCCAAAGCCAGCTGAATTATTCCACCAGTCAAATCTTATGAAAGGAAAACAACCTCTACACAACCACGGCTGCTTTCCAAACTCTAAACAGAGCACACCCCAACACTTTGAGGTGCGACCACCCCATCCCGTCCCCTCTGTAACACTCTGTGCTTCTCTCTGTCAGATGTGGTTGAAGCCCATGAAGCGAGGCGACATTCCTGAGAGGATGTGTTATCTGGCGCCCGTCTACAAGACGAGCGAGCGACGTAGCACCCTGTCCACCACTGGACACTCCACCAATTATGTCATCGCCATGACACTCAACTCCAATGTTCCTGCGGAGCACTGGATCAGAAGAGGGGTCGCTCTACTCTGCCAGCTCAGCTCGTAGTCTCAGCTTTGACTTACGTCTGGATTTGTTTTACACTCTGACGTGTAATTAAAAAAATCGGGAACAGAAACCGATGCAGGCTCTCTGGGCTTTTTTTCAGAATGTTACAAACCTGCAACACCAAAAAATGACACCAATAATCATCCACAAAACACACAAGAGCACGTGTTGTACACAATGTCAGTGCCACGATGCATCAGCTGGACGACATCAGTGAGGCTGGTCGAGCTCCTGTAAAGGACCGCTTCACGCTGCACTGGATAATAACACAAACCACAATCTTCTCCTAAACCAAGCTTATTATAGTTAAATAAAACTACAACCAGATATCAAAAATAAACATTAGTTAACTGGTTTTGTGAACTTGGAAAACTAAAATGACTTAAAATATGGAGGTAATACGTTTGGTTTTAGTACCAGTTAAAACGTTAAAACTTGCTGATGAGGGACTGATGGACACATTTCTTGAGGCTTTGAGTGTCTACAAGACCAAGAAGACATATGCCCTCCACACAATATCATAATCATTACAAAGTCTGACAGTGATCTAACAGAATAAAAACTAAACTCAGCATGGTTCTGCCGGAGGTTTCTTACTGTTAAAAGGAAGTTCTTCCCACAGTCGCCAAAGTTCTTGCTCATAATGAGTGATACTGTTGGGTTTTCTCTGCAAGTATTATTCTAGGGTTTACTTTACAATATGAAGTGTCTTGAGGCGACCGTTGTGATTTGCCGCTGTGTAACTAAAATTGAATTGAAAACTGAAAACTGTAATAACACTGAACGTCAAAAAGTCGTTTCTTAACACCGAAACTTGACCAGTGAAAACCAGCAAATCCACCATAGAGACAAAAGCTGCACTCATACTTGTTTAACCTTAATTTACTTCACTGTCACCCCTCAAACCTCCTGATCTCAACTCCTTATAGGATTCTTAGCCCCAATAGTCCTGATCCAGATACCTGACACTGTGCAATAGCAGCATCGGACAGATACATGCGAACCCTGGAATAAAATCACAGCTTTTCTAATGAACAGGGCATTGACTCAGCTGCACAGTCTGTTTGGTTTCTTCACAGATCCATCTTCTGGGTCACTCATTTACAAACCAGCTTCAGCAGATAAAGTGAGGGGAGGATTGGCAGGAGTGCTGCCAACAGGGTTTCTCAGCTCTCTTCCGCCAATTTGTGCCGGTGTGGATAAATGTGAGAGCCAGAGCGCAGTTTGACGGGTTTAACAAGCAATTATTACGCATTAGCTCGAGCAGATGTTCAGGTGATATATGTAAGAAGGAAACTGTGGTGGACAGAAGGTCTGTGGACTACATCTGCCAATCACCGGTGAATTTGTTGTGGTAAATATAAGAGACAGGCACCGAGGGGCAAGATTATGGCAGAACCATCAAAGATCAGGAGTCCACGAAGTTTCCAGAGTTTATTTTCCTTCTGTAGGGGAGAATGTACAGACAGGCAAAAAGCAAGGATATCACATTTTGCATTTTATATCCAGGTCACTAAACAAATATACACAGAGCAAAGCAAATATGATCATGGTCTTTCTGCCTGAGAAACAGTGAGGAAACTTTGGGCGATGTGTCACAAAGTCTTACTGAGCACTCGACAGGGCGGTAAATGTTTAAATTATTTAAAAAAAGAAAACAGTCTCTATTGGAGGAAAACAATCAAATAGATGTAAACTTATATTTTAAAAAGGGGGAAATAATAAGCTTCATTTGATTCTGAATTAAAATACATTCAGGTCCCATTGCACTAAAATTCCATGTGAACATAAGATGAAATAATAAAACACTTGTACAAAGAATAACCGTGCAGATAATAAGACGACTGTGGTCACGACATAATCTGCTTCAAAATAATAAAAAATTAAAAAAAAAAAAAAAAAAAAAAAAGGCTTGTAACACCGTCACAATACACCCTGGACAACCTCCCATGATCTTCACACAGTTCATTTAAAAATGAACAAAAGTTTTCACCGTTTTTACTCTTGCAGTACAAAGAATAAAAACACCCAACACGTCTGTACCGCTTCACTCATGATTCAGTCAGATCGGTGAGACTCATGACGATTTACAGCCAGTTAAGACAGACGATGGATGTCACACAGTGACAGGATAACTGAAGTCTGCGTGCTCCAGCAGCTGAAGCCAGGATTGGTAGCTTTAGCATGTGAGCCACAGAGCAGCCAATGGAATGTCGGGGTGGGCGGGATGATGGGTGGCGTCAAGCCCCAGCCGCTGAAAATCCACACTGTGGCAGGTTTGGGCACAGCCAGCACAGTGACTACACATGGTTGGAAAAATACTCCCATTAAATAACCTTTGTGCTGTGGATCGATAACCTGGTTAATCGATTACTAGAAGTGCTGGGATGTTTAGAAGCACTGGAGTGTACTGCTCTTTGCGTCATCTGTCACAGATTGTCAGGAATTCATTCTTCAAACAACACTTTTAGCAGGAAGAATTTTTAGCTTCAACTTTTAGCTGCACAACAAGTGACGCTAGACAGACCTCATGTATTTACAGATGTATGTCTCATCAGTGAAGATGAGACAACTGAACCTCCTACCATAACTACAGACCAGTTTGGTCCAATGGGACAAAGCACCTTTCATGAACTCAAAGAGGCACCCTAAATAAAAATCGAGTAAACTAAAACACTTGTTATGAAGATAAAAATAAGTTTAATTCACATTTTGAAGTCGGTGACTCTCAAAGAGGCCTAAGTAAGAAACGTTCTCATTTAGCTGGAGATAGTTAGACCCTTACAGAACAAAGTTGGCTGGACGTTTGCAGCATTTGGTTCCCAAAGTAGACAAAAAGAAAACACTGATTACTGTAAATGCTAGTATGTAAAGGCTTTGGCAGCTGTTAGCAGCAGCTGTCAGTAACCCTTTTCAGACACGCTTTAAAAAAAAAAAAACAACAACTTTCATTTACAGGATCTGAATGTTCCCAATTTAGTTTTTAGATGCACTCCATACAGACATATTTTGATGACTTTAGTCACATTGGCTTTGCGTGTATTTGCATCTACTCCCACTAAGAAACATTTGGGTTGGCGGTCTGATGCTTGCTGGTGGGAAACGGCCACGTTGTGACGGTGGCATCATGTTACATCCCACCAGCAGCAGTAAAAACATTAAAAATCTCTAAAAACAGTTTTTGTCTCAATTATAACATAACTATTCAAAGCACTGAAGAAGAAGAAACCTATGTTTGAATTACAGAATACTCTCACTTGTTACCTATCCCATGTCTGAAAAGGGCTACTACAAACTACAAAGGTTTAGTAGTCTTAAAAAAAATTAGGCGGTAAAACATAATTCTAAGGGCAAAACTAAAGTTAATGGCAGCAAAAATAAAATAAAAACTGAGTAATTAAGACAATCTCCTACACACAAACAGCTGAATTCTTTTCTGTTTTGATACTGCAGCTTAAAACTGTCAGCGTGTTTTGCAGGTGAAGCAACACCAGCTAAAATAGTTTATTCCACATGTAGCAGCCAGGTGGGGCCGGGCCGGGCGTCGCTTTTAGGGCACTGTGCGATGCAGCTGTGGAGCTGCTCCAGTGGCCGGGGCTTGGCACGACGGCGTTTGATACACGACGTGATCACATAAGACAGCGACGATGGATGGCAGGTGAAACACACACCACAGATGTACGCAGCACAGCTGACAGGACACAGCACAGAGGGGATGAGAGACGAGGACACGGGGAGGTGTACGACGACAACACACTAACAACAGGTGATGATGGATAGGCGGCGAGCTGCTGAGCCGTGACAGCTGCCTCTCTGTATGAACACACGCCCTGCACCACCTCACTATCTACATTATTTTATTCTTTTAAACGTTCAGAACAGAGGAGGTGTATCCTGGTTGGGGCATAGCTTTGCTCCTCCGTCACTCTGCCTCTTTATGTTTCACGGGGAGCAGACAGATTGGAACTGACGGAGGAGAAGTGATGGAGGAGCAGAGTATAAACACCACTACCAGAGTCATGAGATATGCATAAGCTACCGCAGCATGTTTGGAATGGAGGCACAGGCCATGAACGAGACACGTTGCATGCAAGACCGGGCCGTTACATTGCAAACAGAGCAAGTGAAGGCCAAGAACAACACTGATACATCCAGCTCTCCCCTCCTTCTGCTTCCTCTGTCCTCCACTAGAAGCCAAAATCGAAAACAATGCGGTCTTCGAAGATGGCGATGAGCAGCATGATGCCGAACCCAGTCAGCATGCCCAGGTTCTGCAGGATAAAGTGTCCCAGCTGGCACCGCTTGTGGTCCTCACTGTCCCCGTGAAGCATTTCTGGCAGCTATAAAAGAGACAAAGTAACCAGTTGGGATAAGACTCAGACTTTCTGGGATTAGCATTGCAGATCAGGAGGCAACGAAAATACGAGCGACTGCCCGTGTGTGGGAGAGGAGACGGAGTCGGGGGACAATTATCACTCTGGGGCTGTGGAGCACGCTCAGCCAACTCACCATATCCACCAGAGCCACATAAAGGAACATGCCAGCTGTGATGGCGAAGATCCAGTTGGTGACACTGTGCGTGTACTGGCCCACCGCGGTGCCAATCAGCATGCCAACGTAGGCCATGAGGGCGGACAGCAGATTGTAGACAATAGCCTGCTTCACCGACATCCCGGCTTTCAGCAGCACCGCAAAGTCACCTGTTGGCCAGAAGACACACTTGTTTAAACAACACACACACTGTGTGTGTGTGTGTGTGTGTGTGTGTGTGTGTGTGTGTGTGTGTGTGTGTGTGTGTGTGTGTGTGTGTGTGTGTGTGGTAAAAGCAGAATGACAGCTGTATGTCTGACTTCTGTTTACCGTCTGAACAGTGACATGCTCTTTGTGGAGTACGAACCCCTCGGTGAGCAGCGAGGCTCACTTCATGTAGTTTTATTTATTTTTCCGGTTTATTCCATGACTCACTTTGCCTTCAGTGATGAGGTGAGCTTGTTCTAAACAAACCTTCCCACACGCATCCAACCACCACCACTTTCTGTCTTCACATAGGTGGAGGAAAAAAAACCCAGAGCCGCACTTCATATACTTATGATTACATATGCATGCAGTAGCCTCTCTACCCTCTTCAATCATCGCCGGGGCCAAATGCGAGAAGAGGCCCGAGTCTCAGCGGAAACGCCCTGGATTTGGAGAGAGAGATGAATACTGAGAAGGGGGGTGGCCTACATTTCCTGCGCCGTGTAACAAGCGGCCTCTTTTCCTCGCTAATTACCACAATGAATATATTACCACTCTGCTCTCATCCATCAATCAACCCCGGAGAAAAGAGGAGAGAACTTAACAGAGACGGTCCACGCACACCTCGCTTCACTGGCATTTTTTTTGTCAGCCCCCCTCTTCAACTTTTCCTACTTCCCCCTCCTGTTCCAAACCGTCAGACACTCAGACACGCCTGCTGCCGCCTCATCTACCGCAATTAACACACCCATCACTGCCAATTAGTTTCACTCTGGGTGGTTAAAGAACCCTTATAATCATCATCTTTTCCATCCAGCTGCCAGTCGGGGGACAGTCTTTGTGTTGAGGAGGAGCTGAGAGGTGCACTTGTCAAACTGCTGCGTTTGTCTGACAAGCTGCCCGACGGGGGTGAAGGCACGACAGCGAGCGCTGCTGAAGAAACGGGCACCGAATCAACAGGAAATGTGAAATTACGCGGGGACAAAGGGACCGAGCTCGCATATCTCCACATACCGCTCGAGACTGTGCTGCAGCAGTTAGCCATCTGGAAACTTAGAGAAAGGATTTTTAAAAATGTGTTCTATATATCTATCTATCTATCTATCTATCTATCTATCTATCTATCTATCTCTAGACAGACAGACAGACATCTATCTATCTATCTATCTCTCTCTAGACAGACAGACAGACATCTATCTATCTATCTATCTATCTCTAGACAGACAGACATCTATCTATCTATCTCTAGACAGACAGACATCTATCTATCTATCTATCTCTAGACAGACAGACATCTCTAGATAGATAGACAGATAGATATGGAGATGGATATATATGCTGATTTTTTTATTTTTGCAGACGGTCATTAACTGGTACTTTCTGCTAAGCGCTTTAATATTACAGACTCAAAAGCCTGTTTCTTCTCCTTTACTCATTTCCCCTCTAAAACACAACAATAAGAGAACAGGGTGCTCTTGATCAACACAAGGGGAGGGGGCAGCCAGACAAACCTAGGTTATTATTCACCAGTTCACACGCAGCGGTAATTGACACTAGTCTATTCATCAAGAACACAAACGAGGCAATGACGCTGCAGCACAATGAGACACATCATCAGTACTGATCTGCTGTGGACGGGCCCATTGTCTGTCTTCTTTGCCCCATCCTCTTCCTCTCTCTATAAACAAACCGGCAGAGGAGAGCACTGCGGCGTTATTTACAAAAAAAACAAGCATGCCTGAACAAAGCTGTTCACTGCTGCTGAATCACACGGCTCCTCAGAGGAGGATAGCTGAATGCAAACGAGAGCACCGGCAGCTGTATTGAACAGCGTGTGCCAGGCTCAGTATATCATCTGCTCTGACAGATATTGGCGAATCATCTCAGTGCCGTCGTGTGAAAGCCATTAATTTACAAAAAACCCAGCATTTTTCTGGAGTGAAGAGCACAGCGCTGATTATTGACGCCACTGGTTTTTTAACAAGTTTCAAGGGACGGAGGGTCGCGAGACTCGCTCTGATTCAAGTTTCAGTTCAAGTAAGACGAGAGCTTTTCAGCATGAGGCGGTGATTTAGACGCTGATTATCATTACGGGAACCAAAGCCTCCACAAAACAGCTTTGTTCCACTTGTTGAATAAATGAAGCGTGCAGTGTCTTGTGTGTAATGAGTAAATGAGTTGCTTTTGACAGTTTTATTTATCTTATCCCCCCTTCACAGTGTCTTAGTGCACGTACCGAGTTCATGAGGTAATTCGTGGCAGAAAACAGCCACTGATGTGCTGATGCCACCTGTCAGGTTTGCACTGAACGCAGCGCCTGTAGAGTTCAAAGTGTCAGAGAAAAGAGAAAGAAACAGACCATTAGAGGAAACTACAGACTGCTGGGCATCTACCAGTTAAATATTAATCTTCTGCCAAAAGACTGCTGGTTCAAGCTTCAAGCTTGGTATATAAAAAAAAAAACAAAACCAAAAACTGTTTTGCGGGAGACCAACAGCACCGTGTTTCCAGACTTCAGACTTAACATAGACCCATTAGGCCTTATTTTCTGTCAGACATGTGCCGTTACATGACTGGATGTTAATATTAAATGACTAAAGTGAAGAATTTCATCTATTTAAAAGTGATCTCAGATCTAAAAACTCAAGCTTTTATAAACTCTAAAACTAAAAGCTCGAGAGACAGATATGGGAGCTGGGAGTGATGTCATGCCCAACCGGACTGCATTCCAGCATAGTCCTCACTGCTTTCCTCATCTAATGGGCATCATTTGGAAAACTGCTGGTATTTCAGTCTCTGCTTTCAGTGCCACTGGATTTAAATCCTGTATACTGGTGAGTTACAAAATCGTGGTACCTATGGCGAGGCCATCGCTGAAATTGTGCATGCCGTCTCCCATGATGACCATCCAGGCAATGCTGGCTATCCCAGCGTCCTTCATCTCCTGATCCGAGTGGCAGTTTCCTCCATGAGAGTGACCGTGTCCGTGCGAGTGCTTCTTGGTTTTACGTCCATTCTCCTTGGTGGGGGACTGACTGAGGTTTGCGGGTGCCAGCGGCGTCTTGTTGGTGGGAGAGTCGGGCGTCTGGAGCTCGGTGAGCTGCGTGTCGTTGTGGCTGTTGTCGCAGGAGACAGCTGTGCTGTCAGGGTCTGGCAGAGGGAGGAAATGTTAACGGGAGGACCAAAGGAGCTAAAGCTCGTCACCTGCTGTAAAGATTCACGAACAAACACTAACCTTCATTGAGCGGCTTAAGGTGGAGCCACTCTGCATCCGAGCGCCGATTTAACTTATGATCTGACAACTTCCTGCCAATCTTGCCCTCCTCATTCACCTTCTTCATGCCCTGTGAGCAACAATGCTCATTATATATATATTTATACACATTTCTTACACTGTGTTGCTTCAAAAGAGTTTGAACAAAAGACAAAACCTAAGGCAGAAACAGAGGTTTAGCGTCTGATAACGGCCCACTCCATCACCTGCAGCTGGATCAAGGTAACTCACCCTCTGGTCTTTGTAGTGCTTAAACATGCCAATACAGTGTTCGATGATGAAGAGGAGGTAGATGCCGGCCAAGGCTGTAAGCCCCTTCCACACTCCATCAAAAGCTGTTACCATATCTTCTTCCTGGTCGGCACCATGTTTGCTGTGATCGTGCTGCCCTTGAGACTGAAGACAGGAAGAGGAGCAACAGTTGACTGAGCGACACATGACATTCACACATTCATCAGAGCAGCGTAACCTGGACTCACTAAGAGGAAACAGTTACAAAACTGTTCAGTGGAACTGACGTTTTCATGTCATCAACATAAACAAATAAACACAAATGTGACACTGTTGTACAAAAACAGATGCTATAATTCTCCACAGTATACAAGTTACACATTTAACACAGAGTTAACAGTTGCTGATTTCCTTTTCTACATAGATGTTAAGGCTGTCAAGTCTCGCGTCAGGTCAGAGGTGACATAACATTTGCAATAAATTCTCAAGATAATTTTGATTTTACTCAAAGGGTTTTTAATTCTATTCTAATAACGTTTAATATAAAGAATTTCTCTTTTCTTTGACTTCATTAAATGTCTGTTACCATTTCACAGCGATAACATCAACGTGTTAAAATTAACTCAACGAAGCCCGAACCATGAACAAACTATATCAGTATTTTTTATATGGAGCAAGCAATTTAGTTTTTTGGGGGACCAAAAAAAACAAAACAAAAACACACTGATGATCTGGAGGTGTCACAACTCACAAAAACTCAGGTATCAAATATCACAATGGATGTGAATGGAAGTCGTTTGTGGTTCAGTATTTAAAAACGAAGAAACATGAAGCCACCGTTCTTCTGATTAACCCACAGAATCCACACGTTCTGGTTCGATTCATTTCCACTGACGGAGCAAGTTGTGCTTGTAGTTTTAGGCTCTTTGTCACAAAAAGGTCATTTCTGTTACCACTTTACCCACTTCCATCGATTGCACAGGGGACTTAATGAAGTCGCCGCTAAGGCACCACAAAGACATTATTCCTGTGTTTAGAAGCTGCCGTCTGTCTTTTGTACTTACGTGAGGCAGCAGGTGAAGGAGAGCGTCACCACTGAGCGTGCCCACTGCCAACGCTACCAGAAAGGTGAGCAGGAACTTGAAGCACGATTGCTTGAGGATGGGCACGAGTACGACCCCCAGCAGAGACAGCAGGCTGATGATGGTGATGGACACAAATCCCCAAATCCAGACCCACACTGGAGGAGGAAAAATAAACACAATAAATTAAATGATAAAATATGAGTATTATTTATCGGACAGCTTATTTTTTTCCCCCCATTTGTTTGGTAAGGACTTTTTGTTTTAGAAAAGGTACAAAATAAACGCTTTTTTCATTTCCAGTCAAACAACGAGAGACGACACCATCAGCTGCAGCTTTATCATCACATGGCTCATGGCTGCAGGTGTTTTCCCCCACATTGTTCACACATGAAGGAAAGCATCCTCCAGAGGTTTTAAATCCATGTGTCCTTGTGATGACACACGATGCCTAAAGCAAAAAACACGAGGTGACATTTCAGCAGAATTCTTCTCGCCTCATTTTTCATTCAAGGCCAGAGTCAAGAGACGTGAAGCGCCAGAGAAAAAGTGAGAAAGGTACACTATCATTTAAACTGTCAGTCGAGCTGTCAGCCCAGGACGGTCTCAGAAGCGAGAAAAAGTTTTGTCGTCAAACACGACAAAGTGTTTAATGTGGTATGAAATTCCATGTCGCACCAAAGCTGGTCCGTGCTCTCTAAAGCGATGCTGGTCCTTCACTGCTGACATTCACCTAAAGGACATCTATTGACTGAAACACTTAGTGCATGTAATGCACATATTACAGACAATTGACTTCAGGGAGGCTATTTGAGAACCATGACACGAAACACAAACAACACTCACCAACACATTTCAGAGACTTTTTTGTTAACTATAGTTCGATGTAGCAGCTGTTTGTGAGGCCAAACAAGTTTTCCATATGACAAACTCTAGGTTTTGGTGGAGCTTCAGTCATGCATACAGCCGTATCACAGGTGACACAGAGCCAGCAGGAAAACCCGACAGGCAGACCTTCTCTCCTCTTCTATTCGGCCCCAGTTGGCGGAGCTTTTGAAGACATGATCTGAAACATGTCTTACACCTGACGGAGTGGTCTTTAAAGAGGCTGAATCAAGCTGTTACTGTACCATTACACAGCTGTGGGATTAAAAAAAAAAAACACATTACCAAAGACATCTCTCCCCAAGCGCCAGGCTCACTACTCAGAAACAGGAGGCTGGAGATCCTCCTGGGGAAAGTATTGTGTACAAGTGGTGTGTCTGATGCTTGTAATTAGCTTTTGGGAAGCTACTCTTTTCCTCTGAAGCCATGAAAAAAGTCAGTATTTGACTGAGGATCTGTGTGCGATGGATTTACTTGCTGACGCCCCTTTGACAGTGGAGTGAATTCAGAGCACAGGCCGAAGCTGAGCACTGAGACTCTTTGAGCCATTTGGATTCAGGCTGTAACGTGCACGACATTGTGCTGATGTTTTTTTATTCCCTCATTAATTAGACCGACTTGGGCTAAAATCCTCATAAACCTCCCAACATTACTCTCTGCAGTTTATACCCCGTAATGACGGGCATGTTGGATACAGTTCACCAACATCAATTAAAAGGTTCTCCTCTCGCTGGCTCCTTCCCTCGGCTCTCCCTGTTTACTGTGTTCCCATACAGTACTTTGTGTAACACCATGCAGCATCATCTTTTAGTTTGTTCAATTAACTCGTGCCCGCAGGACTTCAGACTACTGGAAAATGCTTCGTTTTGACATTTTATTAAAGTCTTCACAGATATATTCATCTTGGCCACAAGGCTCTGGGTGTGAACTGAAAGCCCGCCCACCTTCCATTTAAATCTTCTGTTTGTACAAGGCAGCCAATTGGATGAAAGCTGGCTTAAAAAAAAAAAGAGAGAGAAAGAAAAAAAAGCCTTGTTTGAGATACAGACTAAACTAAAGAGCTGAACAAAGACCCAGTTTAAGATAAATAAAGATGATTTTGTTTGTGGATGGTGATCATGTAAAGCTACTCAAGCTACTAAAGGTCCCCTTTAAAAACTTTGACTCCAACGTGTTCAGAAAAGTGAACAGAAATAACTAAATCTTGCCTTTAATTCGAAATAATCCTGACATCAAAATATTTCCTCTCAAACTGGCAAAAGGGCGTGAATGACGAAGGCTTCTAACACGCCCACTTATAACATATAATCGCTCCTGGGCTCGCCATGTTTCCTCACACTGCAGGCCGTGAGTCAGCACACAAAAATACCACAAAATGCATCTGGCGCACCCAAAGGATACCAGCCAGGGAGCATCTGACTGATCTGCACTGCCGAGATTCACCAAGGCCTCAGTGGTTTATTCATGAATCATAACATGTATATATGCATATGAATATATAAAAAAAAAAAATTATGTTTTCTACCATTCTTTTCTACTTTGTTGTTCAAGGATATTTTCTTTTGGGGAGGAAGCAAAGTCAAAAATGTTTAATTCATAGCTTTAAAGGTTCTCTTGGACCAAAGCAAAGTGTTTGCGTCCTAGTATGAGTCACTACATATGTATTTTTAATCCTACTTTATGGTAAGAATGATGGGAAAGCCTGTTTTTAAGCAACTATCAGTGATTAGAGTACAACAAAGAAGTTATTTCTCCTTCGTATGTTAAACTTCAACCTCAGTCCTGTGCAGATCGCTGCTGCAAAGAAGCAGTGAAGCATCAAGCCAGCAGCGGGCTTAGTAAAACAGGAAGGAAACGCTAATTTCAGGTAATCATACAAACAAGTTTTAAGAGTCACGTGACTTGTTGTAGGTCGGTGTTGTGTCAGCACAGCTCATATTTGTTGTGTATCCCTTCCAGCGTCTTCATGGATCTATTAGAGCTTCTTCGTTCAGTTAAAGAGAAAAGGATGCGCTGCGTTTCTGCAGAACATTTTACGCACTCTACTCCCACGAGAACCTTTGAAAAGTCAGCACTCTTTGCTCTGTCGTCTGCAGCTCACTTAAACAGTATGCTGAACCCGGCAGCGAGCGCAGCACAAGCCACGTCCTGCGTGAAAGCCCCTTGAGGCAGAAGCTGCTCAGCGATTTGACAGAAAACCAGAGAGCGACGCTGAATATCAAGACACCTCCGAACCCTCTGGAGTTTTCTGAAGGTGGAGGACTTTTCCCTGCTGAAGTGGACTTTAGTTTGATGAAGGCAGTCACAAACAGAATCGAGTCGAGCTCGTCGTCCCCTCCTTCCTTCTCTCTTAATATCACAGGACGATCGTGCCATCTGCACCTGTGCCAAGCCATACGTAGGAGTGAAAAGAAAGAATGCTTCTATTTAAAAATGGGCACAGCTTTGCAGAAGCCCACTAAATAAAATAATTTAAATAATTTTCTTTAAAATATAAATTCATCTCATTCCTGCCCCGAGGATGCTTCAAACATCAGCTTGTATTTTCAACCCCTGAAATGCTGTTTTATTTTATTTATTTTATTTACGTAAATGTTATATACCTATGTGGTATGTGACTTTTGTTGCTATGATGCCAGGTCTCTCTTGGAAATGAGATTTTTTTACCTGGATAAATAAAGGATAAAAAATAAAAAATAAAATCTGCAGAAATGTCACTGTTACCACAATGTGGTAACAGTCACGATGCTAGCATCACGATGCTAGCCAAAAGTGGACCTTTGGGATTTAAGAATCAGTCTGTGCATCATCCTGGTATTTTGGGGCATTTTAGGTATTAGTAACTGTATAATTGTTACAAACAAGAAACCCTCTATTAGTCTCTGTAAAGCACTTTGAATCACCTTGTTGTTGAATTGTGCTATACAAATAAACTTGCCTTGCCTTTATAATCACAACGGTGAGATTGATGGCCAAACCCTGATTGTTTGTTGCCAGCAGTTTTAGAAGCGTGACAGTAGAATTATAAGAGTTATTCACAGCTCAGACAACATGTTTATAAGAGCGCTCTACCTCTTGAAGCAGCAGACTACAGCTATTAGTCTCTTCAGAGCCGCTTTACTAATTCCACACATTACAAAGAGCGGCTCATCGTGAGACAAAACAGTCAATCTGTATTCAAATCTCTTCGCTAACACTCACCTTATTGTTTTTATTATAACCACCATTTTCAATGTACATTATATAAGTGAAGTTTTACAGATGAATGCTTTTCTATTTGTTGCTATCATGCGGAACAACGTGTAACCCTGAGAGGCAACTGTACATCAGCCAGACAGTCCATCGCCACATCACCGCAGGTCCTTCACACTCACGCAGCTCATCTCCCTCTCTATCTCATTACCTTTATGCAGCTGTGGTTGTGTGGGCGGGTGTATGTATGTGTGTGTGCTTAGGCGTAGACATGGGGGTGGGCAGGGGGTTGCAGCAGGGCAATTTAAAGGCGGTGATAAGGGAACAGAGGAGAGAACGAAAGAGACCAACTTCTCTCCAATTACGCATCTCCTGTGAGCCACGGCTCAGAAAAATGGCCCCCGGTGTCGCTTAGGCTCTCCTAATTGGCACGGCGCAACAAAAAAGAAGAGGGGAGTGGGGACCAGAAAGAAGTGAACTGCAAATTTTCCGAGCTCCCCCGCGGATGCCGGCAGGAGGTAAATGAGAGGCAGCTCTGCAGCTTGTGGTGACGTCTATGGTTGAATCTTGGTGCACCATTTCTGAAAATCTAGCGCCTCTAGTTTTGCACTAATGAGGAGCCGTTGCTGCCCTTTTGACTTGTTTGTGCAGTCCTCCTCGTCATCGTTACGGTTTTAAAAATTTATTATTATTATTAATGTTTTCAGGGGCGGCACACTTTGGCCTGAAGCCCGTATGGCACAGGTTTTTCCAGGAGGAAGTGTGTGCTTAACAATTAAGGCACTTTGGGAATTTCTCCAACCTCACAGCTGAACTTCAGTCCCTTTTGTCTAATTCTGTCCCCGCTGTAAACCTATCAAGTGTAAATCTGTCTTCAGTCACAAAAGCCACTCCTCTAATTAAAAGTAAATCTTATGACCCAAAGTCACTGTGATGTCTAATTTGCAGCATGTACACAAAAACAAACACACTTACACAGCAGGGGGGGGGGGGTCACACAAAACATGAGAACTCACAAACTGAGACAGAACTCATTATGCTTTTCCCTAATTTTCTGTCATACACAAACCATTATAATGCTGGATGTTCATATTAGACTTGGCCAAAGTTTCACATAATGAGGTCAGTCTATAGACTAATCCCACCAAGCCAAAAGACTCCGGCTGCTCAATTACAGCAGAAATCACAACTACAGTTATTTTCCACAAATAATAACTATCTTCAACTGTTTAATTTAACACCATGCAGCAGTAGCTACACTTGACCGAGATGAACACCATGTCTTAAGAGACCAACACGGAGACAGACAGAGTTAATAATCCTTCCACAGGTTCACCAATGGTAATTCTGGAGTTGCACTAAACAGCAAGTAAGTCTGAGCTTTCAGGACGCCGCTGTAAAGGAAGAAGGTGGGTGTGATTTCTATAGAAACGCTGAGCTTTGCTGTGAAAATTCATGGGAAAAAGTCTCATTGTCCCCTGGTTTGACTCACAGCTAGCTGCACACAGTGTTCCTGTTGTTAGCCAAAGTCTGAGGACAACTAGTTTTATTAAGACTGAGCTTGTAGTTCATAGTTTGACTTAATACCACAACTACAAAGAGATGCTGCTGCTGCTGATGTTTCTCAGGAGTTTCTGATCCTTGGAGGTTAAAGTTCTGAATTTTTTTCCAGCCTAACCTTGAAAAGTGGCGTGATATCAGTCCTTGACTAAATCGAATACCTACATTTTTTTCCTTATGTTTTTCTTGTAAATTTAGTGTTTTAATCTAGAGATTTTTTTCTCATTATTATCCCCCTTCACACCTTCTCTTTGCACGGGACAGACACTCTGAAATAACTTAAAGGGAGGCTGGAGATGAACTCACACTGAACTTACAGAGGATGAGCTACACCGAGGCCCATTATAAGTTAAAGAAAGATTATTTTTAAACATGAATCATGCAAAGCTACTCTAGCAGAAACCAAGAAAACAAATACAGAGCTGGAAACGAGCATAAGGTCCCCTTTAACTGCCACAACGTGATTAGACTGATTATTACACAAGTTTACAAAATACTGTAATTCCAGATGGCTTTGTGCAATCTATTCTGAGATTTACATGCTGAGCCCACCAATATAAACACATTAATGTACCGTAAAGCGTAAATTCAAAGAAACCCAAAGATGTGCAGTCTGTCTTGTATTTTTGGTTTGCAGTAGCTGAGATTACTGCTCCTCCTTTGATTTGTAAGAAAGGTTTTATAGCTTCGAGTTTTATTTCACGACCTGTAACTCATTAACTTTTAAACGCTATGATTTTATAATTTGCATTCCCATAAACCTGGAAACATTGTAAGGTCTCAGAGCAGGACTTAATACTGACCTTCTGACTTTATAGCTCCGCTTTTGTCCTCTTTCGGTTTTCAGATTTTCTTTTTTTGAATATTATTGATTGGAGGATGTGATCAGAATACAAACTGAGAGAAGAAAGCTCACTGAAAGAAAGAAGTAGTTGGGCACTCAAAGGGACACAAACGGTCCTTCTTTGCTCTATTTAGAAAAGACAAAAAAGGACCACTTGTTCACTGCCATGGCAACTGAAATAATTTAATAAGGAGAAGAGACAGATGGAAAGCTCCAAACACAGACTGAGTGCTGCAGTTAGGTGTGTGAATAGCCCAGAAATGTCCTGTATTAAGATGACTGCAAGAAGGCCAACTGTAGCACATTAATGGGGTGATTCCACTATGACCTCCATCCTAATCAGCTCCTGATGCTCACGGTGAATTATGGTAGCCTTTTCATATAGACAAAACTGTAAACTTGCTTATAAAGTTTTGTGTTTCACATATTTTTCTTTTTTCTGTTTAAAACAAAATCACTACTTTTAAGTCAGTTTAGTTTCACTTTGTTTACAATTTCAGTTTTTAGCGCTCAAAGTCACAGATTTCCTAGTCTCAGTAAACACACCAAAGCTGCCACCCTCTGTGTGTTGAAGACTTAAACTAAAGACGTCCACAGATACATGTTTACATGGAGTCTATGCTTGATCTATAGTTCAGTTAACTCAAACATTTCCCAAACGTTTTGCTTTTTCTTTAGTTAACTATATAAAAAAAAAGCCCTGAACCACAGTTGAGATTCACAGTGGTTCCACAAACTACACACTGAGCAGAAGCTCATGCCTACAGCAGCAGACGCCATAAAAAACGTCTTGAGTGGTTTTAGAGGAACATTTCCGTCTTGAACAAAGGTTAGTGTGAGACAACCTTGCAGCAGGTTTGATATAAAGAACAAAGTACATGTTTAGCAGTAAGCAGGAAAAAGCCTCCTGGACAATGATGACATCGCTCACTGCTTTAAGTGACTCGAGTCTCAAATTTCTCCAAGTCTACATTATTAGCGAGAACTGATGTTACGCCTTCCTTCAGCTGTAAATAAAACTCATGTTGTGTAAATACATGAAGCAATTTGAGCATAAGAAGCACTCTTCAACGACTGCTCTGGCTTCCAATACTCAGTTCTTCTTTTTTGTTAATGTCGCTGCTCAAACTGCTCTCCTGTGTCTCCTCTGCAGCTCTGCACAGCAGAAGGATGCCGCAGAGGTATGGTTACACAAAAATCACATTTTCATTTCCAAAACCTCGATCTTGGAGTCACGTTTGAGCGCACAAACACAAAACTGTTTTATTTATTTATTTGAATTAAAACTTTTCAAATTGTCAAAGTTGCCAAAATGAAATGAATGACTGTAAAGAAGGCAAGACGTCACCAGTTTAATGTTAAGTATATTATAAATTAAATGTGATCAACTCTACTCCAGATTAGTCTTAATATTGATTAAGAAAAACGCTATATACACCCACCGGCAGCTTCATTTGTCCCACCTTGTCAATGTGACAGGAGTGGCATCTCATACGGTCTTCTGCCGCTGCTGTCACCTTTCTGCTTCACAGTTTGCCGTGTTGTGAGTCAAACCAGAGCAGAGACGCTCTTCTGCATTGCAACAAGTGGTTGTTTGTATTGCTGTTGCATTCAAATCAGCTCAAAGCAGTTTAGCTAGAAGTAAAAACGTTCTTTTCCTTTTTTAAAGTATTTTATATATTATACTAAATATTTTAACATTTATATTTAATGTTTCTTATATTTTTTTTAACATTTTTATTTATAACTCTCTGTTTTGGGTCCAGTTTGGCACACATTGCCCTGTCCCCTTGCTATCAGGCTCTGAAAATTAAAATAAAATAAAATCAGTAAAAGATAGCAGCAGTACCAGGAAATAGAAGTCTCAATATAAAATACGGCTTAACCATTTTAAAGAAACATTATATATTTTGCAGATCTTCCACTCTTCCCTAAGAGAGGAGCTCCAGGTTACGTAAAGACAGCATTACATTAATGTTTTATGATGGGAGTCCCTGTGGTTTTACACTTATGAAGAAAGCAGTTTCCTATGGCCGATGGCATCAGACAAAAACCCTGACTTACAGTGTGCTTTGTTAACCACATTTTTTAATGTTTCACTGTGACTTTTTCCTCCATTCCAATTTCTTACCATCATATTCAGTGTCTCAACAATTTCATAATAGTAGATGCTTTTTAGTCCACCTTCCGTGACTGCTTAGCTTGCTGGTCTCACACCAAGTATCCAAAACAAGGATAAAACACTAACTTCAGCTGCATTTTGTCATCCAAAAGAATGAAATGAAAATAAAATGAGCACCGTGGACTGAACTAAGCAGCTGACACTCATTGAAATTAATATTTCTCCTTGCTATGTGGTTTTTTTTTCCGAGCAGATCAATGAGTTTGCTCTTACCAGAACTGGCAGGCTCAAAGGCTTCCTGCTCCACATCCATCTGCTCGTAATGGAGGATGCAGACCCGCCTGTCTATTTGGTAGAGCAAGGCGGGACACAGATACGCAAACTGGCGGGGGGAGATGAGCGAGTCGGGATTGAGGCCGTAGTAGGTGAGGAGCTGAGTGAGGTTCAAACACTGGAGTGAGAAGGTGAGAACATGAAAATATAAATAAACACAGGGAACCACTGAAAAACATTACAAATAACAGAATCACTTCTTGTAAAGTCAAATTTCACTCAAACACAATGTGAGCTGCAGCAAAAGACAGATTTTATGTTAAGGGAATTTCACTTTGGCAGTACTGACTGATCCAAACATCCACGAGGAAAGCCAACCATTCATTTAAAAATGCTGAGAGAGATTCCACACACAGAAAACCAACACGATATAATAACTTAAGCAGTAGTGCAACAACAAACACTCGACTAAGCACTGATAACTTATTAGAACAATAGCATTTAAATAAAAATCTGGTTTCTTGTGTCTGTTTATTTAATCCTTCTTGTTTTTTGTCCTTTTGTGAAAAAATACACATTTATTACAAACAAGTGGACTGTTTTCAAGGCTTTCAGATTTCCCAACACTATATTTAACTTCATCAGGGGGTTTATGTAATAGTTTTAGTTTGTCAGTCTGTTTTTTTTAACAGGATTGCTTAAAACTTTATGGACAGTGTCACATGTAAATTTGACCAGTTAATTGTTTTGATGTTCCCAAGAAGATCAAAATCTAGTCCAGATTCAAATATCCTGCTGGATCCATGGGCTCAATTAATGTATGACTTTGATGTTATTTTTAGAGTTTGCAGGAGTAACAGATCAATAAAATAAAATTAAAAAAAATGGCACAGGCTACCAATCAGAAAATAGTGGGTTAAAGATGGGGGAAAGGAAGCTTCAACTACTTGTTTGACACAGCGGAGGAGCTCAGAATGACGCAAAACTATCACAAAAGTTAAAAAAGCAAATTGGAAACCACAACAGGTGCATTTAATAAAAAAAGAAAAAAACAAATAAAAAATAATCTTACCTCCTCATGCTGATGGGTTAATCCACCTGGATGACCAGCTGGCATGGAGACTGGCAGAGTGGGCACGGGAAGTGCCCCCGGTGCCTCTCTCTTATCTTTATGAGAGTGGCTGTGACCATGTGTGTGGTTATGGTCATGAGTGTTGTCATGGTCGTGGTCATCAGATGCAGGTGTGTGAGAAGATGCGGTTTTGTCTCGCCCTCGCTGTCCTCTGACTCTTCCCGGTTTCCAGGGTTTCTTGGGTCGGTTTTCTGTCGGGGTGGGCTGCAGCCTCTGGGGCACCTGAGATGGCTCCAGCTTTTCCTGGTCGAGGTGAGTGCCGCCTATGTCTGTGCGCACTTCATGAATATGATTGTAGTCATGTTCATGATCACTGTGGTCGTGATCAGGGTGAGGCTGAGAAGACAGGTCCCTGTGGTTGACCTGCTGGTGTTTGTGCTCTTCATCATGTGTGTGATTGTTGTGGTCGCCAAAGTGGTGTGTGTCATGTTGATGGTCATTCTCCTCTACCTTAGTGTGATTGTGATCTTGTTCGTGATCATGTTCGTGATCATGTTCGTGATCTGTCGGTCCAGCAGTGGTTTGGCTGCACCGAGTGGGAGCTCCTTCTGTGTGTGGATGCTGAGAGTCTTGTTTTTGGTGTGGACGCATCTGTGTGGTGTGACTGTGCCGGTGGCCCTGGCCGTGGCTGTGGCCAGCGTTAGTGGATGAATGTCCGTGGAGCATATCCAACACCTCGAGGTGGGCTACATGGTCATGGCCCAGATCCTCATGATCCAAACCTACAACCTTCACTTCTCCCAATCCCAAGCTAAACAACAGACTCTGAAAGCCCTTGAAATCTAGCCGGTCTTCCTGGCCATAGCGCCTGAAAAGCTGCTGGATGTAGAAGCGCTGTTCCTCCTCAAGAGCATCCCCAGCGTTCCCACTCTTGGACCCTGGGGACTCTGTGACCCCTCTCACGTATGGAGCCTCAGAAATCTGCAGGTCGCTGTGAGCGCTGTCATGATCATTGTGGTGATGCCCATCGTGCTGATGGTGGTGTCCTCCTTCATGGCAGTGGCTGCACTGATGAAAGAGGAACGTGAGCACACACAGGAAACAGAACTTGGTGTGCATGTGGACTCTCATTGTCCCCTCAATTCTCGTCACCTGCAATAAATAAATAAATGGATAAATAAGTAAAAGAATAAGACCGTGACAAAAGCACTGAACTGATCTAAAGCCTGGATTCCTGTTGTACTTGCCTGTTACAGCGTCAGGCTCCCATGGAGCTAATGCATACTTCTATGGTACACTGTAATGTAAATTCTCCATAGATGGGTCTGCGTGGTCTCACAAACTAAGCAGACATGTGGACATCAACTCAAGTGTAATCTAGCCTTTTTAGTCCCAAGTAAAACTTCACAATTAATCTTTTCTTTTAAGATAATCAGCACCATTGAGACTATGCTGATTAGTGCATCAGCAAATCAATCTACGAGAACAAATAAAGGCCTTTTATTTAGCTTGTAAAAGTGTAATGTATTTTGCATCTGTTTGTTTTCCTTTGTTCTTTGAAACGTATGATAAGTTTGTAGTGCAGTAAAAATCATTTTAAAAATAATGTTGTTATTTCACTTCTTGAAACCCATTTTAATATACTTGATATAATTTTGAGTCTAATGAGTTTTAATTTGTATTAATTTATGTGGTTACACAACATGTTTGATCATAAGTTTTAAAAAAAAAAAAAATCATACTTATTCATTTGGAATATTATTTTTTGCAGTGAGGATATATTTCCTCATTGTCACCAAATCACAGTGAGGATCCGAATCTTGATTTATTCATCTTTTACAAAATATGTATTTATATGCAAACAAAACTTATTTAGTTAGTTTCCTGTTACTGTTTCCCTTGATTTGTTTCTTTGGATAGCAGCTTTGATTAAACAGTCAACGATGATTAAATCACCTCAATGAGACTGGTTACAGTCAACAAACAACACACATTAATTATGGTCTGTCCTTAGGTAAGAACAAATAAAAACGGACACAGTTACAGTTTCACAGTGAAACTATACTTTCTTGCAATCTTTTTCAAAATGTGGCAATGCAACAAGGAATAATAAAATCTTCCAGAATAAAAGCAAACAACCAAATGTTATTGGTCTATGTTACATACGGGAACACCATATAAAATAAGTAAATAAATAATACAAACACGAGCCACTAGTATCAGATTACACAATCCTGAGATCATTAAAATCTGTGATCGATATCAGGCCTACTAACACAATAACACACTGACATCCTCCAGTTTAAAAGTTCACATACAATGTTAGACACACACAAAAAGATGCGAGATAAAAAGCTGGCACACCACAGATAAAAAGACGATTCAAAGCTGCTACCTCCAGCTTAGAATAACAGATCTAATGACTAAATCACAAAGCCTTCTGGAGCATAAATTTGTGTAACAAATTGCTTGTTTTCCCCCTACTTTAAAATGCCTGAAGCAGCAGTATCATTCCAGTCAAATGATCCTCATAAGGTCTCTCGTGAAACCCGTGGGTGGGTGATGCGAGAGAGGAGGGGTGGAGAGAAATAAAGAGAGGTCATATGAGGAATACTGCTGGATAATGGTGCGATGGCACACAGAAGAGACCAGACAAATGTGTGTAATCGCTCCTCCACACACTTCAGCTTGTTAGTAAAGTTTATAGAGGATTTACAGCATGCACATCATGAGGGAATAGATCTGTGTTGTGCAGACCACAAATACTGTCGTAGACAAAGAAGATGATAGATCCTTCTCACAGCTGTCAAGGCTACTAACAACAGACTGCACACCGTAGGCATGTGTGAGAACCACAAACAAAGAACATCACAATTTAACCGCATTGATTTCTTTCTGGATATCCACAAAACAGCAAGAAATATCAAAATAGAAACTCAAAGGAAAGGAAACAGATCTGTGCACAAAAACTTTCCTTGGTTATTAGTATAAGGAGAATCTATCCAATGACAATATTTTATCTTAGGATGATGCATAGTTTTCCTTCCTATAAGATAAAAATATCTCCTTACATGCGTAACACAGGAGTCATACCCACAACAAAAAAAGCCTTTTAAATCTATGCACCCAACCAGTGACGCCTTCTGATACAAATATATTTCCACTCAAATTTATAACAAAAGGAAAATTCTAGAAGAAGCCAATCAACATAAAATCAAAGCCCTATTCATTCATCAGTGCCTTGATCACTGTCCAGACAGCATCAGTAGCTTATCAGCCAAAGACTATTAGCTCATAATGGAGTTTAGAATCAGTGTGTTACAGACTTTTGCAATATAATGCCATTTTTTGTTTTAAATGAACACCATAATTGTTGCTCTCTGCACCAATTACAGTAAACACACCCAAACCTCTACAAACACATTTAAACCGCATTCAAGCAAACACCTTCAAAAGGTGGTTAAACATTTCAAAACCACAAAAAAAAATTCAGTTACTTAATCCCAGCTTCACTCTGAAACTAAAATCAAGCCAACTTACCACAGTGTGCTCTTGAATGAATGGTGTGTGAAATTTGAATGAGGGCGTTCTGACTCAAGGTTGCAGTAGTTAAGTGTGGTTAGAAGCATACTTCGCCGCTGCCGGCAAGACGGTGTTTATAAACATGAGACAGCAGTGACCTATGAACCTAACAGCAGATAGGTTGGGGCAAAGCAAGACCTATTTTTAAGAGCACACCCTCTCAGCAGCAACAGAGCCTGCAATGTCTCCTGACTGGAGTCTTTGTTGTGCTTGGCCTTTATTGGAAACAACAGAATCTCTATCGAGTGCTACAGTTTAATTGTGTGTTACAAAAGCTAATGTAAAACGTAAGCAAGACAAATCAATTTTAAGGGATATTTTTTCCTCTCTGGAATTTTTATGTTCACATATACATGAATTTAATATAAAATTGATTTCACTGAGCGGTCAGAGAACTGTTTAATCGCAGTTGTTTCAGTACATGTTAAGAAAATAATCCTATTATCACCAGTGTTTCCCACACACACACTTTACTTCGGTGGGCTGCTGAGGTGTATAAACAGGTGCCTATGTACCTTGTTTGGCAACTCATATTAGAAATCTATCTATTCCTGTCTGAGAGAACAGAACCAATCAGACAATCCTCTAAATTTGTGTTTAAAGCCCCAGCTGTCATGTTGTCCCTACAGGCTGTCTTGCTAGCCAAGCTACTGTTGTGGGAATCCTTGATATCATTCAGCTGCTTTCCCAGAGAGGACATTGTCCCACGCTGGGATGAACTCCAACACTGTCTTGTACTGCAGCTGGTCGGTAGATCCACTATGAGCTAGATCCACTAACAGAATCTGAAGCAACCGACACCAGTTTAAGCTCAAACACAGAAAGTATGTTGTATGAATGATTTGCAGAGGGGAAAATAAAAACAGACTTGTTACCCACCAAACAGATCTCTGCCTTTCAGCACAGGTAAGTCACTCTTTGCCTTAAACTAAATGTAGACTACGTGTTCACAAGGCAATTTTGAGCCAAGAAAAACCCTGACACATTTCCCCACATCCCCAACACAGTCACACACAGAACCTGAATCTGTGGGAAATCTGATTACACAGCACACTGCAGTAAGTTTTTCACTCACCAAACACTTCTTTGCCTGCTTGGCCCCCAGTCTTGGTGTAATTAAATGGGGGTGTAACAACTCTTCTGAAACTTGCACCCTGAAAAAAAAAAAAAAAAAAGGGAGGCAGAGAAGTGAGAATCAGTCTTTCGCATAAAGAAAAGGTGATGAAGCATTATGGCAGTAACAAGCTCAACAACATCTAGGCGTAGCTACATGGTGGAGGGTCTCCACTTTGATGACCTAAGGATTTCCTGGTCCTGCTGGCTTCATCAGCTGTTGACCTTCAGCTTGCACTGAAATGGTTCATGGCCCAGTGTGAAGCAGCGGTAATGAAAATCAGCACGACCATATCTCTACTATGTTTCTTAGGTGGAAAAGAGTGGAGTGTCCAATCACAGTCTGGGACAAGTCAATGCCCCAAGTATCTCAGGGTCTAGTTCATGAGTAAGACAGAATGGAGTGTGAGAGTGACAGACTAATAGGTGCAGCTATATTGATATGTTGCGGTGGAGAAAAAGCTGAGTGTAAAACCTTTTCATTTACCGGTAAATCTGGGTTTGTACCCTCACCCATGATCATGAACTCTGGGAGAATGAGGTTCCAGATACAAGCTGCAGAATTAGTTTCCTTCTAAGGTTTGCTGGTCAGGGTTGCTAGATCTGCTGATCCTCCACCTGAAAAGGAGCCAGTGGAGTTTGTCCACCTCTTCCAGACGGCCCACCATCTAGGCAGATGGGCAAGAAGAGGTGGCCAGGATGAGGGAAGTCTAGGCTTCTCTGCTTGGACTGCTGTTGCAAATTGCCTCTATCATTCAGATAAGTGGTAAACAATGGAAGGATGGGTGGAAAAATCAGACTTCATGGACATATCTTCTGGGTCTGAAAAGGAAAGTGTAGCCCAGTGGCAAACAGATGGAATTAGAGACTGTTTATTGTAATTATTATTAAAGGTGTTTTATTCTGTTCAGTTAAAAACACTCATGATTGGAGAGAGACTCTAAAGAAAAAATCCAAATTATTTTGTATGGAATTGCATTATTTGTTTATTTTTGTTTCTCAAAGGTTATTTGTTGACATGGATACAAATGCAGTCCAACCAATGGGATTGTATGTCCCGCCTTGTTTTTTTCATGTTTGGTTGCGCTGCTAAGGCTGTTTAGACCACACGCGCCATAGCTGTACCTGTGGGGAAAACGTGGTAGCTGTTGAAACAGCGAAGCTGTTGGTGTCTGCTTGATTAGCCGCCAGATTTGGATAGCCGAAGCTAGTTTTATGAATACGAAGTGCTTTGCACTGGTGAGTAACGAAACTGTTATAGCCGCTGATCGGCATCCTGAAATGTTAATGTTGTTCGCTTCAAAAAACAAACGCTAATGGTGACGGTACTATGCAAGTAGCTAGCAAGTGTGCTAGTAGCTAGCGAGTGTGCTAAACGCTCACTCCCGTTGTTCAGCGTTAGTTGAGAACTTATTAGCTGTTGTTAGGTTAAGGAAAAAAACAGTATGTCTATCTGTTGTATTGAAATGTTTTGTGTTACTTTTTATTCATCACTGTTGTTACTTGACCGTGAGCAGAGTATATTGAGTTTGCTGCTTTTAATGAGCAGTGTGAATTGCTTTAATGATTGGCGATAGCTACATTGCCATGTAATGAAAACGTTTAGAATTTGATTAGTTGTACAACATTAGAAATTGAAACACATTTTGTTCATGCTTTATACTTTAAAACAGAAGTGTTGTTAGTTAAGTGTGAACAATGTTCATTTGAAGTAATTCTGACCTCACTCTTAGGTCAGGTTTTTTGAGTTGGAGAAAGGAGCCGAGACTCCCCGGAGAACTTTGGATTACAGACTTTGTGGAAATCCGCAGAAGAGGAATAATTTTCCATTGCAATGGATGGCGAGCCACAGCCCATTTGGAATTGAATCTTGAAGTCTGGTTGCCTGAACTGTGGTAGGACAAAACAGTGCAAACCATACATCGATCGTGGACTGAACTCACACCAATAACTCACCAGATCACCAAACAGGCCTGATCTGGATCCTATTGACACTTTAAAAGACCCGGGTCTAACGTTCTTTTCTTTTGGGTATCTGTGCGCGCACACACAATTTTGGTTGTTATTGTAAATGCAATACAGTGCACAAATTTCAAATACAGTTGAACTATTGCTTCATCATTTGCAGTTGTGTTTTCATTGTGGTTACCCATCCTCTGGGCTCCTGTCGTTCCTGAAATCTTCTGATTTGCCCATTGTTTATATATTTTGTTACATACTGGTTACAAAAGCCCAGCTGAAAATGGCTTAAACCCAAATACCTGCAGGGAGTGACTTTCCTTGCCAAACGACGTACTAGAAATGTGTTTACTGAGATCATAGAATAAGGTAACTGGAGATTAGTTATATATAAGCTTCAAAAGAACAGCTCATGGACTCGATGGGGGGGAGCTTTCAAATTTCAGTGATATTCATAGACAAATTCATTTTGTAGACTTTGGTCTTCAGAAGGAGACACAAAGCCAGCCTGCAGTGTGAGCCTGTAGTCTCACAGTTTCAGTGCTCATAACATCTGGTTTCAGAAAGAAAACATGACAATGGCAAAAACACTCAGCTTTTACAAACCAATGGATAACATCACAGTGATGGCCATCTTTTATATACAGTCTAATGTAACCTGCAACATCTCAGTACCTTCTGCAGGTGACCCAGACCGTTGTACTACTGCATAATCTGTACTTGATCTTGTTTCTTTAGATATTTATACTTTAGATATTAAGAATTTGGGAAAGAAATTACCTTGTCAATGTAAACCTCTAGTGGATAACCAGCACAACCTCTGGCCAATTTGCCCAAGGAACTACAACCATTATAGTGAGACAATAAGTCCAAAAATAGAGCAAGGCCACATCGAGGCAACAGAATTAGATCTTGAGTGATACATATTCCCCGAGGACGATGGTGACCAAATTTAATCTTTACACCTGAGGACAAATGGATAAATCTCACAACTAAAACAGCACACACAAAGACAGAAATGTGCATTTGCATTCTTGTTCTCAGATGGTGTGTGCGTGCATGGTGCAAGAAAGAGTGGATGCACTGTTAACTTTTATTTAATAGTTTTTAGTTAACATTGCTGTTTGCACCTTCTTGTGATTGCCAGACACAGCAATAAAAAGAATAAGAAAGAAGTGTAGTTTCACCAAATGTGAATCTGAGACATTTACCAGAGAAGCGGCGAAAAGGAAATGGGTTTTTTTATGTTCTCAGCTCTGGGATCACAAACAGAAGCAAAACGACCGAAAGGGAAAGGCTATCAACTCTAAGGTGACAGAAATTTAGCTTAGCCAAGGGAAGAAAATTAAATCATTACGCATCAGCGCAGTAATTTATAGTACCCATAATCACCAATTAAAACTTAGCCACTGAAAGCCATTTAGTGTTTACTAACTGCACATATTAGCACCACCTGTATTAATTACCCGTTTTGACTACACTGTACAATATTAGGCTTGACCTGACCAAGAAAATGGTCTGAAATCTGACTCCGTTTATATGGTGGAAATGTATTTTTGTTTTTCTATAAATGTTAATAAATCTGACATCAGAACATGCCAAGAACACCACCATGTGCCCTGACCTTTAAAAAACAAACCACCAAAAAAAAAAAAAAAAACATGGCTGCATCTAGGGCTGTGCGATATGAAAAAAAAATCTCATATCCCGATATTAAGACATCTATCGTCCCGATAACGATATAAATCACAAGAATGTAATATTTTCTGTAAATTCTGTGACTCTCGGGCAGCTCGACTTAGTGAAGTGTTTCCAGCTGGGCGGCGTACCTGGAGTCGAGTGTTTTAACCGATGCATGAAACGATACATTTTTAGACGTAAGTTGTAACGTCCGCCGTTTTCTTTGTGAGTATTTATTACACAATGTGCTGCGGGGAAAAGCCTGTTCTAACGTTTGAATCTAAGGTTTATTTTTTAGCACCTGACGGCTCTTTTTTGCTTCTCATCCGTAAACGCTCTGCATACCCTTTCATGTGATTCAGTTTATTTTGAAAAGTCTCAACAGGATCTTGAACTTTATTGTGAAAGGTTAATGTGGAAACTAAACCAGCGGACACGCGATGGTTTTGCCGTCGTTGTTGCTAACGACAATGCATAAAAACAGGCGCTTGTCCATCTGTAGTGTGGTTATATTAAAAATAAGAAAAAGAGAGAACTTTAGGAAATTAATATAGCCACTACAGTGACCATCAAAACCATGAAAAAAAATATTGCCCTAAACAGTTTATTTTACAACACCACGAAACAAACGATAGCGTAAAATGAAACTATAGACGATTTTATATCGTTAGCCGATACATATCGTTATATCGAACAGCCCTAGCTGCATCTGGATATTTGTAGCTTAATCACCAGGCTGGGTGGCTTTTCTTTAGCACCTTCTGAGATAAAAGTGGTAAATGCCCAATGTGCTTACATGACCAGTATAAGGCAATACACCAAATGAAAACTGTTGAATATTAAGGCTGTTCTTCCTTCCCTGAGGACTTCAGGAACACTGAATTGTGCCATTTATGCGCCCCCAAGGAGGGGAAAGCTACAACCCAACTGTGCATCTGCAACATAAACCAGATGCTCCCATCCCCATTTTAAAAGCTTTTGACCACTGGCAGCTTTAAAGTCTCACCCTGACTTTAAAGTGTATCTAGAAATCTCTCAAAGAGATGAACAGATGAAGAAAACTAAAAAAAAAACAAAACACCACAGCTGAATTCACTGTTAGGTTCTTACGCATGTTTGTTTCATAAGAGGAGCAAACCTCTTATTCTGGTCCACCAACAGCACTCAAACCCTGAAGGGTTTTACTTAAGCACACTTCGGTTCAGAAGTCAGCTGTGTGTAATATTAGTTTAGATGAGACTCCAAACGACAATGGTGCTATATTATATTAAAAAAGAGACACTCTGAGCATAACTACTATTGTTCTACAACACACAAAATTAGAGAACATCTATAAGGTCTAATAATAGTTTATCTGACTGACTCCTGATTCATTCTGCAAACTGGAGCTACCATATGAGTAGGAATGTGTTATCTCATTGCCAAATGACTAAGCCGTACAGCTGAAAAAGCTAGCATTATAATACTTATAAATTAATCTTTAAAAACATGTCCTCGTTTCTCCTCAAAGTTGCTGATAACTAAAGGAATGCTGTTATTTCTCTGCAGGAAAAAAAAAAGAAAAACCAACTTTGACCCGTAAGCTGGTTCATATGATTCTCACACGACCATACACATACCTCTCATCTCGGCATGAGGTCGGTGTCTGCAGGGAAACAGGAATGAAGCAAAACATAAATTCTGGTACCAAAGACATGTAAGTGAAACCTCTTGTGCTCACTGTTACAAAACAAGTATATTGGTTTGTGCCAACAAGACCAATAAAAGAAAAAATTTAATAAGAGATTTGTGAGGCTGGGAGATATATGCACATGGGTACTTTGTCACACTGCGTATTTGACTACAACTCCTTAGAAATGTAATTCTACTTAAAAAGCAATAAATGTACACATGGTTTCTCAAGTATTGCAATATTTTGAGCCCTTGAAATGTGATAAATCCCCCCAAAAGTCAGGCAGTTTTACAGACCTGTGATGGTTACATCAGAGCGGATTAAGCCTCCACTTTTTGATCCACACCAATAAGCCGGGAAGCTACATAACTAAAACCTTGAGCCAAGTGGGGAATGGGAACAACTTTTTTCTTGAGACAGGAAAAAAACAACATGTCAGAGAAGAGGGTTTTCTTAGTAAGGCCTCAGGCCCACATAAGAGGGCAGATGTCAGCTGCCACATGGACAAAACTGCCAGCAGATGGTCTGAGGAAAAAATGAAGGACCACAGTCACAGTCTGGCGTGGCAGGAGAGGAAACATATGACACACCTGAGTTTAGGTCATGCATCTCTGCAGACAATCACCAAAAACAGCAGGGAACATAATAGGTTGTGAATTGTTTTTTATCTCACACATAACTGCTGTCCTAAGCAGTCATTCAACAGTGGTGAGACATTACAGCACTGACACACAACAGCAAACTGTTACAGCCTAGCTTAACTGCCTCATAAAGCACAAGCAAGCCTACACTTTGCAGTTACAGAGGGACTACTTTCGTCAAACCGTGTACAAGCATTTACCAATGTTATTGGTAACAACAATGATAAAGGTAGTCATCTCAACAGGTGAAACCAGCAATCCTCTTATCAGAAGTAGCTATTCTGTATATGCATCATAAGAACCATCTCACCATGAGCTGCAGTGCAGGTTTCATTGCAGCAGACTCAGCACAGGTGGTAGGTGAAGACTACTACAAACTGATCCCAAGGTACTTTGTCAGCAACTGAAAAACATGGTAAATGAATGACCAAGAAATCCTTCCAAAAGCCCTTAAATGTCCATGTAAAACAAATCTGAGAAAACAAGGTTGGCACATGCCATATGGTTAAACCCCAGTATCCCACTGGGATTTGAAAATAGGTTGTCGGCTTCTGTGACACCTTCAGGTTCACATGTAAACAGACCGCAACTCCCCTTAAACTCCTTGCAGTCAGAGAGCGTGACAATGCTGTACAAGCATAAACATCTTTTCTGCACGATGCCACTGACTCACGCGTACACTGATGCTGAATTTGCTGTTTACAGCCATGGATTCTGCAGGAAAATTCAAGAAGCAGCTAAATGACACAAGGTTGCTGTGGTGAGACGCAGGTGCATGGCTGATGCTCTGTGGCCTGGAAGCGTGCTCATCACAGTGCAAAAACAGATTCAGACTGCAGTGCTGGATAGTGTACATACAAGTGAACTCAACTATCAGCAAAGGAATACACAATGCAAAAAAGACAACAAAATAAAAGAAATATAGAGTGATCCTTACCTCTGATTTAAAAGTATGCCCAAAACATTTGAACAAAGGCACAAATTCACGCCGGACAAATGCAGAATGTGGACCGCAGCACTAACATAAGTAACAGGTTGACTGTTTTGAGGCTTTTGAGTCCAGTGATTTAACTAATTTGTGCAGAGAGGCGGGGAGGCACAGAGGGGGAATGTGCGTGTCTGCGTGTCTGAGCAGTCAGGGATCGACCACCTGACCAACTACTTGGTCATAGATGTGTGAATGTGTGCATAGATGTGTAATACCAGGACATTCTGCCCATTTTATTATTTGACTTTTGATGTAAATTAGTTACTTGCAAACCTGAAATGAACCAAATGCCCCCTAACAGTGTTGTCTCATATCTGTTCATGAAAAATTTAAAAAAACAAATAAAAGAATTTAAACTCCTGTACCTCCTGATGTCTGCACCACTGACCCAAGTCATGTCTACTCAAGTTTTTCTTACACAAGACTGAGATTAGATTAGTTATATTTATTATCATTTCACACATCTTTGTATCTGGGGCAACTGGAAGACATTAGAAACATTCAACAACAGGCTCCAAAACAGTAACTTTACTTTAGCACAACAACGCACATGTAACACACCTTCCAAAGCACACAGGACCCACAGCACTGTGTTTTTCTCAGCACAATTTTCTTGGACACTTAAAATCTTACTGAGTCTGCAATAAAGCAGAAGGTTCAAATACTTTCTTAACAACTGCTAGTTTTAAGTCACCTAGTCAGCTAACCACAAAAGACACTTAGCTTAATTTTTTGAACATACTACCTTGTGATACTCAAGAACACACTAATCCTCGTCACTGGGCTGATGGTGAAACGAACAAATACCAGGACCTCTGTGTGGACGCTCTTCAGTTACAACATGGCAGCAGTGATACTCTGTGCGGAAGCCTTTGCAGTACTGACTTTACCACAATAAAGTATCTAAACTTTGCCCTCAGCACAGGTGTTGTTTAACTAAAGGTAGTTCAACTCCAGACAGTGAAAGTTAAAGCCACTGGAAAGACTTTATCACCCAAATCAGATTCCAAGGGTATTGTTACCTGAAGCTAAACTAGAAACTGAAATAAGGTGTTTAAAAAAAAAAAAACGTAAATGGATAAGGAAGAAAAAAACTAAAGCAGAATTTTGCACTTACAAACCAACTGCACTGAAACATACACTTAGCCACTCTATTGCACCGCACCATGTTCTGCATAATTTCCTGATTTAATTACAGTTAACAGGGAAGTAATGTAAGTAATTAGTAAGACTAATTTTGTGGTCAAAGTAGAAAAAAAAAATCAAGTGACAACGTTAGATTTAAATCAGTGGCTTATGGTGAAACAAGAGAACATTATGGCCAAATGCCATTTTAGTAATTACACTGCAGGACAAGCCTTACAGAAAAAAAATAGTTATAAACAAAAAAAAAAAAAAAAAAAAACACACAGGCTACAAATAATGTACAAGCATTTATTAGAGAAAAATCACTAAAAGGAATTGTAGGGTTAGTCCCGGGCTTGTTAATCACATTAGTGTTTCCCCAGTTAGACAGTGTTTGCCTCCCTTTGGCAATTATTGCCCAGCTCTGGCACTCCAATTGTGTCAGCCAGACTTGATCCAGCCTTGGTTTTTGGTAAGTGGTGAGCAGGTCAGATGTGGCCCAAATGTCCTAGTTCATATAATACACACTCGGGACAGAAAATTTACTTTGTGATGTGACCAGTTCTTTTTTTTTTTTTTGGCGCTTGCCATCTCTGTATCCCAGTGTAATCCATAAATAAGCAACAAAACCATCTTCAAACACTTTCACATACATACCTGTTTTTTCTCCACACAGTAAGCAAACTTTAGAAGTTTAGCAAGCAAAACTGACACCAAAACACAATTTAAGCTACAGCATTCAAGCTAGTGTGCATTTGATGTGAGAGATAAATTTGGTCCCACACTCATAATGGATGAACTAAGAGGGTTCCCATCTGTACTTGCTGGAGCCAGATGGTTTTTTTGTTTTGGTTTTTGGATTTTTTTTGTTGGGGGGGGGGGGGTCCAGCACTGTTTCAATCATACATCTGCCTCTTAAAATTCTTCAGAACTTTTAGTGGTTCTTTAGTGCATTACAAAGCAGCACTTTTTCATTCAGCCCATTGAGCATTTAAAATGTACAATGATTCTTCTGTTTCTTATCTCAGTATCAGACAAACTTTGATTGTCAGCTGATCGTCTGACATTTGACTCTAGAGCACGCAAGTGAACAGCCCAGGGTCTTTGACTTTGTCATATGACCAAAAGACGTTTTGTGGCTTGTTCAGATGCAATTTTCCAAACCTTTGCATTGCTGTCTGCTTATTCAAAAAGAAGAGGCCTTCTCCTGAGAGCCTCTTTCCAACAAGTCATACTTGTTTTTTCTCATTGTAATGTCATGAACTTTAATGTTCAACATGCTAAGTGGGGCTTATAAAAGCTAAAATGCATGTTGCTTGCTTGTTTTTTCCCCTAGTTTTTCTGACCACTGACCTTGGGGTGAATTGGCTGGTATGTTGACTTCTGGGAAGATGGACAACTTGAATGTTTTCCAGTTGTGAATAACTTTTTTCCATGTGGAATGGTAGACTTCAAATTGTTTGGAAATGACCTTAAAACCCTTTTCGCATTGAAGGGCAGCATCAACTGCTTCTCTAAGCTCAAAACTGATGTCTTTCCTCCTCAGCAGCGTGTTAACACACCTGAACGATCCAGACCACAAAACTGCCAAAACTTCTTTTAACAAAGAATCACATTTGTATTTGCTTGGTGGCACCTGCCTGCTACTTACCCTCTTAACCCCCACAAAAGAATTTCTACTTAGTTTTCCCACATACAGCTTCTAAACCTTGGCTTATTTTGTTAAATAAATAATGGCATAGTATAAAATGTTGTTTTATTCACATGAGGTTTCTTATCTAACGAGACTTTTTGTTTTGCTGTAAAAACCTTAAAATCAAAGGCCACACTGTATTCACATGACTGCATATGGCAAAAAAAGGTTTAGTACCTAAGCTTAACAATTACAGGATAAACAGACCTGTATTGTAGAGTAATCTCAGCCTTGGTTTAAGACTGCTGGTTTACAACAACCCTTGTATTATAAACTCAAGCCCTTAAGTTTGAAAATCAGTGGTATTTGCAAACTAGAGAAAGTCTAACATAAGAAACAATTGCATTATGGGAATTACAGGATCCAACATAAGCTACTCTTATTAAGGTGTCTACACACTCTGATTTCAGCAATCTTATAAGTTCATCACAAGTTACACTGAGCAACACGAATCTAATAAACATGGACATCAACTTTGATGCAAGTACACTCTATGATGATAGCGCCCGTTATTGAATCAGGGCCAAGAACCACGGCTGTTATTTCTTTTCTATTTTCTACATCCTCTTTAGTTGGAGAACAAATTATACACACGTTTCTTCTTCGTCAGAATCAGTTTTCCTTTTTCACATTTTTTATTTCATTTCATACAGTTTCCTGTTGGTTACTAGCAGACCGGTCACGCATTATCCAAATTTCCTGGATGTCTTTGTAGGCAATGGAGCATAATCAAGAGTCCAATGAAATGTAGATAAACAGACATGATTCCACTATTTAGTCTATGAATAATGATCAGTATTGGCTAAAATAACTACGTATATAATTTCTGGGATTATAAAGGGCCACCAATGTGGTGCCACAACATTTGGGACTGCCCAAGACTCATCTAGTATTTACCTGACTTTAGGGATTAAAAGTCAGTATATCCCAGGAGCCTTTCTTTATTCTGATCCTTCTAGTCCTCCTCACTCAAAGAGTATATCTGAACAAGGAACCACACTAAAAAGAGTTATTTAATTTAATTACCTAACGAAGTAGAACGCATATGTACAGAAGTGTGGACATCTAGATGCTAACAGGTGCTGCACTTGTGAGATCTTTAACCTACTCCCTTAATTGTGGTTGGTTTGGATATGGCATGTAATGCAGTGGAACCACATTGGGGTGGGGATGTAATAAGCCAACCTTTCCAGCTTTAGCAATTCAGCCAACGGCCTTAAGTCAGACCAAAGCACACCTAAATAAATGAGTGTGTATCCTGCAGTAGCCGTTTCATCAATTTTCCACCCAAATGTTACACATATATTTTAAGCAGAGAGTAAATATGATTCAGTACATAACTACATACTTCAATGTGACTCATTGTGTTACATACACCAAATAAGGCACTGTGCTAGGAAGTATTTTTAGCCTTTCTGATTACATAGAGATGTGAAACTCAGAGTTGCATTAAACTTCATGACATCACTTTCATAGTGCCCACATTACAACATTACATAATATTTTTAGAAGTGTTAGACTAGAAGCTATTTTGCCACAAGGACCATGACCAAGGTGAAAATCTAATAAATTTGTTGAATTTGTCTGCCTCAAACTTATTACGTTTATTCGTTTTTCTTCCCCCTTAATTTTTTTAATTTTCTATAAAGGTTAGTTTCAATTATTTTATTTAATTACTATATCATAGATGGCATTTGTCAAGTGCAAGATTTAGGGATTTCAGATTAGGTATTACAACCTTCCAAACACCACCAGCCACACACTCGGATCCTTGCCAGGTAGAACTCGCTGTGTTAAAAATAAATAAATAAATGAATTAATTAAATAATTAATTGATTCCCAGTAATGAACATTTTTCCCCTTTCAGGATTCCTTATAGGCAGAAATGAAATGCCAAAGTATTATTATACCAACTTAGTACACTTTAAAACTGCAACTTAATATTGAATGAACTAGGTTACAGCACTGCCGCTGGACCGAATGTAGAGGAAACACACGCACGCAATATTTTACTCAAGCTGGCTGTTAATCAAGACGGTCAAACATGGCAGTTGCAATTGCAATAAAATCAGCACTGCAAGAAAAGTAAAGGGGGGGGGGCGTTTACTCCACTGCATCCATTTTAAGCTTTAGCTATTAGTTACTTTGAACATTTAGTTTTTTAAAACAAATATCCAATCGTTATAGTAGTACAGATTAACTTAAATTAGTTTTACGCGGGTCAGTAAACTCTGCTGGCAACAGGAAGAAAATAAATGTTGGACGCTGAAAAGGGGATCACTGATTCAACGAGACAGACGATGAGAAAATGAACAAATGCGCGGACATTTCACCCGGATCACTTTGACGACGCTGATTTCAATTAAGAGCTTATAAAAAGACTTTGTGGTGATGCTCAGAAATTTAGTACAATAGAGTGAATATTTATAGAGAGGGAGGGTACTGTTTGAATGCCATATTTGCATATCAACAAATGCAGTCGCTCCACAATGGCAGCTCCCCACGCATGCAGTGTTCAGCAAGGTGGGTGAAAGCCGTGTAATGTCTACAAGTTCAATAAAAATCAGAAACAGACCAGTCACACAAGTTAAACTAGGGAGAACCGTCTGCTGTTGAGGAATCGCAGTAAAATCGCCAATCACTCATCAATAAACTGATCAGAGGGAGGGCTGAAATCCGCACGTGGTTCGAATATCAGACTAAGCGTGCTACACTTCCGCGTCCTTGAGACGTGATTTCAACACGACAGCGTTAAAAGGCACAAAAATGAACACTTGAAGTAGTCGCTTATGTTCAAAACACCGGAATACCTCACAGAGGTACTATTTCAAAGCCCCTCACTCCACAGTCAGCCCGTTCTCGGAAGGCTAACGCTAGCCTGGAAAGGAAGACAACAATCCAACCAGCTAACATAAGCTAGCAGACGACTCACAGGAAATTAGCTCACAGTCTAGAAAGACCAACGATATAAAGAACGGTGTTATGTTTCGTTACAAATGTTCGCAACAGCGGCGAACAAAATCCACGAGCCGTGGATAACGCTGCCCGGGTCCATGTTGTGGGAGTGAATGATAACAAATGGGTTTTTTTATATAGTTACCTCACTCGAGTGCCGTGTGCATCTCCTCTCCGCTCGTTACAAAAAAAAAAAAA